TTGACCTGTTCATCTAATAAATTCCACCAACATAATCATATTCAAAATTGGAGAAATAACGTCCAATCTCCAAAACAGATTCATATTAATAATCACCATAATTTTACTTACGTTTTGACATCTACGTTTAATTACGCTTCAAACTGATCCAGATTGATTGCATTTGAATAACAATGAAGCCGAGAAGCCTTGGGGGCAAGAAAATCCATAGCCATGTTGCATAATGTCTAAATGTTTAATGTGTCCGTGACGCATCACTGGAACTGAACAAAGACATGGTATAGTTAATTAGACTAAGTGTTGAGTACAAGCGTAAAGCCTAGTGTAACCATATATTTTTATGTCTTGGTCGCAACCTCTGAAGCAGCTGGGACCATAATCCTGGCTGTTAAAGATGCACATGAATCTAAATTTAAAACAAAGCCATGCCAAGTGTGAAGGTTGTCGAAGCGTGTGCCCTGTTTGCACTGGAGAGAGTATCGCATGTGCAGGGATGTGTATCAGAGCGCGACAGAGAAAGTGGTAGACTTTACTTATGACGCTGGTCTTTGTGCGCTGACAGTGCGAGTATGTGGGAGGAGAGGTGACTCGGACAGAGCTGGATACAAGTCTCGAGCTTCCTTCTCTCACGTTGGCCTGACTGTGAAGTGGGATGGAATTCCTCTGTTTACACGGCTAAAAATAGATTTCACACACTCTATGACGTGAAGAGCCCCCCCTCCCTGCTCTCTTTTGGCTTTGTGCTGTCAGGGGTATTCATCTCTCAGCTCACTGGCTTGCTGTCTTGAAGGATAAAGAAAGAGGAGGGAGAAGACATTGAAGCAGAGATGTTGTGATATCGTTTTCTCAATATTTGTTGCTAATTTATTTATTTAATCAGCAAAGTCCCACTGAATTCTGAACACAGACAGAGGGGAGGCAAATGGCTTTTTTTTAATGTATTTTGTGGAAGGGAGAACCAGAGAGAAACCTGTGAGAATGTGCCAGAACGGGGCGAGAACCAGTATTGAGGGTTAACCGTGTAGCAATGGTATTAATATCGTAGTAAATATAGTCACCCAGTCATCCAACCAATCACCCATTCACACACACATTCATACACCCTTTTACGATGACACTGAGGGCGAGGCAGGTTAAGTGTCTTGCCCAAGGACACACACCGGCAGTCAACAATGGGAGCTGGTTTCTCACCTGCGGGTCAGTCGATATGACCACTCACTCAATGGTGTTTCAGCTCAGAGGACACACGCTCTACAAACAGAACTACTGCTGCCCCACTGGACAGAGGCACACTGGTGAATTCATTATATTATTATCTCAGTAATGGTGTTTTGAAATGATACAATGGGATTGTGTGAGATTGAGGTTTTAAAGGGACATGATGTTCTCTAAATCAAGAATCGCATAAGCAAAAATCATACTTTTTTTCTGATCAAAATGTTAATTCTGATTTATTTACTGATCAGTTGGCGAATCAACAACTTTGTAAAGACGACTGCTAGTTAGGGCTATAATAATTGAATGTGTTTAGGCAGGCTTTCTCGCCTCACCTAACATAGGCCCTTCTGAAGTGTGTTCACTTTTCTATATATTTGTTTTTAGAACTGACCTGTATGTGTACTATTTTTCTCTGTATGTTTTTCATTGTGAAGTGCTTTGTGATTCTGGTCTGTGAAAGGCGCTATATAAATAAACGTTACTTACTTACATACTTACTAAAATAAGATAAAAAATGTCCATTGTTGTCGTTGACACTAAGCATTACATGAGTCTCTCATTTGGGTTGCAAGTTCATTTTTGAAAACATCTTGCTGGTTTAGTGTCTGTACTCCAGCAGCTGCGGCAGATCATGAAGGCTACCTGTCTGACCTTCTGCACAAACATGAGCCGGGTCGCAGTCTCGGGTCTGTTAATCAGCCCCTGTTAAATGTTCTGTGGACGATATACAAACCATGGGGACTATATACAAACCATGGGGACTATATACAAACCATGGGGACTATATACAAACCATGGGGTGACGGAGCTTCTGAGCCGGCGGCACCAGAGTTATGGAATGCGCTCCCCCTGGATCTTAGAACCTTGGAATCCTTAGAGTCAAAGCACATTTAAACACTCACTTGATCAGGTTTACTTGTTTGTGACCTGCCGTGTGTTTGCACTGGAAAGAACTGTATTTATTTGACTCTTAATAATGTGTTTCATTGTATTTTTTTAACTGTACTTACTTACTTCTGAAGACACTGGCAACAAAATTAATGTTCCTTAAAGTATGAAACAAGAATAACACACAGAACCTATGTCGATGCTTGTTTCACACTGAGCTGTTTCTGGCCCCTCTTCTGCAGTGAAGGCCACATTATAATTTTATCAAAAAATAAAATGTTAACTTATTTTACTCATAAAATATTTTTTGGACAGACGTATAATTTTCAATTCCATCGATTTGTGTATAGCCCTAATTGTCTCAGAGCACTTTACAAAGATTGATTCGGCAACAACAGACCAGAGAATAAAACACAGGAGATGCAATAATAACACATAGGTCCATAGGGAGCGGGGTTGACCACTTCTATGAACGTTAATAAATGTCTTTAATGTCCCGGATCATCACTGTCCTTAAAGTCCCTCTGGCATCTGCAAGCGATAATACAAATAATATGAATGGAAGAGTAGGTTTTGTAGAAAGTAAAACAAGTGAATCGATAGCTTTGTAGGTACTTTATCCTGAGGAAACAACAGAAGTCCAGTAAACAATATCATAATGGTGCATCCCTTTTAGAGTCACCCGGGATCATACCCCTGCCCCTGCTTCCATCTCCCCATTCGAGCACTCTCTGGTTTAATGTAACTTTACTATTGCTACTGAAACAGGTAGAATTCTGTTTTTCTTGTGACCACGTTAGAACATTGCTTCCACATCAAAAGCACACCAGCTGCAGCTGTATCTAGTTTCAACCTTGGTCGCACTTTGGAGGGTTTTCCCTGCCTTAATCATCAAACCCACACATCGCCTCGGTGATAGGACGCTGATTCCACCTGTGCTCAAAAGAACATGTCGGCTTTAAATGAAGTATTTCACATTGTGCTGACTTGATGACAGAGACTATTCACTGTCAAAAGATTGTATTGTTATATTATTGACCAAAATATTGATTTAATAATACAATAACAATAAGAGCTTTTGACAGTGAATAGCCAAAAGCTCTTTTTGGATGGACTCTCATTTAAACTGTTTTAAATGTGACTCTGGATGGAGCTATGGGATGTTACTTTAATACAGCCTTAACATATGCAGTGGTGACATAGTGCACTGTATCGTATTGTGACTAGGGGTGGGCGATATGAACAAAAATAATGATCTCTATATTTTTTTTCCATCTCCCGATAACAATATTGTCACGATATCTTTGAAATTAATCATTCTTACACAAAACGATCTGCAAAGTAAATCAAAATAGTAAAATAGCAAACATGCAAAAACATATATTAACATTAATAATCAAATTCAAGTAACACAGGAAGAACACATCCAAAAAGGCTTGCTTAATATTTTCTGAAATTTACAAATAAAGCCGTGATTGGCGTTTTAGGCACTTATTTGACAAATGGGCATGCTCTAATTGTAATATGTATTGAATAAAGAAAATAAGAAAAAAAAGATGATAATACAAAAAAGGATATCTTCAAATTCACTTTTGCGATATTATTGTCTACGATATATTTTGCCCACCCCTAATTGTGACTATTGTATAGAAGTCAGCATTATTTATCATTGCATTTACTTTGTTTGAACTGTTTTACTCTCTGATCTGTGTTGGCGAGTTGACAACTTTGTAAAGTCCTCCAAGATAATATACTGTTGGGATTTAGGGCAATACAATTTTTTTTAATTCAACCTTCATTCAAACGGGGTAAACACCCATCCATCCATTTTCTTCCCCTTAATCCATTTCTGGGTGGGGGGGGGGGGGGGTAGTCAGAGCTGCACCCAGTACACAAAGCACCACCATCTCAGTAAACACCCATTGAGATCAAAATCTCTTTTTGTAACAATACAATAAATGTAACAAAAAAGTGGGACTAAAGAAGATGACCAGAGGCAGCAGGAGCAGGGATGAAGTGCAGGAAATAAAGCAATGAGCCAGAGGGAAGCAACAATCAATACCATGACTCATTCTTTCTGCAGTGCTATTTCCGAACAACATTCATTAAACGCAAACCTAATCATTTTGCCCAGTTAATCAGATCCCATGGGGCGACATTTCTCTCAATAACATTAAATTAAATGAATGCATAATGAACCTTTGATGGCAGGAACAAGCCATGGAAGAAATAATGAGAAATAACTAAATTACTATATACTACTATATTAAACTATATTCATATCTTATATATAAAACAAATACAACAATGTTTTGTTGCTGTCTGATCACACAAATGTAGATTAAATGGGGTGTGCTATTAATTTGCAGAAGACTTCCCTGTTACACAACAGGCAACGAGCACAGACCTCTACCAAGAGGTTATATATGTGTATGTATGTACAGTATATAGTGTGTTTGTGTGTGTATGTACGGTATATAGTGTGTTTGTGTGTGTATGTATGGATATAGTGTGTTTGTGTGTGTATGTATGGATAGATAAGACAGATAAGATTGGGTATATATATATATATATATATATATATATATATACCCAAAAATTTACTGAAAATGTCACTGTTTGTTGCATGATAACGTGACGACATACAGCAAACAAACAAATACAATTTACAATACAATACAATTTATTCTTGTATAGCCCTAGGTCACAACAGAAGTCATCTCCGAGGACTTAACAAAACCATTGAAATCACCAACACAGGTCAGAGAATCAACAGTTAAAACACATGAAAAATATAAAGCACACACAGAAGAAAATGTCCATACATGTTGTAGAATGTATGTAAATCCAATGAAAACCTCCTGAGCCGCGGGTAGAGTGTGATGTGGTGCTCTATGGTCGGCCACACGTCCTCTCACTGCCACACGTCCTCTCACTGCCACACGTCCTCTCACTGCCACACGTCCTCTCACTGCCACACGTCCTCTCACTGCCACACGTCCTCTCACTGCCACACGTCCTCTCACTGCCACACGTCCTCTCACTGCCACACGTCCTCTCACAGCCACACGTCCTCTCACAGCCACACGTCCTCTCACAGCCACACGTCCTCTCACTGCCACACGTCCTCTCACTGCCACACGTCCTCTCACAGCCACACGTCCTCTCACAGCCACACGTCCTCTCACAGCCACACGTCCTCTCACAGCCACACGTCCTCTCACTGCCACACGTCCTCTCACTGCCACACGTCCTCTCACAGCCACACGTCCTCTCACAGCCACACGTCCTCTCACAGCCACACGTCCTCTCACTGCCACACGTCCTCTCACTGCCACACGTCCTCTCACAGCCGTCCTCTCACAGCCACACGTCCTCTCACAGCCACACGTCCTCTCACAGCCACACGTCTTCTCATTGCCACACGTCCTCTCACTGCCACACGTCCTCTCACAGCCACACGTCCTCTCACAGCCACACGTCCTCTCACAGCCACACGTCCTCTCACTGCCACACGTCCTCTCACAGCCACACGTCCTCTCACAGCCACACGTCCTCTCACAGCCACACGTCTTCTCATTGCCACACGTCTTCTCATTGCCACACGTCCTCTCACTGCCACACGTCTTCTCATTGCCACACGTCCTCTCACAGCCACACGTCTTCTCACTGCCACACGTCCTCTCACAGCCACGCGTCCTCTCACAGCCGTCCTCTCACAGCCACACGTCCTCTCACAGCCACACGTCTTCTCATTGCCACACGTCTTCTCATTGCCACACGTCCTCTCACAGCCACACGTCCTCTCACAGCCACACGTCCTCTCACAGCCACACGTCTTCTCATTGCCACACGTCCTCTCACTGCCACACGTCTTCTCACTGCCACACGTCCTCTCACTGCCACGCGTCCTCTCACAGCCACACGTCCTCTCACAGCCACACGTCCTCTCACTGCCACACGTCCTCTCACAGCCACACGTCCTCTCACTGCCACACGTCCTCTCACAGCCACACGTCCTCTCACAGCCACACGTCCTCTCACTGCCACACGTCTTCTCACTGCCACACGTCCTCTCACTGCCACACGTCTTCTCACTGCCACACGTCCTCTCACTGCCACACGTCTTCTCACAGCCACACGTCCTCTCACTGCCACACGTCTTCTCACTGCCACACGTCCTCTCACTGCCACACGTCCTCTCACTGCCACACGTCCTCTCACTGCCACACGTCTTCTCACTGCCACACGTCCTCTCACTGCCACACGTCCTCTCACTGCCACACGTCCTCTCACTGCCACACGTCCTCTCACTGCCACACGTCCTCTTACAGCCACACGTCTTCTGACAGCCACACGTCCTCTCACCTGTACCACTGGACGTGTCCCACGGTCCTCGGGGTTCAACTCGTGTGATCCAACATGTTTTCAGGCAGGATTCAGGAGTCCCCAGACTCTGCGTTCATCGCGGCCACACTCTCCGTCGCTGCTGCCTCCGTGTGCTCCAGTATGTGATACGTGTATGATACAGTAGAATAGTACAGTACAATACAATCATGCGGTCTACGGCCAGAGGCCGTGCTCACGGGCCGTGTCCGCCCGTGGTCCCGCTGAGCACCGGCGCATGCCTCTGCCCGGACCCTCGGTGTCTGATCTTCTGAACCACAGACCGTTTATACCTGATCAGGAACAACATTGATAACAGCGCCCTCTCGTGGACAGTTTTCCTTCAAACACCGTCACATATGTTGTTTTGTGCACTGTTTTATTCAATACTATATTTTATAATATCAGCATGTAAACAAGCTCGATTTAAGTAAGCCTCTTCATTTTATCTGAATCTTCAGAATCTTGCAACACACTCATGCAGAAGCATGGGAACCGGTGGTGTCAAAAGTGTCAGAGTGAGTTATAAAAGCACTTAAGGAATGTATATGGACTTAAAAAAAACAAATGCATTTAACAATATTACAAAACTGGTGAGATTTGCATGATAGAAAGCCAACAGCCACATTATTGTGAGGGCATAAAATACATTATCATGACTTGTTCCTTAAAAAAACATTGAACTATGTTACCATGGAAATATTAGATAAATGTTGAAAATTCACAGGATGTATGTTACAATTTGGCACAATATAAAATACAATGCAAAAATATATTTAACCATAGAAAATCCCAGAGTAAAAAGTATAAAAGTGGCTTCACATTGACAATCAATTCCGAAAAAAATCATGTCAGTCAATTGTCACATCCATTTGCAGTCTCTGATGTTGTTATAAGTTAGCAGAAGATCGAAGGACGTGGAACCTCTTCAGAGTCATGCGGAGAGATCCCAGCTGCCGGTTCAGTCTCTCCAGACGATCCTCTAAGGCCACCTGCAGAGATCATTACAGCTTTAACACCACTGTCTCTAAAAACACACTCAAACCATATGTGTTCAACACTTACCTCATCAATCCTTGTTTGTAGGTTCTGCCTGCCTGCCCCCGGCATCCGGCTCAAAGCTGCTTCAATCTGCCCAGTACAAAATAACTTGTTATTATTAACACACAATACTATATAAAGACACACCGGTACAGTGATCATTACTTTGTCATAAGATGCCCACCTGCAGTTTCTCCTGAGTGAGTTCATCCAACAGCCTCTCAGCCTCAGTCAGTGACAGCTGCCTGTCGAAATGTCCTGTGTCTCCATCCGGAACATTCCTCTGTACGTCCCAGTCCAGCTGGGGGCTCGTTTCAGGGGGCGGGGCGTCGCCCAAAGCATCTGAAGGATGTTGTCCTGGTACAGACAAAGATTCTTATTACTATGCATTGCACATTTCACATTTTCAAGTATCTTTGATGATTACCATGATTCACATTTGCTGATGTGAAAAGAAGCTTTTTCCTGGGGTTTCTATAACAGATAATACAAATATATTTAAAAGGCATTACATTTGGATATACTGCACACCCAAAAACACATCCATGAGATACACAGATCTAAAATATAAGAGATGTGTGCGAGAGCATGGAACAGTACCACATCATGCGCTTCAAGTCCTGACAGCGGCTTCTTGTCACTCTGATGTGTATAACTCTTATTATTGTAAATTAGACCCTAAAATGTCCGTCTAATTTGAAACATGTCAAACTTAGCACTTGTTGTGGAGCAGGTGGATGATAAGCTCAAGTGTAGAAGCAAAATGCAGCATTCATAATGAGAGCTAATATTTGGTCCTGGATCCATTTTATTTTGGGGCTCCCAAAAACATTCTGGGCTGAAACATTGATCTGAGTGCAATTATATAATACCAACTTAAATGTATAGCTCTAGCTAAGAAAGAGAAACATTTGAGTCACAATTACCGTAAATGTTCCTCTCTGGGCATCAGGTGACCAAAGGCAGTGGAGAAGTTCTCAGTAGGGCAGCGTTTTGGACTAGATTTTGCTGACACGGGCAAAAGAAGGGTCTCTCTTTTAGCTAAGGGATGTACAATTTCAATTATTGTCATGTTCTTCCTTTCATCCATGTTATGGGAATGTGGTTAAAGTACATACTGGGAGTGTTTGGGGTCGGTGTGCAGCGTTGAGCTGGAGGTGGCAAAGAAGACGATCTCTGGCTCTCTGGAGACAGACTTCTTTGAGCCTTCTGAAGAGCTCGGACTCGGCCTTTGTCCTGCTCCTGTAATGGTGCTTTGAGTCTCCGCTCCACAAACCCTACAGTGGACTTGGAACACTCTAACCCTGCATCAAGAGATTCAACGTGTTACTTTAAAATGCGCCGTGAAAATCTTAGGGGGGAAGGAATGTCCCCTCTCGCAATCCATTTTTGAAGTCACTAGCACGTTAGCCATTGTATGTACTTATGTGTAATACTGTAATTATTACACAATACTATACTGTATACTGTAATACTCCTAGTGTATTATTCTGTACCCTTGCCCCAATGGGACTGTGCGATACTATATTCTTGTGTTGTAATAGTGTAGATGATTGTCCTGACGATGAGAGTGTCTTGTATGTTTGTGTCCAACAGCACTGTGAGCCTAAGACATATTTCCCTGAGGGGACAATGAAGTTGAACCTTGAACCTTGAATGTTCAATGGATAAATGTATGAACAAGAACCTGAAACAGCCAGGAGCAGCAACACTAACAAAATTCCCATATTTAAGTATAAAAACAACAGATTTCTTACAAGGTGCGCGGCTTTGAGTGGCTCGGGTCTCCTCTAGTTCAATCAGAGCTCTCATTACAGGAGTTAAAACATTAGATGCTGGTTTTCGGGAAACTTCTTGAAGCTCATTATTTTCATTCCTTCAAAAAATAAATGTTAATATATTATTGTGTGTGTCAACCATCATACTATGCAACTTTTCCATTTGATCAGTTTGTTAATTTCACACTAATACTTACTTCAAACGTTCACTAGTTGTAATATCAGCAGTGAATTCATTTGCTGATAATACATTCTCACAGTCAAATGGAGAGTTGGCCGATTGCTTTGTTAAAAATGACTTTGTGCCATCGCTCATCTGCTCAATGGGAGAGTGAGAGTAAGAATATATGACATCTGGCTGAGCGTTTCTTTTAGTCGGTGACATAAGCAGATCAGGATGGTGGAAGAGGCTGCAAACACAATAATATGTTATTGACAAAACATCAAAAACTGTTGTCAACAGACTTCACACAGTCTCGCTTGCATACCCAGCTCCAGAGGGTTTGGTGTTGCTGTGTGCAGAGTAACGGACTCTCGCCTGGCTCTCATGGTCCAGCTGTTTCACCTGCGACTCCAGCTTTGAAATGATTCTAGCAAATAAACATAAACCGCAATCAGAATTCTTGTATTGCCATTGTAAGTAACAGGAAGCAGCAAACTAGAATTTTAGTCTTTAGCTCATGGTGCAAACAAGTTAAACAAGTGAAAAATGGAAATAAAGGCATGCATACAAAATCTTTATACAATTATTTTCTTAAAAGTTCTAGTTTATTTAAGTGGCATGCACACTAATAAATGAGAAACATATAAAAATGGTGATTAGCGGACCTTTTAAGTTCAGATATCTCCCCATATGCATCCACAAGCTTGTTGTCGGTTGACATTAGGTTGTTCTGCACATAAGGAACAAAAGGGAGGAAAAGGTTAATAATAATAATAATTGTAAAGATGAGAGATGCTGACATGATTACAGTACCTTGAGGCCTTCATGCTTTTTTGCAAGGGAGTCATATTCTCCAAGGAGCTAAAAGAAATAATGGTTAAACAATTTAACAAAGTAGAAGGCGGTCAAAAAACAGAGGTGATGATCCAGGATCAGAATTTCTTCTGTTTGATTCTCTGATCTGTGTCGGCGAATTCAACTGTTTTGTAAAGTCCTCCAAGATAACTACTATTGTTCAAGAATACATTGAACTGAATTCAAACTGAAGTCTATGTCTGACTTTATTTATGGCACAACTATTATCCCTGTGATGCAGGTGCTCTGAAGTTGCATTTAAGGACATTTATGGACATTGGTCATCTGCCCCTTATGGACCAATTCCTATGTCTTTGTTATTACTACATTTCCTGTGTTGGGCTGCAACTTCAGAATGTCCCCAAAATGTCACTTTATCTACTTATCCTGCCCTATATGTACAGTATATAACTTTGCACTATGTATAGAGATATTTCAAAAGATTGATATTGAAGCATTTACCAATAAGCTAAGAAACAGCAGCTACTTATATTGTATATTCTGTGTGCTCCCTGTGTGCTCTTACTACTGTCCTGTATGTGCGCTGCAACATTGAAATTTCCCCACTATGGGATGAATAAAGGATCTCTTATCTTATCTTATTCTGTGATCTGTGTTGGCGAACTGTCAACTTTGTAAAGTCCTCCAAGATTAGATTAGAAGTTGTGATTTAGGGCTATACAAAAACAAATTGAATTGAATTGAATTGATATTTTACAGGAATCTATGCACTTTATATAGTTAGATATAAAAGAGACTTCTCTAATTCTCTCTGAAAATAAACACTATTTCCAATGAACCCATTTGCCCGTCAAAAGAAACAATAGGTGAAAGGTGTTTGTGCTTCTCACTCACATCCTGAAGCATCTTGTACTCCCTCTCTCTCTTGGTCTTCTTTTCCTCTGCATCTCGCTGGGCTTTCTCTGCTTCCTCTTCCAGTTGTTGGACTCGGCTCCTCAGTTTAGCTGCTAACGTGTCTTTCTCTTTGGCCGAGCGCTTGTTTTCCTCCACCTTCTTCTGTAAAGCCTTCACGGTGGCACCAGCAACTGCGTATCGCTCTGACCATTCCGTCTGAGAAAAAAAATTGTTCCAAATCAAAATACAAATATATTACTAACAATATAATGACATATTTTCAGATTATTCTATTGCCATTGTAAGTAACAGGAAGCCACAAATGAGGAATTTGCTTTGGCTCATGTTGTAAAAGTATATATACTTATATATAAATGGCATGCTTGTTCTTGTTTTATTTTGCAGTATAATAATAAAAATGCATCACTGTTTTATAGCACTTTTTCTGGACACTCAAACATACGTCATTAATAATTCCCTCCATTTACGGTGGTGATGAACTACTACTATAGCCGCAGCTGCCCTGAGGCACACTGACAGAAGCGAGTAGGTGCTATAGGTCCCTCCGACCATTCACACACACGAGACTCGTTGCAGGCAATGTGGGTGAAGTGTCTTGCCTAAGGACACAATGACAGTTTGGAACATTACAGCCGCAGCCGCCCCACTGTGGCACCTGGTATTCCCAGAGGTCTCCCATCCCAGTACAATTCTGGCCCTGTCCTGCTTATATACAGAGGTCTGACGGGATCTAGCTTTAACATGCAGTTATGGCCACAAATATTGTTATCAGTTCTCCTGTGTCTTTTTAGTTTTACTTCCTGTTCTAGGGATTTCCTGCCCTGTGTGTCCCTGTGCGTCCCTGTGCGTCCCTGTGCGTCCCTGTGCGTCCCTGTGTGTCCCTGTGTGTCCCTGTGTATCCCTGTGTGTCCCTGTGTGTCCCTGTGCTTCCCTGTGTGTCCCTGTGTATCCCTGTGTATCCCTGTGTGTCCCTGTGTGTCCCTGTGCGTCCCTGTGCGTCCCTGTGCGTCCCTGTGCGTCCCTGTGCGTCCCTGTGCGTCCCTGTGTGTCCCTGTGTATCCCTGTGTATCCCTGTGTGTCCCTGTGTGTCCCTGTGCGTCCCTGTGCGTCCCTGTGCGTCCCTGTGTGTCCCTGTGTGTCCCTGTGTGTCCCTGTGTGTCCCTGTGCGTCCCTGTGCTTCCCTGTGTGTATTTAAACCCTGTGCTCCTCTCTTCTTGTTGTCAGTCCATCGTACCCTTGTCCCTGTTTCTTTGTGTTTTGAATTGAAAGTTCTGTTATATCTATTTTATATCCATTTTTGCATTTCAGTTCTCACTTTTGTTCTGCACCTGTGACAATAAGAGCATGCGCTTAGAGCCTTAGATAATAACATACAATTTTTTTCTCCAGCGAACTGTTATTTGCCTCTAGTTCTTGAATGCGACTTGTTGCGTCAGCCAAAGCTTTTTCCAAATGTTTGCATCTGTAAGAATGAAAAATCACAATTTAAAAATCAATGTACATAAAACTACGTTACAATGTAGAGAGATTGTGAACAAACCTTTCAGAAAGGGCCTGGTTGGTCTTCTCTAGGTCTTTGGGGAGATTGCTGAGTCTAAGTTTGTCTGAAAGATGTTTTATCTCAGATTCATAGTAGGCTTTTAGATCGGCCACGTGTCTTGCATGTTTCTCCCTCAAATTTTGTCTGAGTCTGAAGAGAAACAAACAATCATTTAAAATATTCTGCAAATGTTCATGCACAAATAGGTTGCATTTCGGTGACATCACAACATTCCAAAGAGCCTATTGTTTAATATTGTGGTGGAGGGCAAATGAAAAATCTTTACTGGTAACTATGGTAGCTGTCAAAAGAAAATCCGATTTCTAGTCTTCGTTTAGAAAAAATTCTTGACCATTAATTCACATGATTCTTATAATTCAAAGCCAATGAGTAGATGTGGTAACAATATGTATATGTATGATATTGTAGGGTTTGTGAATCTAACTTTTGAACATTATTTTCAACATTTGTTTAAAAAATGTATTCTTTCCCATAGAGTCGTACAGGAAATACAATTCTAGACCATGAACGCAACACATTACAGCTCTGGAATATGTACTTCTGAGTATAGACTGTTGGAATACTCACAGTGAAAGTACGACAGGATCATCCACTGAACCAGAGCCGTGTGTGTGGTGCTCTCGCTCGCTGTGGACGGGAGAATTGTGCTGAAAGTTATGATGTGGGGCAGGAGGGGGGAAAAGAGTCCACTGGTCCTGCAGCTTCAGAGGTGAATCTCGAGCTGTGCAGACACTGGAGGCATCAGAAATACAGTCCGCTTCCACAGGGTTATGACTGTCCGGGGTCAGGGGGGTCTGAGCCCTGAGGCCGGGGTGAGAGGGCGTGGAGAAAGAAGGGCTGCTGAAGTGAGAGGGCGAAGTGAAGCCAGAGGTACAATCCGAGTGTCGTGTCGTGACAGCTGTGTCAAACACCTAAGTCACAAACATGTAACGTTATAAGCAGCTTTACTTAGAAAAAAAATCACAGCTTAACTTTGTAACATACTTGTGGTTGTAGAGATGAGGAGGTGGATTTGCAAGAACCATCCTGATCAACGCGTTTGAAATCAGCTTCTTGTTTATTACAGTAAATCTCCTTCAGAGACAGTTGAGATTGCTGACGCCGCCCAATAAGAAAGTGACAAAGTATATTATTAAAATTGTGGAGTTCGTAGGGTTGCGAATTTTCAAAGATGGAAGGTTGGCTCTTGATAGGGCACTTCAATATAGTTGAGGAAAGTAATTTATCATACTTATAGCATAATCTTGACTAAAAAAAATAGATGCCATTCAAATGCACTTGATTATGCATGTCGTTCCTCAATCACATGTACACAGCACACTGCTCACTGTAAGCCTCCTACTGGCACTGCGCATTTCTCATCACATGTACAGAAGATTTCTGGGAGACTGGACCACACTTTAGAGCCCAAAGCACAAGACTATTGAAGGCTTTTGAGCCTGTGGACTAAACAAAGTTTTGATGTTATTATGGAGATTTATATTGATTCAATGTTCAATTGTAAATATCACATGCACACATATTCATCAAGTAGATAGCAAGGTGACAAGATAGATGTTTAATGTGGGATGTTTTGGACTTGGACCTTTTCATTTCCTTCAATGTTGAATGCTTCCCGAATTCCCCGTCTTAACTTCTCAAAGAATTGTACCGCCCCTTTGCAACCCTAGTTGTTTGTTTTTAATTTTTTATAACAAAACCAAACAGTAGCAGTACCTTCCATGTCAATGTTCAACAAACTAATAAAAATGATTCACACCAAACTAGCTGTAACTTACATAACCCATGGATGCTTCTTTCAAAAGATGCACGCCGCTGTCAAAGCTCTCCGGTAGAGGGTGATATAGATCATTCTCATGCAGTCGCCAATAGGTCAGTCCTGCAAGAAATATAAAAACCCATTAAACAGGTAACAGGTGAAAGGTAAGAAAAGAAAATATGTGTGTTTTAATACTTTCATGTAGCTTCAAACAATTAGAATGACATATCAAGACACCTGCTTGTATATCAATACCTGAGGCCTCAGAAATAAGACTATCGCTCCTCCTTAGACCACCTGCTTGATTCTATGGGGGGGATAGCATAAAATTAACAATGGAAGATATTTCTAACACTGTAGATCATTCTGTAACTTTATACCTGGTCTGGTGAATCTGAATGTAACTTAAATTGCTGGTCTGGTTCCACGTGTTTGAGGCATTGCTCTGCATTTGGCAAAGCCTTGTTTTTCTTCTGCCTAAGTTTGTTCATCTGTGCCCAGGAGGTAAGTTGCTGGTGTACCCTAACATCAAAAGGAAAAATAATAAAACTGACAAAGAAAGATAACACTGTGGGAATGTAATGTATTCAAAGACCATACCCAGAAGTTAGCTGCTGGTTTTTTTGCTGGCTTATTCGTTCCGCTCCAGGTTTCTTTGTACTTGAATGTTTCCACGGACTTTTGTTCACACGTGAGGTTTTGTCATCTGTGTTCAGTGACTTTTTGAATTTCTTTTGACTTTCACTTTCCCGATTCTCTGGGGAAGAGTTCATAAAACCTGTCTTCCAAGAAAACATAGTCCCGTAACCACTACTGAGCACTGTGGCTGCCGGCTCCTCTGTTGTGACGGTTTGGACCCCCAGATTCTGATCATCAATACTAAATGTGGGCAAAGTATCGTCCTCCACGTCCAAAAAGGTTTTATGAGGTAGAAAACTACCTTGGCGGTTTTGTATCTGCACAAGAGCTTTGATTTCATCTTGAATTAACTGAAAAACAATAACAAAAGGGATTCAAGCACAAACGTTATTAAACAGTTTTCTTATGCACACTTTCAGCATTTAAATATTACCTGAATTTGGCACTGGTATTGTTCCTGTTGAGCAAGTATTTGCTCTTGGTATTGCTTTTCAACAAGCTGAAAAAGATGGAGCCACCGACTCTGTGGAAAAGATGTAATAACTGAGTAGTAAGGTGGACAATGAAACCCTGGTGCATCCAATAAATGATTGTCGTGTTTGGGGTTGTAATAAGAAAAAATGTAGAACGGTTCATTGAGTTATTTGGATATGAATACTTTCGCTTGGCACTGTATAACACATCATTCCCATAAACATGTCACACACTACACATTATATCATGTCTATAGAACAGTGGACCCCTTATCATTTTTCTCACCGTCTAAATTTATATAATTATTACTGCCACAATATTGAGACATATTTTTAACATTATTTGTATTCCTTTCAACCACGAAATGTACTTTTTTGACTGTACTTTTTTGACTGGGTTTGGTAGAATTGCCTTTAACTTCGTTCCTCACACTTCTCACAATAGCTGGCTGGATTCTTAAACCGGTCCACTCAACTAGTGTAAATGAGTCAGGTTTGTAGCCACTTGATCTAAAACACCCAAACATTTTCTATAAGATTGAGATCAGGGCTTTGTCCTTGTGCAACTTTGTAAACCCAATCCACTCAAAAACTTCTTTGAGTCTTGAGACCATGTTAACAGATTTACATAAGGTCAAACTTTTGACTTTGTAGAAATATATATTTGAAAATACCCTCTCTCAATATTGTGGCATCGAGCAAATAGAAAGATTCTAGGTGAGTAAAACAATATATGTTTTTAAATGTAACTTCAGACAGCGGATTTTTACACAGTAAGTAAAGATATCATGTACTGTATATATATTTCTAGTATATGAAGTCACCTCGCAGTCCTTCCAGATCTCAGGATTGGTCTCCCCACTGCTCCGTATCTCCTGCACCAAGGCTCTAAGTGTCTCGATGGAGCTTGGATTTATAAAAGGAAGATTCTTCCCATGTCCATATACTTCAGGACTCAAACAAAGATTCCTATGGTAAATAATATTTATTATTATTATTGAAAATAAAAACAAAACACTGGAGCAGAAGAATCATGTTTTAACTCATGCACCTGATGTTTTTGAGGACTGGTGTATCGATCGTCTTGCACTGCACAGTCCCTCCAGTTGTGTGGGAGGTTGTGAGTCTGTCCTCAGAGACAGAGAGCCCAGGGGCAGAGGTCCCTTCAGACGACACCAGGGACGTTTCACTGTCTTTGCCCCCATCTCCATCAGCATTAACAGGGCAGTGGCCCAATGCCCCTGAACTGGACACATCCTCTGAGACACTGTCATCGGTGGACATTATGACGCCATATAGAGAAGGCCTGTTGGAGAGCTACAAAGAATACATTACTATAGCAATGTATAATTGGTGTGTACCGAAAATAAATTAGGACAGCATTACATCTGAAGAGATTTATTTTGTGCTGTATACACAGGGAACACATTGGTTTGATTGGAATTAAGCCTTCGTTAAATCATTAACAACATCAAATAATCTATACATAACGTCCTAGTGTCAGTCAGATGCAAGAAGACAGTGATAAAATTGGCATACAATAGACAGTAGTAGGCGGATGTTTGAATTATTGGGGATAAATTACGGATGCACCAGATCTCGCAACAAAAAAAGATTATAATAATAAAATGGTATGAAACTATCTGCCATGTTGTACACCCGGACAGCAGAATGTGTGGCTAATCTTTGAGAATATATGAAAATACTGTGTAATAACTATGCATTAGGCGATGGTCCGCACGTATTGATGTTTCGTTTATTGGTGACTGTGTGATCAGTGCAAGAGGCAGGAGTCTGTATTCTCTGCATCCTAACTGGGTTACCAGTTCATGGTGCAGTAATATTGTAACGTAAATGCAGACTGTATCACATCTGCCTGCAGCAACACTGTCCACTATCTTCAACTCGGCAGAGATTTGAATGAGAAACTGCAAGAAACAGTGATCGAGACAACCAGCTAACCAGTCTTAGTTAGCTTCTACAACGTGAGCAGAAGAGATCCATCCATCCTCAAATCAATAATACTTTACATCTATGATCCTCTATGTTCGTTAAGCTAGAGAGGGACAATACAGCTTTAAACCACATGACCGTCTTGAACCATACACTCACAAAAAGTAAATATGACATTACCCGTTTGTTTGTTTCCTTCTGTCAGCCATATTTCTCTAGCGTTAGAGCCGCAGTGAAGGAGCGCTGCAGCGCCCTCTGCAGGCCGACGTATGACACTGTAGTGGCAGCACGACGACTACAACTCCCACCCAGACAGTAAAACTCCCACCACTGACCATAAAAGATGGTAGAAACAAAAAATAGACAACGGCAATTGTATTGAAAATACAATTTAATCATAACACCAAGTAATAAATACATACAAAGATGCAAGTAATAGCATTTTCATTTTTCTTATTATTTTGTTTTATTTAGTTGCTTTTTATTTTTCCTTTTCTTTTTTTAACCAAAATTGTTACCACAAAATAAATCACAAAGTTTCGTACATCTGACCTTCAGTCACGTGACTTGAAAAATTGATGAAATACTATAAAATTGTCTACCCCAATACAGCCATGCAGCATCAACTACCCCACAGGCCCAAAAACATGCATTAATGAAGTGAGTACAAAAGTCGTCTCCCTTGAAACAAATAAATCACACAATTTCTAATTCTTCCATTTATCTGGCTCCTTCCGCTTTGACCTTTTTCATGTAGAAAATATCATGCACATATGATCAAGGTCTGTTTAAGAACGGGCATTTCTTTCTGTCTCAGCCAAACATTCCCGCACCAGGCCCCTGGCATGGATTATACCTGAAAGAAAAAAAACAACCTTCAAAATAGATTTTTTTTTCTACCGCGACTCACAGCAGACTTTTGCGTATGTTTTCACAAACATTGCGAGAATTCCGCTTGCGTAAGATTGAGCAACATCTGAATAGATTTAGAGTTTACCTCTTTTCAGTCTTTCCATTGCACTTTTGCTCCCAGCATATGTTGGCCTGATCTCTTTGCCAAGCTCCTCAATGATGGCCAACAGCTCTGCATATTTGTTCTGAGGCACTTGACCACCACCGGAGGTACCCTTAAAACACAATCACAATCAAAATACAAATATAGAATAAAACTTGTGTTGAACAAAAGAATCAATAGTCTTGTAAGTACTTGTGGGAATCCAAGCGTAGGAGGGCCATAATCACTTAGAAGAGGCCTATAAGATTGCAAGGTGGCCAGATTTGCAGCAGATGCGGATGTAAGGTTTGCAACTGTTGAGAAAAAAAATATTGAGATGTTGTCGGTGTGAAGTGATAACAAATCTGCAAACACATAATGTAAAGAACTTTTTTTTTATTTGATTTGTTAAGAATTTACTCTCAATATTGAGAAACTTGATTTCTGTTTTTGTTACTTTCTATAAAGTCAGAACATGTTCACTCAATAGCGATTCCCCTGGTGTTTTAAAGTTCTGTATATTTGTTTGAACAGAAGAACTTGGCACTTTCACTGACGAATCAGTCAATCAGAAGATTCCAATGCCATGAGATCATTATTTGGGCTTTCCCATCCGGGTTAAAATACATAGTGACCTTCTGACTTTGCAGAAACTAGAAATGAATAAAACATCATTAACAACGACTCCCCAGGGAGGCCTCCAAGAGGCATTGGAGACAGATGTAGAGCCACCTCAACTGGATACACTCGACGTGGAGAAGCAGCGGCTCTATTCCGAGCTGCTACCATGTGACAGAGCTCCTTGCTCTGTTCTTACTTCAGTGAGGAAAAAAAGGCATATAGAGCCCAATATTATGGTTTCCGCTGTACACTGTCCTTGAGGCAAAGTTGTTCTCGTTAAAAACAAATATTTATTTTGGCACTTGTAATGTATTGAGTAATACATTTGCTGCTTTTATCTTATATGCAGCTCATATAAACAAAACCTGTATTTGTCCCACAGTGTGGTAATATTTACAGTAATAACTGTACAGGGAAACAAAGAATAGACAGAATATATAGAAGTGATTTATCAGTGGAGAGAGTGGTACCTGTTACACTATCACACATTTCACAAATTACTGCCACTACTACATTCCTCTTCATCTTGAAAGTCTACACTTCGAAAATAACAACATAAATACTGTACACAGCCTCTTTCTGCGTTTGAGATGGAAACAGTGCTATGCCAGTGTGGTCCAGCAGATGTCCTCAAAGCGACAGAAAAGCCAGGGCAGATCAATCAGCAGCTCTCGGTCTGAGCATCATGGAGGACGCGGAACAAGGCTCGAGACTCAAGCAGCGATACATTTTTGTCACCGTGTCTCGCGCCCGCTGAGCGGCACGAGACCGGACCGCGCGCTCACGGCTCCCACACCAAACAACACGTTGAATGCCTCGCTTCTCGTTATCTTAAAACAAAAGATCGCGCCTGTGTTACAGTAGTAATAATGGCGGATATGAATTAGCCTAGCTCCCAGGATCTGACCCTGTGTTACTGGACAAAAACTACAGACTCTGTCTTTCTCCAGGTATTCTCCGAGACCCCGAATTTAACACTCGATTAAACAAGCGGATGCTTTGAATTTACGCTACATTTCAACCTTACCAGATGTCCCAGAAGTCCCCGGTATATGCTGATGGACATTGGGTTTGTGAGACATTCCCAAAGACATTGTAATTTAAAGAAATAGAAATGACCCGAAATTCAGTGAAGCGTCTGTCTCTCACTTTTTGTTTACTACAGCGGCACCGGCAAATATGGCCGTCACATTGTATTGACACCCACAGTCCTTTTTAACGAGCTCCATTGCGAGATTATACAAAAAAACCATAAAATTCACGAATCAAAGATTAGCTCATCTTTATTGATTATAATGCGCTGATGCTTATTTAAACTTGACTTTAAGTTTATTTAGTTTAGATTTTCTAAATCACTCAATTAGGCAGAATAACAAGATTGTGTTACGGTATTTTAAAACGAGTGTTTGAGTTTTACACCTCAAGCAAATTGAACGATATTTTACCGCTGATTTAGTTGATGGATCTATAAATATAAAACGTGCGCTTACCAGATAATGGAAAATCTAACGTAAGGAGAACAAAGCTTTCTTTTGTCGCACTCTGATGTCGAATGTGTTGGAAGAGAAACTTTGGTAGAAACTAAAAGCATCTTCAGAGCAGTCTGCCATGTCATCCAGGATGATATGCCACATATCTACGCGAAACCTTTGCAGCAATCTGCGCCATGCTACAGAGCGTTGGGTGCTGTTCTAAATGGTTTTGTCCAACATTGTCACATTTGCAGACGGGCAATTGGTATCAAAAGTTAATTTGTCTCCATATAACAAACCAGAGCTATAAAGTCCTGGGCTTTTAGTTAATTGATACAATTCAGCAAAACATTAATATGGTAATAAAATAATCAAAACAAGTTTTGTATTTACAGATTTAATTTCTTCAAAACAAAATATACAACTTCCTGAAGGCTCAAGCTTACCTGTACAATAACTTGTAACAAACCCATTTACAGTAAACTGTATAAATGTATGTAGAGTTGGTCAGTTAAACTATACTGTGGCCCAATTAATAAACAACTTGCACACGTTAGTTACATTTGTTTCACAACTCACTGACTTTGTCATGTTTGGGTTAAACGCATCACATCGGGCAAAACGTGTTCTGTGCACAGTACAACAGCCTAAAGCAGACATGCCTTCAGAGATTAATTTATGTTACAAGGAATTACATGTTCCACTCTGAATATCAGAGGATAATATATCACCCATGAAAAATTGAGTGAAAATTAAGGTTTTAAAAAAAATGAGGGGCAAAGGAACCACATTTTACACCAATTGTTGCACAAACTACTGATGGAAGCTCCGAAGCCTGCAGTGCAATGAGACCCGTGTCCCTTTTGCTTGGGACATGAAGAAAAAAAACAATCCTAAAGGTTAAGAACATGACTGAAACTTTGGGGATGGAGCTGTTGTCGTTTCTGCAGTTCCTGCACCGCGATCTGCTGGCTCTGGTCTGACGTGGAGAGTTTATGGATGAGTGGAGAGACACAATTTGCTGGAATCAAGAGTCCTGGAAAAAGCAAATGGTCAAATACACAAAACTTTGTACCAGTCAACTCTCAATGCTGAAAACTTGCCCTTACCAACTATTCTCTGACCATCTTCTGTTCTGAGACGGACGATCTGAACTTTTACATTGGTTCCACTGACCGGAGTGAGCACTTCCTCCAGTTCATTCCAAACACTGAGAACCGACCCACAAAGGACATAGTACGTCCTGCACCGGAGGCCCACCTCACACTGCAGACCGACTGATGCCTTCTTACAGTTTCCCCTCCTGTTAAATTTACAGACATGTCATTATATAATATATATATATATATATTCTTTTTTTTAAATACATAAAAGAAATTAGAAAAGGTTTACCAATAAGCATGAGAGCAAATCAGTGCTGACGAGTTGTACTGATCCATCCAGTGGCGTTTGGCTTCTTCTGACAATACCTAACATTACAAATAAGGTTCAGAGACATACATGACACTGCAATACTCAAAACACTTTACCTTTTTGAATTTTTTCTTGATATCAGCATAAGTCTCCAATTTTAGCTGTCTTCCAGTGTTTGGTCGGTAGACTAGAAACAGACGCTTTTTGGGATTCACTTCGTTGACTAATATTGCCGTTTTCTTGTTGTTTCTCATCTGAAAGAATATCAAAGTTGAAGTCTTCCATTCCGAGACAAACATGCTATGCCAAGTAAAATGACCCAAAATGATCCAATTCAATACCTGCACATAAAATCCATCGTCAGGCCCATTTTGATCTGCCCAGGCATGAGTAGCCTCTTCCCAGGACATCCCTCTTTCAACCTTGACCTGTAAATGAGGATGGCTTGAGTCACTGTGAAACTCAACATGAGACATTACATAAAGGAGACACCTACAGTGAACAGTTCAACGTGTCCTGATGTTGTGTAACCTGGAGTTAAAAACTTCTTAGATTCAACCTTCTCAACTTTCTCATCGCCAGAGCCAAGGTCTAAACAAGAGATAATGTTTTAAATGTAATTTCTTTGGAAATTATCTGAAAAATTTAAGATGCCAAGCCAACTTACCCAGAATACCCATGTCATATCTGCCGTTCTTTTTGGCTTCTTGAATGACTGCAGCTAGAGTTTCTGAGAAATATTGGAACAATGAATTCTGCTGCTGAACTTCCATTCCCAAAATGCGATTGAGAAACTTCCCAATGTTGTTGTAGTCTGTAAGAAAGGTTTACATCTTTAGTATACATCTTTGTACATGTGTCTAAAACATTAGGATTTTACCTTTGTCAAGTGACAACCCTCCAGACCTTTCCTCTATACTTATTAAACCCACACCAATTAAACCACCCTGAATTTCTTGAGAAAAAGAAAACTATGTATTAATTTAAATGTGTTAAGAAAAAGGGACAAATTGTGTAGAAAGATGTCATGAGACATACCTTTAAAGAAATCTCCTTTAAACTCCGCCGGCGGAGGCACCAATGGACTATCAAGCTTCACAATCGACTTCATGACAATCTCAAGAGCATTTCTGCCATACTGTTAAAATATAATACATCTTATTATTCACTGCAGTCAAACAATAAAACAGGTGTCAAATCCTAACCACTAACCTTGTTATCAAAATTAAATCTGCTCAAGTCTCTGGTCTCTGTTGCTCTTCTGTCTCCATGAGTAAGAGCCCCCTGGTGATAAGAAAAATATATGTTATATAACAAAAACACACACATTTGACCAATTCAAATATTAATTCTCTGTTCTCACCAAGCTTTCCAGTCTTTTGGCAACAATAGATGCAAACCTCTGCTCTCCAGCAAGTTCTGATATGAGGAAAACGTACTCAGGAGCAGTTACTTGGTTTGATCTGTGAGTTCTCCCTGAAAAGATATACAAAAATAAAAGATGGAACAACACGTTCATGTTGTTCCAGTCTAATTTAAGTCTTCAGCAAAATGATTTCCCGGAAATTTGGGAAATCATTTTGACCCTAAAGTGTAGATGCAAACATATGCATCAGTGGTATTCACGAGCATCTTAACCTCTTCACTAAATTCTCAAAAGTCTGGTCTCATACAAGTAGTAATGTCAATAATGTAAGTGTGTTTTTTATGGGAACATCCATTTTTGGTGTGATGCTTCTGATAAAGAAGTAATCACTAAAACATGTCAAGGGAATTATCTCACACACATTTAACAGAATTATAATTTAACGCCTTGATGATAAAGATAAATTCATTAAATGTAAGTTCTCAACAGATTGTATTTACCAAACTGCTGTATCGCTCTGTCTGCGCTCCATGGCAGCTCCAGAGTCATATGAACTCTCCTCCGTTGGTTACGCACTCGCCGGTCCGCTTGCAGAGATATACCAGAGCTGGCAGCTTCAGAGATTATGGCTATATTCTAGATTATGAAAATAAATGATAAACTCTTGGTATAAACACGTACAAATAATCCTGCTCAAATTAATAATTAAACATTTACTTTCTCTCCATCCATAAATCTTTGCTTTTCTGTTAGATTGAGGATTTCCACAGGAACGTCCAGCTCTGAGCGAGACTCATAAGTAATGCTTCCATCATCGTTGCTCACCACACGGCCTTTACGACCAGTCATCTGAAAAGGATAAAAATAAATTAATAAAAACCTCCCAGTCACAACCATTATCCCCATAATCATTATAGACATGGCGAAGGAGAGGAAAACCATTGGAGAACAACCAGTAAAGCCCAGGGGTCAAAAATGTATGTAACCTAGGGTCTGTAAACTAGGGGAATAATCTAATCTGCGAATCTTCACTGAGGCAATAGTCAAAGTGTAGAGTTCATACCTCGGCAACATTCTCAGGGCCCCCAAGTTCATCAATCAACTCATCCAATGTATTGGGAGGGAGGTCCTCCGAAAGCTTCTCCAACTGCTCCAGCAGATCCTTCTTCATCTTTTGGGCAAGTTCCACTGAGTCCTGACTGGTTAAGCAGCCATCATTGTTTTCTGGTTTTGCTTGAACGATGAAAGAGGTAGAGAACATTAATTATCACAACAATAATAATGGAGTTAAGGACATTTAGCATCCTATTGGTCCTAAAATGCCGTTAAGTGCAACTGATCTAAAGGGATAACATTTAAAAAGAGCGAGTGACTTCAGTGGGACAAACAACGGTACCAGTTGTAGTGTGGCTACATGCTGACCTGGTGCAGGAAGACTGGGTGTGCTCACGGTGGTGAAAGTGGGTCTTGTGGATCCCAGTCCAGATGCCAATAAGGCGCTCTGAATAGAGTCTGGATCAACACTTTTCCTCCTTTTATTCTTAGTCTTCTTCTCCTTCCTTTTTTTGGGTTCTTTTCTGATTAGCCATGGATCTGAAACATTAGAATATTGAGCAAACTTCATTGTGTTTCCACTGTATTTGTTTTCTAAATAAAACAGTTTAGCTTTTACTCATTTGAATAATATCAGTTCTCACCATCGTCGTCACCGGATTCTTCTCTGAAAGGGTTAAAATCATCATCTTCAGCAGAGCTCACAGACTTGAAGCTGTCATCACTGTCCATCTCCTTCTCAGATTCTTTATCAGAAGCATCAGACTGGCTTTCGTCGGAGCTGGTGCCCGAAAGACCCCCGTGCTTACGAGCTTTCTTCTTCGGCTTCTTTGGTTCTGGAGCTGATAAAGCAAAGACTTGATTTAAAATCAATAATCATGATTTTAAATGGTGTGCATTTTAGATTAAGAGATCCTTTATTCGTCCCACAGCAGGGAAATGTCAGTGTTGCATCACAAGTTATAGACCAGTAGGAAAGAGGAGCACACAGCACAAGATAAGCGAACAATAGCTATACTAATTAAAATAAAACAAAATCTAACTTTAGCAGCAAAAAATCTAGTATAAAATCTATCTTGAAAATAATCTTTAAAAAAAGAGTAAGATTTTACATTTGTCAAAATAAGAGGCAAGAATAAAGTACTGTGTATTCTAGCGCAAACAATGTAGTAATATTTTTGCATCTGTAAATTAACAGCAGTATCTTATTTTACCTTTTCTCTTCTTGCCCTTTTGCTCAGTCCCAGCACTGTTGCTCACGGTTTCCGCTTTATTTCCAGGAATGTCTAGTCCAAGCAAACTATAAAGTTTCTGTCTATCAGGTGCCGGAAAATGCTTTTCAATTAGAGACTGAAGAACACCCCTGTAACAGAAGTATCAGTATAAGATCCAAACAATAATTAATCCACTGTTCTCCAAGCTGAGTCTTACTTTGCGGTTGACACAAAATCATTGAGCTCTCCGCCTCCTTCCTCCAGCGCCTCTAGTGTCCGTGCTTCTCCAGTAGACTGAAGGCCAATCACCACACACTAAATAAATGAAAAATTGGTAAAACCTTAGACCTCTACATTCTTGTGCTATTAAAAAATGCCTCGGATGGTACGCCTCACCTTTCCATTCTGAACCTCTTCTCGAGCAAGTTGCACCACCCTATGAACTTTTGAAGCAATGCACAAATATTTGAAGAACCTCTGATGGGCTGACCAGAACTGGCCCCACATGGACTTTTTCATACGTTGCTCCGCATCCATCAGATTAGCCGCTTGTTGAAACTTTTCCCGCGCACTCACCCACTAGGATAAAGGTGATGTTAATTATTGTATTCAATTCCTCAGCCTAACCAACAATAGAAGATGGACATACCAGTTTAACAGACTTGTTATACATTTTTATGTATTTTTGACTCAGTGGAACCTCCTCAATCTTAAACGTTACACCTGTGAAACTAAGCTGTCGTGCAATGTACATCCCCCTCAGTTTCATGTCCATTGCAACAATCTCCATAGCGCCCACGCCTCTGAAATCAAATCAGTTGAACCTTTTTTAGTTACATGTGCAAGTGTATAAACTATGTATCTTAACATACCTGCGCTCCACAGCTTGGATGAAATTTCCAAATTCTTTAAAAGGGGTTTTGTGTCCCCATATGCCTAGACGATTCATATAGGCCATGTTCCTTGGTTCAGAAGCACCTAAGTGGTAATATAATTTATAAGTATGTCATTTATCTATTCAGAAATCCAGCATGCCACACAAGTAATCCACTCGCCTGTTGCACTAGCATATACAACACGAGCTTTGGGCAGTTTGTTTTGCAACTCGAGCACAGCAAGTCCTGTTTTCGTAGGCTTTGATGATCCGATCGGACAAACATTTTTGGCTTTGTGACACTCATCATAAACAATCTGTGAATTTTATTAAGGAAATCAGTGTTGTAACTCATATATAGTATATATGAACAAATAATAATTGTTCACAGAAAGGATACAACGCCGTCAAAATCTTCCCCACACCAGTGAAGAAGCTGGTCGAATCTGGTCTTGTACTTTCCACCTGACTGACTTTCTCCAATCAAGGATGAGTATGTAGCAAATATTACACCTTTCCTCACACTTCCATTATGTTTAGCCGATATTTTTCCATATTTGAACTGAAAAAGACAGCAGTCATTAAACTATATTGTAAGACATAATTTTCCAACCTTTTACATAAGACAAGATACACTTTATTGATCTCACAATGGAGAAATGTCACATACCTTGTTTAGAGAATGGACTTGAATATTTTTTGCACCAATGTCCCTCAAGTCTCTTTCAGCATCATACTTCAAATCATTGGAAACACTAAACCTAAAAAAGACAAAAGTCAGACCTTAGGGGAGGGACAAGACCCAATTTCCATAAGACAAGATCTTTCGATTTGAGTGACAAATCTTCTGCATGTTCCCAAAAGTGAATTTCAAACTACACTTCCCAATTACTTGGAACAATAATTAGCACCAATTCCCTTCAACATGTGCAAAATAATCTTTGCACAAACCAAATGTAAAAGACCAAAAAGAACATCTCATGGGATCATTATTCTCTTGTGACAGTCTCATCCCATTCCTACTGGACATCCAAAGATTCTAGTCTCTCAAGGAATATTCCAAAAAATCGAAACTATAGATTTACCAAAGAGAGCGCTTCCGGCCAAGAAGGTAATTTTCGTAGATGATTCCTGCTATGGTGCGCCCTTTGCCTACACCGGCTCCGTCCCCAATCAAGTAAGCAGCTCTTTCACCATTCGGAAGAAATGTTTCGTGTTGCTGAAAAACAATGATATGTCAGAGCAAGACATTATTGGGGCAATGGAGGGGGGGGGGGGGACGTTTACCTGTGCTGAATACGTAACTGCTTCTAGTTGCAAAGCAGACAAACAGCCTCTGTCAATGACCTCCTCTGGGATGGAAAGCCTGTACCACACATCTGGAGGGCTGACACTTGAAAGGGAACTAGTTTCTACCACAGGATCAGGGTGTCTCAGGCCAACTTTTACTGTTTAAAACAAAATAAAAAGTGAAATCAGTGAACAATATTAAAAATACAATATGGAATTCAAATTATTATTTATTTTTGATGAGAAAAAGCAAGGGGGAGGATTAAATGTTCTTACACTTCATTGGCATGTATTCGGCGTAAGTCTCTGCATGACCCAACTCCTCTTCATCTTCCTCCTCTGGTTCCTCATCATCCCTCAAACCTGGTGGTCTCTATGAAAAAAGGGGAACATTTGAACCTGCTGTGCAGCTCTAAATAGTCAGATTACACTTTATAATACTTACTAAATGAAAACGTTGCACTCGAGACTCTTCAGTAACCCAGATTTTGGGAGAGTCTTTATTCATTAGTTCCTTTTTGATCCCATTGTTCAGGTCATCTAAAAAATAATAGATCAAGTTAATCTTTTTACATTTAAAAGACCGGTAATCCATATAGTCTTACAAGAATTTTATAAATATAAACTGAACAAATGCACATAGACAAACTGCCTGAATGACAGATCATTTGCCCCACAGGCTGCTCTACCCAGAGGGTTAGCAGCACCGAAAGGATCTTAGCTGGAGTTAACACTAGGTAACTGGAAAGCCTGGAAAACCTCATGTTAGGTGCCCGTTTGTAAAGGGCTTTTGACTGGAATCCACAGTCCAAGGGAAAACTATTCCCTGACCATCAGGCCACTGTTGTAATACAGTAATGAGACTTTGAAGCACTTGTGGAAATGATAATCAGGTCTTACTTCCAGTAGAAGTTGCTGTTGCCACAGGCGGTGCAATATCAGATGGAGGTTTAAGTTTCATAAGTTCCATTAAGCTGTTACCCTTCAAGTTTGTGCTTTTAATATTTCTTGCTCGAAGTAGATCCTTCAACTGAATCTGAGGGTGATACAGAACATTAATTACATAGAATTTCTCCAAATCAGAAAAGCTGAGAAATGACATACCTGCTCTCTATTTGAAGGCACTGTGGTCAGTGATGAAATACTTGCAGCCGACTGAGTAGGTGAACCTCTAAGTGCTGAATTGGCCACATGGACCACCTTGGTCACAGTTATTGTATGTTTGATAGGATTTGTAGCGGCGTGTTTTGTTACAATGGCTCCTAATGGTGGCAGCTGATTCAACTGATTTAAGACAAACGTGGTTGTTGATGGCTGAGGTTTCTACAACAAAAAAACGCAACAATGAAATATAATAAAACTGGGCAGGGCAACTCCAAGTCTGATCAAGTCAATTTTAAGATTTAATTCCGTTTATGGAAATGCTCATGAAGCCATTGATAGGTGGGGCGCATAGCAGTGTTATCAATCTGCAATTAAGTGAGCCTGGAAAGACTAGTCTAAATTTCTAAATTTCAATTACATTTCCTGGTTTTCGAAGACTTTTCTCTATCAATATATTTTCCTGGCAGGTCTGGTTCTGAAGTTCACCCGCTGTAACCTGCACTCCACAAAACCACACTTATGTGTAACATTAATGACAATGTCCGGCCCAAAGATTTTACTTGAACAGAACAGCATTTTGGCTGACTTGATGATTTACTAAGTATGTATTATCTGTGGAGTTATTGCTGTAAATACACTGCTCATTGTTTGGAGCTGGAGACACCAGCTCAACGCAGCATAAGCACTACTGCTTGACAACTGTAGCTAATGATGCCAAGTGGAATACACAAAATTATACATCCATTATTTCAATTGGATCGGGGATTACATTTATGCCATGAGATACAAAATGTATATCTTTTTAGAATTTATAGAAGTCGGCTCCAACAAATATGATTTTTTTTTAAGATTGAAACACCCCGAGGAGATTATTATTTAGAATAAACACAAAACAATGATAATTAATGGTATCTGTGCAGTGTCAGAACTGTATCTCCAAGCACATCAAACACATAGGACTATAAGTAGAATTCAAATTTACACTGGATTATCCAAACACCAGTTTAACTTTCCTACCCTGATTGAAATGACCGAAGGTGGTATTGAGCTCGCTGGCTGACGAGCTTCAACAAGCTCTCTTCCCAAACCAACATCCAGGGCATTGATAGAGATGGACTAAATAGAAAATTCCATTAGAATAAAGCCAAAAACAAAATATTTTATCAGAGGAAATGACCCACCTGTTGAGAGTTAGATGACTGTCCAGCATCTTGAGATTCAACATCAAATAAACCTATATCATTGGGACAAATACCACTCTCGCTGAGAGCTGCGAGAAGCAAATCCTGTCCAGGATCCATCTGCAATAAAATAAAACTACCGGTAATTGTTTGTCTAAAAATTAAAAAGGGATTTCTCAGAGTGTTAATGTTTAAAACTTTTCTGCTTAATCAAAACCTTTTCAAACCTGTATTAGTGTGAAGCTATACGAAATTGTGTCCTGCAGGTGTCTAAATAAATAATTAAATCAGCTTAAAAGACATGACATTGTGTGAAGAACAACAAAACCACATGTTTATTCTGGAAGACTTGGTAATGATTAAACCAACAGATCCTAAACATTAATAACACTGTAGACAGTTTGTAGAAGTTCCGCTGTTTTAGCCAAGGTGATAGGGTAATAACGCTTTTATCCCTGAGGTGTAGTGCTACGGTCAGTGAGGCCGGCGTTTCAAAGTGACCCATAACACGACACGTGTTTGAGACACTTGGCGTGTTCACTTCCTGGTTGCCTTGCCTCAACATCGATTTGAGAGTGACAACCAAAAAGCAATATAATGAACCATTTCTTAGTATTAGTGTCTGGTATACGACATGCACACAGTTATTATTTTTTTAACGCCAAAAAAACATTAGCCAATTTGGATTACAAATGACAGCATGTTGTTAGCTGTACATATTATATTTATTATAGGTGACTTTATTTGGGGCTACGCATGATGTTATAATTGGTTTCTAGTTTGCCGTAAATGTTGAGTTTTAATATTGACCAACGTCAGTATTGTAGCTAGCGTTAAATGTTTGTGATAAGTTAAATGTGAACAACCTTTAGTTACCTAGTATAATAAACTACATATCAGTCGAGATCCTTATAAATTGAGCGTTCCCGTAAATCGTAGCTGATCCAACATCTTGATCCCACAAACTTAACCTAATAAAAATAGTGCAACTGTTAACGTTAAAGGTGTGGGACGGTTACAGGCATCAAACCAAGATTACATGTATTAAATCACACAAACAGAGACAGTAGGGACAAAACTCTTATGCAAAATTATTCTGACGCAACAAATTACTTGTTAGTTTATTTACTATGTCATTGCCGATTATAGCAAACGTTAGCCAGGCTTCAGAGTCAAGCTAGCACTAAGCTAAGAGATGTCCTCGAGCACAAACATTAGATCACTTTAAATAATGATAATCGGGTGCATTTTAAGGTCGATCCGCTTAACATCTACGTGACTGCCGATGATGTCTTTAAGATAAATGCTACTCACCAGAACCGGGAGAGGTTGCAGCAGCTCGCTTTAGGAGGTGCTGTCACGGGTTGTTGTTCTCTTCACAGCGACGCGCTCCGCTCACGCCATCTTTTATCAAACGCTCAGCCGCATGTTGGTCACGTGACGAGCAGGCCCGGAGCCGCTGGTTTCGCAGTCCACCACTCTATCAAAAGTCGGAAGAAAGGCGTCTTCTGCTCGCTGAAAAGCATCCACTGACGACAATAACCCACCGGCGACGAATATTTGAGCATTTTATCTACAATTTCACAAACGAGTAACGTAGCAGAGACAGCGAGCTAATGCACCATCACGTGACACAGCGAGGGCTAGGCAGGAAGTGACGCCTTCAAAGGGTAAATTATTTTATTTGTAAAACCACTCGTAGCGGTTGTCGATATAATATTCACTATGTTATCACTCACTATGAATATGACAGTTATTAAAATGCAGATAAATCCATACCTCGTTAGTCAACTTCTTGTAATATTTTGTGAACTTATTTCTATCCTCTATACATTTGTAGACGTTATTGTTATGTTATATGCGGAAGTTTTTTTCTATTCATCTAAATTACAGTGCAATGTTTTACCACATATTTAACTTGCAGTCAAACATACAGTCTATGTCCACAGACTGTAACTATTCTAAATTGTATTGAGTGACTGTGGCCAACAGGGGGTGTAGTTTCACCCGAGATTGACTCGAAATGGCGGAGAAAAACTGGACAAGAAGCCGTGTCGATTCATCTGCGTACATTTGAGACACATTAGGAGCTCTTGGAGCCTTGGGGCATTTCATCATAACAACTTCACATGATATTTTTTATTTGATGATCATTTTAGTCTTTCTACTGCATAGCTGGGCTGGAGGAGCCACGAAACAAGCCGGACATGAATGGGGTAAGTTTTCTTGTGTGTACTCGTTTCGAAAATGTTGCTGCATGTTGTTCATATTTAAAAAGACATTGACAACCCGTATTCATAAACAATAGCTGAATGTATTTTCTACTTGTTGGTGACCACGAAAAACATCGTTTGTTGTCAGTAATTGCTAATATTGGCTTATACACTACTGTATTATAGATCCATGATGCCTACACTACACGACAGCACGAGACTAGACTAGACTAGACAAGCCATCCACTTTGGATACCATAAGCACACACAAACATTTACTACTTCGATTTTACTGTGTTGTTAATTCTCCGAAATTAAATATAAATGGGTTGATACACGATAATAATACACTATGAATTAAGTATGCTGAAAAGTATGGTTATAAGGTTTGCAAATGGGTGGGGTCAGACTTATAGGTGTGAGGACCTTACAGATGTGAAAGCTCCCAGCATAGTAGGGACAGGGATCCCTGGAAACGACAGCTTATGCAGGAGACTTGGCAGGGCTTTATTAAAGCAAAGGCAGCAGACAGCTGCTTTTCCTCAACATGGATCTCATATTTACTGTTAGCTAGAGACATAAACATTATTGTTGTATTACCTAACTTTCAGAAACAGGTTGTATGAGTGATCCTAAAGTCATGTAGAATTTTGAAACACATTATATGCACAAGGGGGCTTGGGGAGGCTTGGGGGCCTCCAGCACATAGGGGAAGGTGGTGATTAAAAAACGGGGCCATAGCTTATTGGGGTAAAATCCTTGATTACAGTTTGTGTTTCTGGTGCCCTACAATGTACACTTTATACAGTATGTTAACTTCTGTTCTGGGATATAGTTTAGGAATGCTCATCTTTTTGGTAGATAAACTTTGCTGTTGAAACATATTACTCTATTGTAAATCTGCCTGGTATAGAAGAACCAAATATCTTTGTTTTGGGATATGAGTGTTATCATTTGACCATTTATTTTATCATTCTTAGCTATGGATCTTGTGCTTGCATGTGAGTCTTTAATAAAGTCTAAATAAAATAAACAAAAACCAGGTCTTATAGCGGTCTGTTCAGGAGCGATGCCCTGGTCCAGATCAAAGGAGATGCTGACATCAAAAGTTTGAATACACCAAATTTCTGTTTTTCTAAATACAGTATATGCTTGTATGTTGTTCCAGGAAGTTCTTTGTAACAGCCACTCCATCACAGTGATGGGGCACAGTAAGACCCTATTAATTCATAATGAACGAAACATCAACAAGGAAACTCAGTTATCGCTACACTCTCAGGAAAATGAGCCCAAAGAAAGTAAGAGACTCCTTTTTACATCTTTTAATCTTCTTTTATTGAAGTCCTTGGAAAAATAATTGACACAGTTTTTTATTACTTTTTCAGGTAAAAGACCAAAACCATTCACCATGGCAGCAAAAGATTTGAGCTTAAACCTATCAGACAGCAGCAATTGTTCAGCACAACAGCAACACGATGTGCTGAACTGCCCCCAACCCCCTTCTGCCATAACAGCTTTGTCTTACAGCCTTTTTTACACCAACAATAACAACAGTAAAATAACCCCCCAGGGTAAACAGCAGAAACGAGGAGTTAACAAAAATGAAAGAAGATCAGCAACAAAAAGGTACATGTTGCAGCTCAAAAAGATCACTAGTTTGAAGTTTCAACCTGATATTGGTGACCCCTCATGTAACACTAAAACATTAAAGGTACACTGTGTAGTTTTTACTCCCATATAGCAGTGACATCATATATTGTAATTTACGGTACTACGGTAGCTTTGCAGGACAATGTGAGGTCTTTGACAGTGGTCCCCAACTCCCGGTCCAACTCTTTTTTGTCCCTTATCAGCCACCGTATTTCAAGATGGCGCATTGACATGTAGAGTCCTCCAGCCTCATGGCCATTTATAAGTCAAATTCTAAGCCTATGACATCAATTCAAAGACATGGTGGAGGTGAATATTCTTCAAAAGGTCACATTTTTTATTGGTATACATGTTTTTTCATTTGTGCGGCACGGTGGCTGAGTGGATAGCACTCTCGCCTCTCAGCAAGAAGGTCCTGGGTTCGAATCCCGGTTGGACCAGGGCCTTTCTGAGTGGAGTTTGCATGTTCTCCCCGTGTCTGCGTAGGTTTCCTCCGGGTGCTCCGGTTTCCCCTACCACTAAAAATATGTACAATAGGTCTGACATGTGCCTCCTGTACTGGCGAGCCCGCTCCCAAAAATAACAATTGTAAACCGCTTTGAGACTCTGATGTGCAGTGAAAAGGCGGTATATAAATAAAGATTACTTACTACTTACTTACTTACAACTGTAAAAATTACACAGAGTACCTTTAAATAAAAATCATGCATAACTATTTTCAATATTTTGGAAAACTAATTTGCAGTATTAAAGAGCTCAAGAAATAATTTGAATAGAATTTTAAAAAGCAAGTGGTATTTAGTCGGTCAATTCCAACTGCTTGTTTGCTTCTATGAAACTACTGTTTTATAAGTTATTGTTCTTTCTACAGTGCTTCCAAAAGGAATTCCCAAAATCGAAAGGTGACAGATTACTATCCAATTAGAAGAAGCTCAAGAAAAAGTAAGACAGAGCTCCAGGTGAGAAAATATATCATTATAATTTAAATAATAAAAAAAAGTTATATTTGACAGATCAAATATTATTTACATAACAGCGTGCAAAGATTAAAATGTGTAGTCATTTAGCGGCTACATGTAATGCTATATCCTGTTTTTCTTTGTGGCTAGTGTGAGCAAAATAAAATCATTGATGAACTCGTCGTGAAAGGAATAGAAGAAGGAATGGAGGTAACACTTTTTTGTTGAATAGATTTTCACATTCATCTATGATTACAGTACCATACCATTAAATATACTTGGGTCATGATGAAGTGAAATTCTCATTAACTCACTTGTTTTCAGGTGCGGGAGATCGATGGAAAGGGCCGAGCAGTGTTTTCAACTCAAAATTTCCAGAAAGGAGAATATGTGGTTGAGTACCATGGCGACCTGTTACAGATAACTGATGCCAAAAAGAGGGAGGCTGAGTATGCTCTAAACCCGGCCACTGGCTGCTACATGTACTACTTCCAGTACTTATGCAAAACATACTGGTATGTTGGATGCCTTAATGTTGCATTTGTGATATAGTCTTGATTGTGACTGATCAATAATCTAAAATAGGATTCACACTGATGCCTATTGTTTCTTGATTTGTGTGATTTAAATGATTCTCTTGTAACTTTTATTTGTTCTTCTATCAACAGTGTGGATGCCACAAAAGAAACTGGTCGAATGGGTAGGTTGATAAATCACAGTAAGAATGGAAACTGCCAAACTAAACTCCATGACATCAATGGTGTTCCTCATCTCATTCTTGTCGCCTCACGAAACATTGACAAAGGAGAGGAGTTGCTGTATGACTATGGAGACCGCAGTAAAGCCTCAATTGCAGCACATCCGTGGCTAAAAGAGTGATCTGAATCTTTATCAATATAGGAAAAATTCAAAAGTCATATTTGTCTTTCGCTAAATGCCTTAGAAACAGAATGTATTTTTTGTTTCAGTTGCTAGGAAACAGATAAGCATGTATCATATGCTGTGCTTCAGGCAACTGGGAAGTGGGATATTTCCCAGTTGAAAAATAGGAGTTCCCACTTCAGCGCGTTCCATCAAATGAACTTGCTTGTAGACAACATGGCTAATGCTAAACCATGTGAAACATAAATCGGGGTTGCAAGATGATACAATGTAATCATTGTAGAATTGGTTATGGTCGAAATGCAAACTAAAGGTTCAGGGATTTTGCATGGGGAGTTAACTTCCTGAACCAGGAATCTCTGTACACTTCACAGCTACGTGGTGGAGGTTTGTGCTTATTTTGGGGGGTCCCCTGTCTGAAAGGAACCTCTGGACAAACTGCAAATGCTATAAGTTTGTATGGTGTGTAACAACTCAGATTTAGTGTTTTCGTTACTCTTTCATAATTGTAAAACGTCACCGTCTCATATGTGACGTGGGAGCAGCTCCACCCGCTCCCAGATCACCGTTGGGACACACCAGACCAAGCAGCGTTTAGGGCATTTTTTGAAGTTCCCAGTTCCCAGTTGCAGCAATAGTTTGTACAAGGGACATTTCACTTGAAGTACAGCTCTGTCTTTAGTTGTTTTTGTACAGTTTGTAAGGCACACCAAGCAGTGCTACAGTAGCATACAGGTATTTGTTATTAATGCTATTATTAATACCTTTTTTACTGATTTTATCTAATGTCTTTTATCTTTTAAAGAATTAATTACAAACCGCAACAGCAATATGCATGTTGTCATTCATCACAATGACCTGTAAGCCAAAAGTCCTATTACTGACCTTAAGTGTACACAAACACCAGAATAGTTTATGATCAGATAGACAGATAATTAAGATCGATTCAGTGTTCTCAACCATAAACTATTCACAGTGAACAAAACAATAGAATCCTCAGCTCATTCCAAATTATTTATAAATGTATGTATATAATTGTTATATAAGATAAAAGTAGTGGTTTTTAAAAAAATTCTGCTGTTCAATTACTCATATTTAGGTGTTTGATCTAAAAATAGATTGATTTTAGGTTATGAAATAAAACATTAAATATTATTTTCAATGTTATCTTGTTCAAGAGGTAAATATTGTAGATGAGACATCCTACGTTAAAATACCTTTAAATACAAATTAAGTAATTATATATCACTGCCAGTTCTATGGTTTAAAAGGACTCGTCCTTTTCATATATATTTTTAATTGAAAATGCCTCGTTTGATTCAAAACTTGTCGACTTTTAAACTCCTAACTCAATATATTTACAGAATATTATTGTCAAATCCTGAACAAAGGAGAATGAGACCGTCAGTTATGTCAATACACACTTAAATGGTGACATCCTCCACTAAATCTTCAACATGCTCCTTTAACTTAATACAATTATGCAGTTCACAAGTTCTCATAGGAATTTATTTGTATTTATGACTATAATACATACATCTAATTTAAAATGTTTAAATATAGTGCAGGATTTCCTTTACCATAATTAGTGTATTTTCACATCTGTTTGACACATTTTGATGCAGATTCAGGTTAAATTAAATCACAAACTCTGATTCAACATAGTATTTTGTATTATTTTCTAGTTGATGTTAGGGTTAGGGTTGATGTATTATCATCCCGTAAAAAAGATGTTTCGGGAGTGGGAATTGGTTAATTGACCATGCAGCATTATTTAACTGAGATGTTTGATTACGTTTCTATTCAAATGTATCAATCAAAGGTCTTCTGTATTCATGGAGTGAACTGATCAAGATGTCACTTCCACATTATGAACAAACTGCAATAAGCTGTACATGCAAATTTTAATTTGTTACAATGTATCATAAGTGGTATTTCTGAGGTTGAATAAAGCTGTATTATGCAAGAAAAGGGGAGATTCTTCTTGTTATAGTTTGGAACCAGACAATGTAACACAATTTGCCACATGAAGCGTCTCTGAGTGTCCAAAAGGCAATATAAATCAAACTCATTCATTATTAGGCCCGAGCCCAAACTGGGGTAAGGGCCTATTGCTTTTCCAACGAGTAATGCCTGGGCTCGTTGTAACTGTCATAAGTCACAATCTCCGGGCGCAGTCTCCATGTTATCCAATAGACACTGTATGGACACACTCACAGATTGTATGTGCAAACAGGAGCACATTCACAAAGTCTGATTTGCACTAAACTTGACTCTGTTGTTCAAGTCCTGGGCCTAGGTCACATGACAGTGTGAACAATGACATTGGCCCATTAGCGCCCCCTACAGGCTGTGTAAAGGTTTACATGGGGATACAGGTATTTAGGTTTTCTGTTGTTTGATCTCTTTTGACCCACTCAACAAACACGAAAACTCAACAAACTTTGCCACAAGTTTTTTTCAGGCATTTGGTGTTCTCTGGTCTAACATTAAAACATTGAAATTGTAGGGGGCGCTATTGTACTACATAAATGCCTTCCGTTTGCACATACAGAGTCCGATTTGCACAAAATTTGAATTGACTGTTCCACTCTCGGGTTTGAGTTAACTGAAAGTGTGAATGATAAAATTGCTGCATTAGCGCCCCCTAGAGACTGAGTCAAGTGTTACATGGGGAGAATTAGGTTTACCTTTTCAATAGAGATACACAATCATTGCTCATAGGAATTCAAAATCCACAGTGTCGCTCCCATCAGGGCGGTAGAAAAATGGCGCGTCAGCGCCACCTCGGTTTCTTTGTGCGGTGAGAGCCGTTCGACGCCGCTTGCAGCTTTAATTTATTATTACAACTGAAAGACAACCATTAAATACTGGATGGATTTTGTCATCTGGATTTCATGGAAACCGAAAACTATATTTCACATGTATTAATGCCATGGAGACCAGCTGTCTTTCAGGCGCAGTACGAGTCCGCTCTTTGGAGAAACTGGGCACAGGGATAATATTGTGATGACACGTTATGTCAAAGTAATAAAACAGTTTTGTGCTTTCATGTTGATTGTTTTAATATGATTTGGATAAACAGTTGCTTATTTTGGATGTAATATATACAGTACAATTACTTATTTACAAGATTCATATACTTCATTTGTAATGTTTTGCTTCCAAGGGTGTTTTTAATTAACACGTAAACCTGTGGTTTGGGCGTTTCACGCAACATTTTGAGGACTTCGTTCCCATCCAAAGGATTTTTGTTTTTCATTGTTCATCATTCTAAATCCGATACATAGAATCAACAACAAAGATTGTGGACCGGTTCTGTTTCCCTGCCCTGAAACTCTTTATAAAATACATTTATTGAATGAGACTGATTAATAAGAACACAGCATTAAAACGACTTCCATTGAAAACAGAAAATGCATTTCACATGATCTCATCAAAAGGGCATCTACTATATTATTTCAGCTTAAAACAATAGGTTTTTTTAATTTAAAAATGTAATAAGAAAATAAATGCTGACTTTAGTTCGTAATTACTACAGTAAAGAAAATGCCATTAAATTCATCAAAAAATTATAAACATCGGCCATTGTTTCCAAGTCCATAAGAAATGTGTAATGCACACAGCACATGCTTGTACACTATTGTGCAATTTGCTATAGCCCATCAGCCTTTTAAAGTCAATGTACTTTTTTCCATATATTTTGCTACAGTTTGGCTAAATTCCACAGACCACTTGGGAGCGCTCCAGGCCAAAGTATAACACTTGAGGTGGAGTGCAAAGACCAAGTAGAATAGTAGACCACTCCGTAGCAATGGCTAGCTCTTAACCTCTCCGTAACAATGGTTTCTCATCTCTCTCTATTTAAGTTTTTCCTACATATAGAGCTGATCACATGAAATACAGTCGTGCCATGCTTTGGTGTGAAAATGATGTCTCTTATGACTACAAATGCTGTATTGCCTCCTGGGCTTGCTCAGTATAATCATCATCCCTCCTTGGCCATGCGCCTAAACCTCCGCCGATCGACACGCTCCGCTGGGAGCTCCTTTGCTTGTCTCGTGAGAAGAAACTAAACCTGGGAAAATAACAAAAAGTAATCAGAAACACTCATGTTCAGACAGCACATAGGTATTTGTGTGCCGTAAATATCAGTCATATTAAGAACAAGCTTATTATACTGCTCGTACACACTGGTGCATTACTAATATATTATTATTATTACTAGTATTAGTGAGTAAGTCATCTTTATTTATATAGCACATTTTTACAAAGCGTTTTACAATTATTAAATAGTAGGCATCTACATGTAGCAATGTAATTAGTAATTAGTTTGACTGGCTGATTTAACCGCATTTAACTTAGCTGTTTTTTTGGGCTCCTCAATCCCCCCGTCACGTCCTCTGTCTCAGAGGCAGAGGCTGAGGATGCTGGGGCGGATACATCCATCTCCCTGGCTGAGGTCACCAAGGTGGTTGGTAGCCTCCATGGTGGCAAGGCTCCGGGTGTGGATGAGATCCGCCCTGATTATCTAAAGTCTCTGGATGTTGTAGGACTGTCTTGGCTGACACGTCTCTGCAACATCGCGTGGCGATCGGGGGCGGTGCCAGTGGAGTGGCAGACCGGGGTGGTGGTCCCTCTCTATAAGAAATGGGACCGGAGGGTGTGTTCCAATTATCGTGGGATCACACTCCTCAGCCTCCCCGGTAAGGTCTACTCCAAGGTACTGGAGAGGAGGCTACGGCCGATGGTCGAATCTCGGATCCAGGAGGAGCAGTGTGGTTTTCGTCCCGGTCGCGGAACACTGGACCAGCTCTATACTCTCCATCGGATACTCGAGGGTTCATGGGAGTTCGCCCAACCTGTCCACATGTGCTTTGTGGATTTGGAGAAGGCGTTCGACTGTGTTCCCCGAGGTGTCCTTTGGGGGGTTCTCCGGGAGTACGGGGTCGGGGGTCCTCTGCTGAGGGCCATCCGGTCCCTGTATGACCGGAGCCAGAGCTGTGTTCGCATTGCCGGCAGTAAGTCAGACCTGTTCCCGGTGAATGTTGGCCTCCGACAGGGCTGCCCTTTGTCACCGGTTCTGTTCACTGTATTTATGGACAGAATATCTAGGCGCAGCCAGGGGTCGGAGGGGGTCCGGTTCGGGGACCACAGGATTTCATCTCTGCTGTTTGCGGACGATGTTGTCCTGTTGGCTCCAACGAACCAGGACCTGCAGCATTCACTGGGACGGTTTGCAGCCGAGTGTGAAGCAGCTGGGATGAGAATCAGCACCTCCAAATCTGAGGCCATGGTGCTCGACCGGAAAAAGGTGCCCTGCCCTCTTCAGGTGGGTGGAGAGGTCCTTCCTCAAGTGGAGGAGTTCAAGTATCTCGGGGTCTTGTTCACGAGTGAGGGAAGAATGGAGCGTGAGATTGACAGGCGGATCGGTGCAGCGTGCACAGTGATGCGGTCGCTGTATCGGACCGTTGTGGTAAAGAGGGAGCTGAGCCGAAAAGCAAAGCTCTCGATTTACCGGTCAATCTTCGTTCCCTCCCTCACCTATGGTCATGAGCTTTGGGTAATGACCGAAAGAACGAGATCGCGGATACAAGCGGTCGAAATGAGCTTCCTCCGCAGAGTGGCTGGGCGCTCCCTTAGAGATAGGGTGAGGAGCTCAGTCACACGGGAGGAGCTCGGAGTAGAGCCGCTGCTTCTCCACGTCGAGAGGAACCAGTTGAGGTGGCTCGGGCATCTGTTCCGGATGCCTCCTGGACGCCTCCCTGGGGAGGTGTTCCGGGCACGTCCCACCGGGAGGAGGCCCCGCGGAAGACCTAGGACACGCTGGAGGGACTATGTCTCTCAGCTGGCCTGGGAACGCCTTGGGGTCCCCCCGGACGAGCTGGAGGAAGTGTGTGTGGATAGGGAAGTCTGGGCGTCTCTGCTTAGACTGCTGCCCCCGCGACCCGGCAACGGGATAAAGCGGAAGAAAATGGATGGATGGATGTTTTTTTGGGCTGTCACTAGGGCTGGGCAATCTAATAACAAAAAATCTCAAATCGTTTTTTTCTTGCCACACCGCCAAATGGACACTTTAAAATGTGACTTTAAGCATCTATATCTATCATATATATATATATATATATATATATATATATATATATATATATATATATATATATATATAAATAGGATGATTAATTGTTTCACAAATCCACTAGTTGCAGCCTCATTTATGATAGCATATTATATGATTCAACGGCCCCACAATCAACCAATCACAATCCTATAAAGATGAATGACCAATGAAGAGCATGCAACTCAATGAGATGATGTCATACAAGGGATCTGAGACGCCTGATTGGTTGTAAAGTGGGGTCATCAGGGATCAAACCAGCCGCTACCATCGGCATGATCGCTGTGAAGAGCCTAATGTGAAGACACAGACAGAAACAGATTCTTTAAATTGATATTCATTGGTTACAATTGTATTTCTCTTTAAAGCAAACTTGTCTCAATATTTTTTTTTTAAAGAAACAATGTTACCACTGTGTTCTTAATGAGACTGAGTTTACTGGGCACGCAACAGTCTGACGAATGAGAACTGTGAGTAAGTGTCACGTACAGGCGTTTGATTCCGGACTCTGGTGGGACAGAAGAGCGCAAGCTCGGATCAGGAGAAGGTGAGGGAGTAGAGACAACAAACTCCTCTTCAGTCTCTTCACTGAAATTCAGCGAGGAATTGTTTGTACATTTCCAAAACAAACATTGCATTTAAAATATTCAGGACACACCTTTTGTAGTAGGCAAGTTCTTCTTGTAACATAAAGACTTTGGCCTTGAGCTCGTTTCTCTCGTGGAGGACGTCCCGTAACTCCTGCAGAGTAAACCGTGGCCGGTTGGGGTCCTTTGGGTCCAGAGTCCCATGGTCCTCCCCATATAGTGCCTCCTGTGACACAAGTCAGGATATACAACATTACAACACGTAAATCATGTCAGCAGTGGAGGAGATCAGACTGTGATGACGGAGCAGTGGGGGAAATACCTTTGTAAAATATTGGAACACAGCAGGCATATCTTCATTACCCATCGTCTCCTGGTGACAAAGGGCGAGCTCATGGTCTACTGTGATTTGCTTTTTTGTGATTTTTCCTCCAGTCTAAAAAGCCTATGTTTGACCGATTCTTATCACAATACTTTCTTTTCAAACATAACCTTGATTCATTTGTCACTCATGCACAAGTAAAATGCAAGAGTAAAATTAAGCTCTATAATTGTGTCACGTATCACAATGAACTGAGGAATCACCTTTAGCATTTCACAAACAAAATGCATGAACATCAAACTGCGTCTGGGTCTATAGTGCATTCATTCACTGTTAGTTCCCATGCAGATTCAATTTCACACCGTTGATGAGCTGTACAGCACAGTAACATCCACACACTGTCAGTCCTTACTTAGTTGTGCACACAGAAATGCAGCATGTCGTCAGTATCACACCATGCTGTTTTGCTGGCGCTATTACCCAAAATAAGACGGCCTCTTCCTCCTCCTCCTCCCCAGAATTCTGTCCTTCTGAACTGAAGGTTTCAGGGTCGAAGCCCTCCCCTTCTGCAGGGTCGCCTCTTTCTGAACAGCTCTTAGCTCGTGCCCCTATGCAAGCTTTATTTATCTAGGGGGTTAGACATAGTGGTTATCGGACTAGTTTGCTGGATTGATGGGTATAAAAGTCAAGTAACAACAGCAAAACGCAGGTTGAGCATCTGCAGCTATTTGATATTTTTGTCATGTATATATAGTTGATAAATTAAACATCACAACTGCCCTTTTTATTTCAAGTAATAAATGTATTGGTCTTTTCAAAAACAATGATAGTAAATACCTCTGCTGGAGAAGGTGGCAAAGGCTTGGAGTCCTCGGGATCCGGCACCGGAAGACCTCGTTGTAGATGTTCCCTTAAAAGTGCAACTTCCTGTCGCAGGGCATTGACTTCCTGTGACTGTGTCTGAGCGCCGGCCTCCAGTTCCACCTTCTGCTCAATCATTGCTTTTCCCTGAGTTTCCATCACTGAGATTTTGTGTCGCAGATCATGGTTTATTTTCATGAGACGAGACTGTTGTTGTTGGAGCTGTAAAAACAAAACATATTCTACACTGAAGCTGGTAAGTTTTAGGTCTGGTTTAGGACTAATGTTTAGTTTAGTTTAGATAACAGGATCAGTGTTAGGTCTGAAGGAGACCACAAGGCCAGAGTTAGATCTTGTTTATAGTTAAAAACACCAAGAAACACTGACATGTGACAAACATTTACTCAAACCTTTGGGTCAGGACCTCACAAAACAATCTTCTTCATTGTAAAACATGTAAAGATGTTGTAATCTGTTTTACTCTCTAAAATACTATAAATATATGCTTGTATAAAACTAGTACTAGTTTAATTTCACAGTGATATACGTTAAATTACCCAAAATAAACAGCCTCTTCCTCCTCCACCCCAGAATTCTGTCCTTCTGACCTGAACTCAGGGTCACCTCTTTCTGAACTTTCTGAACTTTCTGAACTTACTGTTCGGAAACTACTACTATGCTACTATACTATTTATGAATGAATGAATGAATGAGTCTTTATTCGGACAATACAAATAATATAAATAAATAAAAAAAAAAAAAAAAAAACAACATGTACAATGTATGTACAATTTGTTCCCTCAAGGAATAAATCAAATAAAATAAACAATCATGTCCGAAAGGGAGCAGTACAAATACTTTATCATAGGAGCTGTAAATATTATACAGCTACTATTTATCATTCTATCTTTCTATTAATTAATTAATTATATATATATTTATTTTTTTTAAAGAAAGAAAAGAGGAAAGAGATTTTGGCCATAAGTTCAACCAGATTCCTGGTTTAACTAGTCAGGAATAGGTCTCTAACTATAGGTCTCTGGTAATGGCCATGTAGAGACCATAGACTGTAAATATTAACAGACGTAGTCACGCCTATCTCCGCCGTTCTAACTTAAGTGCCACAACTTCCGCGGTCTATGGTTTCAAAATGGCAGCGGGGGCTGGAAAATGTGAAAAAACGCATCTGCGCATGCGTCAGCCGGCACGAGCCCCATTCATTTGACGAGTGCCTTCCAAATTTCACAGTGACTAAACTAGACTGGTACATAAAAATTCACCCCCCTCAGCATCGACACACATGTGGAACGGAGCTTTGGGCCAAGAGCCGACTTTTGGACCATCCTGTAAAGACGTTTTCGAGAGGTCAGCTAATGCTATTTGTTAGCATTGAATAATTCTTATTCCGGGTCCACCCCCATAGGCCCAAGGTGTTATTGCAAGCATGTCAGCGCAAGTCATTTTGGCCACTTTTGAGCCGGGACCCACCCCCACTCGTAGAGACAAAATAATGTGGGTTTCTTACTGCTTCAATGTCCTCGTTTTTTAGAGTGATCTCGCGATCTTTGGCACGGATCTCATCACGCTGCTTGTCGACTACTTCTTTCAACTTCTTCATTACCTGCCTCTCTCTTTCCGTCATACCTAAAACATAGACACAAAAATTCACGTTGAGCATCTATACTAAGGACAGCAGGTGACTATGCTGAATGTGTACAGAATCCTGATCTCTCTCTGGTTCAGGAAGCTGACTGAGGCCTCTGTGTGAAACCAGTCATGAGAGGGATGTGTCCAAACAGAGCAGCCATTCTTTTGAGTGTGTGGCTTTTTGTGTGCATTTAATATAATATAAAAAATAATAATAAAACATAATGCTATCATAAGCTATTGATTTTTTTTTTTTTTTTTTTTTACAGTTTATCATTGTTAATGTTTTAATAGTAATGTATCAGTGTAATGTTGACTTTAACATGTAAAACGGTCACTAGTTTATGAATTGGTCATAATCACCCTCATGTCTCTGTAAGTCCTCCTCGCTCAGTGGGTCTTTGCTGGAGCGGTTTGTAAGGAGAGTTTTGTTTTCCTCCTGCAGCTGAGCGATTTGGCAAAGCAGGTCTTGAGCCTCCCCTCTCCACACATCCTCGACTAGCTCTAGTTCCTATACGCAGCAGATAAAAAACACAGGTAATCACACCTTTAACATGTAATAATAACATGAAACTACTCAGACACCTCCAAAATGTTCTAAAAATATAATCTGTAATAGAACCCTTTGGAGCAAGAACAAGTTTACGCTAATTATAAGAGGGAACAATCTCTGCACAGAGACAGATCAAACTCCAAAGTCTGCCTTCATTTTCTATGGGAATATAAACCATGGTATGTCCCTGTTGTTGTTAATGTATGTTTTGTTTTTGTGTGACTTTGTATGTAGCACCGTTTAGCTGAGAATTCCCACTGTACCAGACAACAAACAAATTCCACCAACTTGTTGTGTGGTCTTTAATACATTATTCTTATTCTGATTCTTTAGCTGGTGTTTGGGTGTAGGATTGATCATAAGACTTTCTAAAAAGGGGTGCATTTAGTAATATTCCTTTTACGGCAAAGGCAAATGTCACTAAAATGAAATTTAGGGACCTGTAAACATCAAAAAGCCGCAGCCTGAATCTGACACAGTTAGGCCCAATGCAGCACTCATCTCTCTTCAACTTATATTTCAAACTGGTTCAGGTTCAGAAAGTTTTATTTGTTTCTTGAAAAAGGGGGGGGGGGTCATCCATAATTTAAATATTTAAAATTTTTGATGGTTATATTCTATCAATTGGCCAACTAAAGAAATAGAGCAAAATCCAGTTGTCTGGTTGAGGGTCAAGACAAGACTTCTTTAGCTCAGAATTGTACACCCCTCAATGATCTCCACATCACAGCACAGAAGTGAATAAAGGTGTCAAACACAGCACTGGACAGACTCATAAGACACAGGCTAATCTGTCCACTGTCAGCAAGTGCATTCACTGTCACGAGAAACTGACACATGCACTTTTTATAGCAGTGATGCAGTAGATGCCAACACAGACAGTCTGCAAATGTTTGTGTTTCTAAATAGTAATGCAATAAATCACTGCTGGATCCTGATATTCTGCTAAAATCATATATACAGTTTGATATTTATACTGATTACATTTCATAACAACACAATCCATGTTTTGTGTCATTATGTTCATAGATCCCCTTAATGGTTTGACAGTGCTGGGACCTTTCTGTGCTTGTTCTCCTTCTCCAGCCGCTCTATCCTCTCCATCCTCAGCTTGTCCAGCTCAAGTCGCAGCTCTTCGGTCTCTGGGCTGATGCTGTTGCGGCTGACCATCACCTCCAGGATCTCAAGGACGCGCACCACTTTGGGCATGAGACGGGACAGCGCCTCGCAGCCGTACTGGTCAATGATCCGCTCGAACTCCTGACCCACCACCGCAGCAATGTCGTACACGTCCATTACCGTAAGTTCGGCAACATTTTTTTCCAGGGCTGACCCGAAGTCCTCCATGTCCACCCCTCGCCGCTACTGTCTGGGCAAATGCAAAACTTCCTTCCTCGGATTTGCAGCGGGTGGTGTCTGTGCCAAACTTTTACGCGCGCCCTCACGACAACACGTCTAAATCTAAACATTGACTTCTGACAAAAGCGATCATCGACATTGTGTCCATGAGTTACACCGGGTTTGTAAGGGGAAGATAGTTTAAAATGTAGTCAGTGGCAGTGTCGTCCCATCTCCTGTTCTTCTGTTGTGACCAGTAGAAATCCTCCCAGTCACATTGGGCTTCCGGTCAGGCTCTTCAAAGTGAAATCTGGCCCCAATGTAGCTCTGTGGTTGTTTTCTACCCCATGGATAGTGTCGGCAAATATAATTGAAGGAATATCTAAAAGCGATATCATAGTAACTATCAACATGTTAGAGCATCCAAGGTGTTGCTGTCAAGTATGTTCCACGATTATTGTTTATTATTTGGAAAACACGTGATAGTTTTATTTTTTAAACTTTACTTTTATTTCGGTCCCTCTGGTGACATCGCAGTTTGTCATGACCCAGACTGTGCAACAGGCAGAGGGCGCTGTAAGTTAATTCATCTTACTATTTTGTCGCTCACCTTTTTAGAGCAACTTTTGCTGAGCAATGCTGACCTTATCTCATGTCCTGGATCTGTGTGATATGGGACCACAGCATGGACCACAGGTGTCCACTGTCACTTTTAGTCCAGAACCTTCAGACTAGTATCATCACTGTGGATATTTGAATCTACAGCGCCAATTACTTGCAATAGTCTAGTGCAATATCCCTAATCCTTTAGATAGAAAATAAGTAAAAAATAAATAATAAAAAAGACAGGATCAAACTTACTGAGCAAATAGAGTCTCAGTCCATGGTATCAAAACAGTGACTCTTTCTTACAAGTATGCAACAAGATAATATCTGATCAGATACGGCCAAAACACTCACAGCATGTTACTTAATGTATTTTGTTTGTCCCAACAGAGTCATGTTTAAGGAAACAAAACAAACTAGGTAATACAACTTTAATTTAGATAAAATTACTTCCATTTCCACATAAAAAACATTTGAGTGCATTAATTAGACAAAAGTGTAAATTAGAAAATTAAATATCAATTATTTTTTAAGAGTGATTGCCTGATGCTTCTCCAGTTCCAGGTTCACCTTTTTTGAACTTCAAGAGGAGAGAGGAAAAAAAAAAAAAAAAGTTAGATGGTATATCAAAACATTTTGAACATGTTGAAAGTGTATCCGACTTACAGCATTTTTCAGCAAGTTCCCAGATTTGGTGAAGATATTTGGTTTTCTATGTCTGGCGCTGTCCCTGCCGCTCTGTACCGCATTCTGTGATGACAATGGTTGGGTTTGGGGTTTTGGAGCTGGAGCTGGAGTGTACATCTGAGAGGGTGTGTACAATTGATCTGGAGTGTAGTGTTGAGACGGCACCTGCGGCGAAGGTGGGACATATGACTGAGACGGGACATATGACTGAGACGGGACATAGGGCTGAGACGGGACGTAGGGCTGAGACGGTACAAATGGCTGCGCTGGGGTGAAAGCCGGAGACGGGACATAGGGCTGAGACGAGGTGAAGGCCGGAGAAGGAGAAGGATTGAAACTCTGGGCCTGATTGTACGCAGTGGAGGGAGTTTGTGTGGGTGTGTAGGGCTGCGACAAAAACGTTGTCGGAGTAGGTGCCGTCACTGTGAAAGGATTGGTTGGTGCAGAGCTGGCGGTGTTGAGATGGGGCTGAGGCGCAGGGTCCAGTAAAGTCGGAGGGGGCGGTGGTGGGAAGCCCTCCTCCTCTGAACTCACTCCGAGATTGTAGTGTCTTTTCCTCAGCTCCCCCAAACGCACGCGCTCCTGCTCCAACTCATTCTCGAGCTGCAGCACCTTGACCTGTCACATTTATTATACATAAGCAAGGCATTTTATTTACATCTTTTGCATGCATTTAACCCTTTAGGTACCAGAGAATCCAGTATTCCTATACAGCAACTAGACCTACATTATTTTAAATAATTAAACTCCATTCAGTTTTTTATAGCCCTAAATCACAATAGTAGTCTTCTCGGAGGACTTATAGTTTGCCAACAACAGAACAGAGAATCAAACTGTTACTTGGAACACAGGAAATGTAATAATAACTTTTACACATAGGAGCCATTGGTTCATAGGGTGGCGGAAACCAATGTCTATAAAAGTCACGGATCATCACTGTCTTAGACCCTCCTACATCAACAACTTATGTTAATTTCTGTCCATCTCTTATAAAAAGGGCTCTAGCTTTTAGTTGGTTTAAACAAGAGACAAAATAATCTACCTGAGCCTCCATTTCTTCTCTCTTCAGTTTAATCAAAGACATTCCCGAAAAGTCCATCACACCTGGATAATTATACAAAATAACAGTGAATGTTGTCAACATTTTAAGGCTACACATTGGACAGAATTGTCACACCTTTGTCACTGATCTGTCTTTGGCCGTGTTTGGTAGAGGTGACCACAACAGCAGCCATGTCATTAACATGCCGTGATGCTTGCTGAAGAGTGTGGAGTTTCTTGTTGTTTCGATCAGCTTTCACCTGAAACAAAATAAGCGTCTTTCGGAATTTTGCGCTTCACTGTGGAATAGTTTACCTCTGTGCATTAGAGCCGCTTCTTCATTGGGGGTTTTACAGGGAATTTACACAGTAGGCGTAAACAGAGCGTACGCGTTTACTGCGCGCTCTCTGCGCGTAACATTTTTTTGGAGTATCTACACAGGCCGTGCGTGCAGGTCCGCGGCTTCTGATGGTCTCCCTGTGTAGTCTATGGAGCAGTGTAGAGGACAGTACGGGCCAGAGGACTGATGTAGAGCAACACAAATCACATGCATGTGTTTGTCCTCATGGTCTCTGTGCGCTGGTTTGGCCAGACGCAAGACTTTATGAAAGAAAAAAAAACAATGTCCAGAATCACTGTAAAACCTGCTGCTCCTCCTGCTGATGTTCAGACACAAGTGCTGTGTGTGTGCAGATGCGATCTAGAGCCAAGGACCGCTAGAAAAATTAGAAATCCATCCTAAATTAGAGCGCAGCTTCGCGTCATACGTCCGTCATACACGCGTATAACGCTAGAAGTGTAAATATCATCATAGGTTAACATGGAAAAAAGTTATGCGCGTCTGCTGCGCGTATAACGCGTACGTGCTGTAACGCGTGATGTGTAAATTAGCAGTGAGACTAAACACACGTTTGTATGCCTTAGCTTTAAACAATTGTATTGTTATTTACTGTCGTTTTATATATTACATGTATTTGTATGTATTTAATACCATCTTTCTTTGTGCTTGTGAAGCACTTTGGGCAGCTAGTGTTTAGTAGGCCGACTGTTCAACTGCTAATAAAACAAACACCAACTTGTATCCCAGTGCTTATTCGTTACCCTTGTTGCTAAAAAGAAAGCCTACTTGTTACTTTTTAAATCAGGCATGACAATTGAGCTGCATATACTTGGCATAGAAAGAGTACAAAGCTTTACTGTAATCATAATAATGATGATAATGATGATAATAATAATAATATGGCATACTTACTCATACAGTGTGATATGGTAGTCTTAATCCTAAACACAATAAAGTACCTTTGAAGCAGCAACTAACTGTGCCGTGCTTCCGGCAATTTCATGGGAAGAAGCAATCAGCTCCTCGTAGGTGCCATTCTCTCCGACAACTCTGTCTGCTGACTCTCTAGATAAAAATAACTGGTTGAACAACAGTGGCGTATGTGGCCAAGAGACGTTCGTGATGAAGACTGATACTCACAGCAGCTGAGTGGCTCCCCAGCCCACAGCTTTGGAGGCAGAAATCAGGCCTTCAGTCCAGCGAGAGTTTCTGGCATAAAAATCTGTAACAGACGCGGCGCCCTTAAAAGAAAAAACAAAAACGCACTAGATGTAACTTGTGTAATGCAATCCTTAAAGAAACACGGTAAACTACTCACTCTGCCCCCTTCCACAATATCTTTCTGTAAATCTGTAGATGCAGTTACAAGCATATGAACAGCCTACAAAAAAAAGAAACAATAAAAATCATAGAGATCCAGAAAAAAACACATTAAACATTTAAAAAGACACTCGCCCTCATTAGGTCTGAACAAGATCCAATAATACTGCAATATTAAAAGATATAATATGGTTAGAGAAATGTATACATTTAAGACCAGCTGCACAATCATCTGTACCTCTGATTGACCTCCAGCTTAACACCAGTTGTCTCTTTCTTGGCTTGATTAAGGATTTCCTGTGTAAGGTACACAAAAACATGGTTTTGTTGGTGCACAAATAACCTGAAGTGAGTGAGGTCATTTCCTTACATCCATTCGTAACACAGCCTCTTCAATGGCAGTCGATGTCGCAAGCATTTCTTTATCCACCATGTTTCCCAGTTCTCCCTGTAAGACATCCTGCCCTTTTGGACGTAAATCCTAATAAATAAAACACGTTGAGAATATAGAACGGCAGTTGGTGGGAATATGGTATGTTAAATTACATCACATACATTTCCTATGTCTATAAGTCGCTGCACGGTGTAGCGTATTGATGCAGAATCTGCCCTCTGCAAAGTAGATTGATTTTTCATGTCCTTCAGAAAGTTAAGGCAGTGAGTGGCACATTCCCGGCAGCTCGAGGTGAGGTCTATTGGAAAAGTACATGTTTAAATTAGTTTTTTAATTTAGTCTAACATTATGCATTTCTTACAGTCAGCGTGGTCAGTAGGAGCAGAATGAGATGTCGCTGCTCCATTAACAATGGTGTCTGCCGCAAGATGAGAAAATTGTGTTACGGCTCTCAAGAGACCGCTCGCATCTGTACACATCAAGTCATAGTGCAAGTTATAAACACAACCAAACTGCAATCATAGATCCATGGCTGAAATAGAGAAAGAGTGTATTGGATATTACCATTTCTGTTTCCCAGATAAACAATATGGCTCTGCTGCATTTTGTCAATGGAACCCAGAGTGGTCTGAGCTCGGTTTATCAAGTAATCTTAGAACAAAAAAAATAACAATGTCAATTGTTACATTACAATATGTTATTATTGCATTTGAACCACTTCAAACCAGGAGAGCTGATGCAGCGCAGATGTATGGGGTCGTCCACTTTGGCCAATGCGTCCAATATGATGCCTTCAGCCTCCACCACGGCACATTGTAGCAAACAAAACTGCTCGTCTTGCAATTTCTGAGTGAGTTCACCTTCGCGACAGGCCTGATATGCACAGAAGTACGTACAGTAGTAAGTGACTAAACAAAACAGAGCAAGACACTTCTGCACATGTCACACCTGCTGCTGTATCTGGGCCTGGAGGCTGCTCACTTCCACCATACTCCGCTGTCTTTCTTGTTGCATCGTACCATGATGGAGTTGTGCCTGTTGTCTTAATGATGCCAACTCTGCTTCTTGCTCTCTCACGGAGCGAAGCAGTGTTTCCTTTTCAGCTTGCAGACCAGATAAAGTACCATTCAATTGGGTACCAAACTGTGAAATTGTCAAGACAATTTGTTTGTGTCTTTGATTTGGATTGTCCTTCATTTTGTGCTTTACAAAAATGTTGATTAAATACCATTTCTTTGCTTTGCAGAGCAGAATTTGCTTGTGAAAGCTGTGCACGTGTGGAGTCCAGTTCTTGTTTCAGTCTGTCAATCTCCAATTTCTGCTGAGCATTAATGGCAAGCTACAAAATACAACGTAAATTGTAATGCATAGTATATAGTTTATTAAAAAAAATATATTAAAATGAAACTGTGCCTGTTGCTGGAGCTGGGCTTTCAGGGACTCGATCTCTCTGAGGAGTCGGTCCCTCTCCAGGTCGACTGTGCTCTGCTGTCGTTGTAATTCTTGTTTCAAGGAGGAAACTTCAGATTCATTCTCTCTCACTGAACGTAATAAGACATCACGCTCTGCCTGAAGAGCTGCCAAACTAGTGCTCACCAGAGAGCCCTCCTATTGTCACACTGTGCATTAGAGAAGGCAACCACACATTAACACAAACATATCAGGTACCTTTTCTTTATTATCCAGAGTGCTTCGTAGAAGAGCCATTTCTGCCCTTTGTTCCATTAATTCTCTATTGAGATTGTCAACTTGTGCTTGTTGTGTACTCATCTAAAGAACAGGGAAGAATAAGATCTTTCCTTTTTTTTCATACTGCAATTTTCTTACCATTGTTCCCTTTTCCAGGCGCAAATTTTCAACTTCATTTTCTAGTAGTTTTTTTGCATTTGTAATATCATCGTAGTCTTGTTTTGTAAAAGACAATACTTTAACCATTTCGGAATTCTGCATTGTAAAGAAATTACAATAAATACCCTGTGCAGCTACACACAGAAACATGATAGAGGTTTACCTTCTTCAAGAGATCAGCGTGACTGGTCACGAGCTCAGCATGTCTCTCCTTAAGTTGTGTAAATCTGAGCTCTGCATTATGCGCTCTACCTGTAATGGTAGTATTTTACAATGATTAGTTTTAATTTAATTTAGTTCATACTAAACCTTTGAGAAAACTTACTGTCAGCCTCTTTAAATCCAATCTGTGCTCCGACATTGGCCACATTAGTACTTCGTAAAGCTTCCACTTCCATCCGCAGGTGTTCATTTTCCATCATAGCCATCTGTTTGTGTGCTCGCTGCTCTTCCAGCTCAGATGCCAGATGATTTACTTGCGTCTTTAATTCCACTACACACCTTTGGGCCTAACATAAATTTACATCAAGTCACGTATTAGCTCGTATAAGTTATTCACACGCGATTAAGTGAAAGTCTCACCTCAGAATTGAAGTGCTGTATCTCTGGTTTGATGGGTTTGATGGGTTTGATGGCTTCTCTAGTCATGTCATTATGAGAGTCTTTGGGCTCCACTGGGGCTTCAGGCATTCCCATTTGGCTTAGTAAAAAGTACTGAAAATGTCATGTTAGTCACCAATGGATTTGTAGAGAAGGGAGTTGGGGTTGTGACTGTGATACTGACTTGTGGCATCTCCTTGTACTCCGGCTGCCGCTGCTCCTCTTCCTCCTCCTCTGGGTGCTCTTCTCCAGGTGTGAGCACCACTGGTTTCTTATATTCTCCCAGAGCAGCTGCGCGGAGGAAGTTTGGGGGCTCCTAGAAGGCAGGTAGTTGGTATTGTCTCAGTAAAGACTGCATTTGACTCTTTATTCAATGGCACCAAGCACTCGTTGGCAGAAAGACATAGCACCTTCAACTCTGCACCCACTTAATGAACTATTACTACTTTAAGCCCCACTAGCTGAACTTTTTAAAATATACTCAAAAATCTATTTAAAAAAAAAATACCACTGAATAATGGGTCAAATCTAGGTAAAATACAGCATTAAATGTTTCAATTACTTACATCAGGAAGGTCTGGAATTTGAATAAAAGTTTTAAAGAACTCTGTCTCTCTTGCTCGGTTGAAAAACTGTTTCAAGCTGTAACAAAGATAACACAAGCATGGTTATGTCACTGTGCATCCATGGGGTCTCATTGTTTGGTATATTTGAGTATCATAGCCCGTAAAAGGAAAGGACCGACTCAGTGCTGACGTCACACATACTCTTTGGAATTGGCTTTTCCCAAAGAAGCTGATTATAGCCAACTCAAAAAGGCTCCATGGACAGGAATCTAGAACCCAATTTGCGGATAGCAACTATTCAGCAACTAAGCGTCTTTGAGTGTCCAAAAAAGTGCTATATAAGTTTTAAAAATGATAATAATGCATCAAAGAGCCAATCAGGAGCAGCACTGGGTTGTCTTCATAAGCCACACTCGGAGAGAGAAGGACCCCGATTGGCAAGTCATTAGGGATAGTTTGGATTCAAAAAGACAAACACCAGGATATGAAGGGTTACGGTGTTTTGATGTTTTAAGGGGACATTTCAGATAAACACTTAGAGCGAGACACTTGACAAATATTCAGATGCAGGCACAGTCTATCGTGCTATTCCCTCTCATAGTCACAACACATTTATTATGCAAACTGTAAATTCTTGCCAACCTCATGAACATATCACGGAATCGCTCTCTATGCCCCAGAAGAATATCAGGAGCAATGCCTGGAAATAAATTGAAAAATAAATATATTTATATATGTAAAATAAATAATAGCATTAAGTGACCTTGATATCAATCGTTTATTAACTTACGGCTGTGAAGTTTGAACATCAACAAAACTGAGAAATGGTACAGAAAGCTGCAGTCCAGGATAAGTGGGATCAAAGGAGTCAGCCGACACTGACCAGAAGCAGTTGTGGATTTGGCTCCATTTGCATCAAACTGACGCAGGACTAAAAGTCAGGAGATGAGACCAAAATGAGACCAGAGCCGTTGTTTATCATTTCTAAACGAGACACAAAAACCCATACCTGTATCTTCCATTTTAAGAGCAGCGTCAAGGTACTCCAACAGATCATTGGTCATATCTAATCTGTAATATTCATGTCAGATGTATTACAGTTACATATGAATGAATAACAACAATACATCTAGATCATGAGAAGCATGAAAAAACACATACACTTTGGTCATGTCACTTCCTGATTGCCTCTCCAACGTTTCATCACTGGCCTCCAAGTTTCCTGGAATCATTTTGTACTAATGTAAGAGTAACGGTTCTGTGTTATTAATATTATCAAATGGTATTTTAGAGAACATGTATTATAAATTATTAAGGCATGCCTCACCTTAGTATGAAATTCCATTTTGAGGAATAGAAATTTGGCATATAAAGCCACAATATGTCCGTATCGATCGTGTAAGTTTCCCTGAAGAATAAATATTTATTTTATGAGTGAGACTTTATCATTGTGATTTCCACTCACCCAAAGCGCACCCATGTCTTTCACTTCTCTGGTATGTCTGCCGGAGTCCACTACACTCTGAAGGAAGAACCAATCCTTACTAAACAATTCAAAGTAACACTCAATTAAAGCTCCTAATAACTTACATTTCTGTGTCCGTCCCTGAGCACCTTGTGCAGAAGATAGCAGAACTTCCAGCTGACCAGAGAGTTACTCGACAAAGGTAAGTTGGACGTGTAGGACCAGAAGGTTGTTGCTCCTGATTCCTTATGAGTCCCCAAAATGATGTCTGGACAGTTGTCAAGGAAACCACATCAAACTAAATCTAAACATTTCAAACATCTGATGAACAAGGACATGATGAACTATGGGCTTCATAAAGAGGATACTGCGCACATATTTCTCTTTTGGTGAAACTTCAGCAGAAGTGACTATTTTAGTGATGCTCTGGAGCTGTAAGAGAAAAGCAGCAACATATTGGAAATAAATCAAACAAGGTTAAATAAGTAAAGTAAATCTTTTATTATAGTTATAACACAGGAGACCTACTTTGACACTAACACATTTAAGATATTTGACAGTGTAATGATCCGTTGAGGCTGTACAAAGTGTATTAGTAACTAGTATGCAAAAGACACATGTTTTATAATAATTATAATGTGGTCAGTTACGTTAACCAGACTCTTCCTTATGGGAGTGGCCAAACGAACGTATTGTTTATGAAGCAAAAGTTTGGTACCCCTGCTTTATGCTACAATGTTTAGTTATGCTACTTTTATATTAAATTACATTAAACATACCTGTTGCTTGTTGAATTGCTCCTTTTCCGCGGCCAGGGCCTTTTCTGTCTTTTCTTTTTCTGGTTTGTTCTTAGCTTTGCTCATGATGATGTTCTTGTGGCGTGGATTGAAATTCCAGAAACTTCACGTTCTTGATTATTTTATTTTTCGTCCACTCGACCACCCATAAATCCCACTGTGCTGTTTAAATTCTGCTCATAAATGAATATTAAATGTTAAAATGTCTCATGTACAGAAACGCTCGTCCGCGGCGTGGCATAAACCTTCATTAACAATTCTAATGGGGGCGATTGGATGATTAGTTCCAGCCGTGATGAAAAAGAAAACAAAATACAAATATAGAAAATAAAATTAATGTGAAGTTACAAAAGGTATCCTCGAAAAAATATTTAGCTCCAAACTTCCTTCGAATCACGTCGTGAAGCAGCGAAACTGGAAAAACAATAGAATGACACGCGCCAGGGCCAGCCCTGTCAGACTGGTTCACTCACTTTGGACTGATTCATTTGTTTTTGTTTTTTTCATTATTATTTTTACATGGGAGAGTCGACTTAAATAGCTTAAAATAATTGGAAAATTCAGTGATGTCCCATTTACTTAATAGTGATGTACCAATTATACAATATATGTAAATGTAATGTGATTAATGTGCCAAAGTTCTGAGGTCATTTTGTGTAGAGCTGTTCCCAGGCGCACGTGTCTGGAGGATGTATTCAATTATTAATTTTAGTATTAAAAACAATAATTATAATAAAATCATTTATTTCAGACATGAATAATACAAACAAACAACTATTCACAAAAAACATAATAAAACAATAATTTCAAAAAATACCTGTGCATGGTCTGAAAAGAGATAGGATGAAGAAAAAATATCATATTAATCCAATTCCCTTCCAGGTATTCTAATACACATTACAATACAATACAAAAACAATAAACAATATGCTACAGTAGCTTCAATAAAACACATGGCAGCATTATGACACACACACCATGGCATGAGACAAGACCAAGACACACCCACAAACCCACACAAACCCACAATGCCACTTTTTCACATAGACAACTACATTTCTCTCTTCCCTCGCTGCATGCTGAGGGAATTTAAGTCCAAATGTTTTTTTTCCCTGTGTGCATGGGTTGGGGTTGGTCTTGGGTGGTGGTGGTGATTCACGTTTCTGGTAAAGAAAGAAAAAGACATGTGAACACACCCAGGGTAAATAGGATTTTTTTTTTTTTTTTTATAAAAAAAAAAGTATACATTTTGACAGAAGTTAGTTATTTGATGATCAATGTGGATGGTGGCAAGGTGGCTTTTTGTGGTCATGTTCTGAACTACTTTCATCAAGTTCTTTTAAAATCTTTTTTAAAGAAAAATCGCTGGACCCATCTAAATCCTAAGAATGTAAACCACAGAAAACATGTTATAATGGGGAAAATAAAAACCAAAAACATTTTCAGTAATTACTAACAATACCATTAATCTTCTGTTCACATAATATTGGCTGGAACAAAATTATAATTACAAAGGTTATTGTTTGCATTTCATGTTTATTTTTTGAATTTAGAAACACATAAATGAACCTGTTTGGTATCTCCAGAGTAACTCTTTCTCTCAGAGACTGATGAGCACTTTCCAAGTTCAGCTGTAAAAGCTGAATGTCATTACGTTGATTTTCACACACCTGTAAAACAAACAAGTTCAGATACAATAACAGTTACAATAACAGCAGTTTCCTGTAAGCGATCTACTACACACTGTGTGATGTCAGAAACTGTGTTGAGAAACAAGCAGCTTCCATTCATGCTCCAATGATGCAACCACAATAAGAAAAATGGCCTCCCACAGTTTGCACAAAATACATTGAAATATAATTACAATAAGTATTGAGTATAGATGTAATGCTCGTGATTGTTCCAAGTCTATTCTTCCTTTTTATGATTCTATTTTGTTTTGTGCAACCTACCTGCCGAAGACACATCAACTCAGACATTGTTCGCTCCTGCTTTGAGCGAGACAGTTCAAGCAGCTCATCTTTCCAGCTTCTCTCTCCCTCATCTGGTAAAAGATCATTCAAAAAGGACAATGGATTTTGTTGTAGTTGCATATAACATATAGAGGCAAAAGTTTTCTGTACAGAGTAGTCTACTGAAACAGTTTAACAGTTTCCCTTTCCCTGCTGTTGTTGTCAGACTGAATAATGAACACTGAACACGGTTTAGAACAACAAACCAATCACCAGTAGTAATATTGTTCAATGCTGTCGAAACTGTGTAAAGCCCAACGCACACCGAAACGCCTTGACGCGCGGCAAAAGAGCCGCCTCCTTTATTTTCTATGAGAGAACGCACACCAAGGTTGCAGTGACGCGCGGCGACGCTGGACCGGGCGCCACGATTCAGTTTTGTTGAATCCAGACGCGGCGCCGCGGCTGAAACTGTCCCTCCAAGCACCCGTAGTTTTCTTCTTCTGCGCTTCTTATCACGTAGCTGTGAGCGCGGTCTCAAATTTACACACTTGTCGGCGCTATTGCTCAAGTAAACCGGTCACAATGAACGAGGAAAGCTTGATAACCCAAGTACAGCGTTACCCAGAGCTATTTAACCCACAGAATCCTTTTTATAAGGATATCGTGCGAAAGGAAATTGCCTGGAGAGCAATTTCACTTGAAATTGAATGTACAGGTAAGCTAACAATAGGTAATTGTAGCTATTTTTATTGGCATTAACTTGTTTTGAATGTTTGTCTATATATAACTTGGCACTTATTGATTTGTTTATGACAATATACGAATCAGTGATTAATTAAAATAATGTATTTATTCAAGCCTATATGAATTATGATGTCAGTTACAGAGAAAATGTTCAAATCATGTTTCATTCTTAAAAATGTACAACAATCAGCTGTAAATAAATTATCACAACATTTCAATCAAGAAATATACGTATAAATGTATAATAAACACATACAAAGAAATGCTAAAATAAATTAATTAGTTGAATTCTAAACCATTTGGTTTTGCCAAGGTACGCTTCCTTGGGGAGACACAAAGTAGCGACAAAAGTTGTCTCTCACTCTCTCTGCCACCTGGCCACCTCTGCCTCCGCCCATCCTTGGACCATCTCTCAAACGCACATCTTGCTCCTCCAACCATCCAAGACTCTCCCCAGGCCTGCAGAGGAAATTGTGGAGGGTGCATGCTGCCAGGACAATAGCGTCCACCTTTCTTGGATGTAGATAGATGGTCGTAAGAAAGATCCTCCATCTGGCAGCAAGAATGCCAAAGGCATTCTCAACAACATTTCTGGCTCGAGACAGCCTGTAGTTGAAGATGCGCTTCTCATAATTCAGCTCACCTCGCCCAGAAAATGGCCTCATCAAATATGTTTTCAGAGGGAAAGCCGCATCTCCTACTATTACATATGGCATCTCTATTTCGGCTCCAGGTAGTACCCCGTCCGCTGGTGTACTCAGATTGCCAGCTTCAAGACCTCGGCCCAGTGCTGATGAGGCAAAGACACCGCCATCACTTGATCTCCCGTAATCTCCTGTTTGGACTACCCTAAATCTGTAGTCAGCATCCACCACAGCCATGAGAACGATGGAAAAGTGCTTTTTATAATTAAAATACAGGCTTCCGGAGCGTGGCGGAGCCTGTATGGAGATATGCTTTCCGTCAATGGCACCGAGACAATGGGGGAAGTTCCACTTTGCCATGAACCTTTCAGCTATGCTCCTCCAGTCCTCCTCTTTTGGGGGCGACATATGGTTGGGCATCATTCGTGTGATGATGGCGGCGCAGGTGTCAGTTATAGCTTGAGAAACTGTTGTTTCACCTAAGCGATAACTGAACGCTAGGCTAGCAATACTTTCTCCTGTAGCCATGTATCTGTAACGAAGAAAACATTTATTAATATACCTATTTTTTTTTCAGTGCAAGATTGTAAATTAAAATGGAAGTCACTTCGGGACAGATTAGTGAAGCAGAAGAGGAGACAGAATCAGCCAAGTGGATCTGGGGCAAGTGCTCAACGGGAGTGGAGGTTGTGGCCCCTGATGCATTTTCTCGTGCCATTCATCCCAAATAGAAGGTTAGCTATATTGATATAAATCCCATGGATAAGTCTGGTGTTTTTTCTGTTTTTAAATATTAAATACTGTATATGCTATAATGTCAAATATGATTATTTCCTTGACTTCCTTAAAAAAAAAATTACATCTGAACTACAGAATTGCACTCAGTTTTGTTGCTACATGTATCGTTTGACCTAAACTTTTTTTTTTAATCGTACTATATCTTGTTACTTTGTATTATCCAAGGTTATTTAAGATTATAGTTAGTTTCATGTTGTACCATTGCACCCAAAGAAAGTCCTTGTTTATTACCGGCCTATAATATAAAAGGATTGTGTTTTCATTTTCGACAGAGCTTATGTGAAGTTTGTTATTTCATAACAAGTGATCTGCTTACAGATACATTGGTCATTTTGTAAGTTTGTTTTTCATCAACTTTCGTCATCTTGTTTTAGCTCTGTTGGAAATTTAGAAGCGGACCAGGAGGAGCCAACTGAGGGCACTCAGGATGAAGCGCAGGACACAGCTCAGGAGCCTGTGGAGAGGTCATCAAGGCCAGAGAGCAGACCAAGAAGCAGGCAGAGAAGCCGGAGCAGAAGCCCAAACAAGATAGTCAATGAAAAATTAATGGAATATCTCACTGCAAAGCCACAAACAAAGTCTGAAAGTGAGCTTTTTCTAATGAGCTTAGTTCCTCAAATGGAAAGACTCAATGAACGAAACAGAAGTAAAGCAAAGATGAGATTTTTGCAGGTGCTGGAGGATCTGGAAACCTCTGAGCCGCAATACTCATACCCAGGGCTGGTTCATGATCCATCCAACATCGAGCCCAATTTATTCTTTTAGGTCTATTTGTTATTTTGTTGCATATTACTTGTTCTTTGTAAATTCTTAATCTGAGTTTATCTTAATGTTTTTATCCGTTTGTTTAAAGCAAAATTGCATTAACTTTACTATGAATTAAGCATCTGTTTTTTAATAATAAAATGTGAATTTAGGTGCTTATGTTTTATGTCATTGTCTTTTTTTTACCTGATTGTGACAGCCAGCTTTTGTTTTGGCTGAATGGCTGATCGGTAATTGGTGTCCTGTTTGGTGATGTCCGGTCCTACATTTGAAAGAATTTCTTCTAATTGTGCAGCGCTCATCCGAAAATATTTGTGGTGTTTATCGCTGTCCATCTGGAGCTCCTGGATCAGGTGGTGGAATACTCCTTTCTCCTCACGTTGTTTGTTTATTGGGTGCACCCAGATTCTTCTCTTTTTTGCACGAAGCCGACAACGCAAAAGAAGGAGGGCGGCAATCTTCTTTTTGTCTTGAAGAATATTCTCTAGAAGAGACATAAAGTCAAACAATTAAATGTATGCTGCTATGACACATTATTTTAGAGGATGTGACCAAATTATTTTAGGAAAACATCTTTAAAATAGTGTTTGTTGCTTGTTAAAATCTCTTTTAGTATTCAAATCAAATGTATTTATATAGCACATTTAAAACAACTGTTGTTGACCAAAGTGCTTCACAAAAATGTCTACAGTACAAAAGGAAAAAAGAAAACAATTCACAATATACAAGCAGTAAAAACACTAACATTTTAGTATTGATAGAATAGCACAAAACCCCATTTATTTACTTCATTTGATACTTTTTTGCTCAAAGATATCTTATAAGATACAAGAAAAAAATAACACACATATCAATTCAATTTATATTAATGTTCCCATTCGAACATGAAGCTTTTGTCACTACAGATTTACTCAAAAAATACATTGTAAAACTTAGCTATATTACTGAAGAGGTCACTTTTTCACAAGTCCACCAACAATAAACCGACCTCAAAACATCAACTCAAACTATCGCTTTGACAAGCTAGTTATTAGCCTGTTTAAAAAATGGGTCCAAATAGTCTTTTCTTGTAATATTTGCCAGCATAATTTCACGTAAATACTTTGTTTCCTCCCCCAAAATATTAGTAGAAACTTCCAAACGTCACTCACCCATTTCATCTGCGATCAGCTGGAAAAGGACGCTAGCCAAGGCGTTCCGGTGTAATTTGACACATGTCATGAACGCGCGTCAAATGACGCGCCGCGAGGCGCTGCGTTTCGGTGTGCGGTGAGCTTTAGACAATACATCCACTGACATTTCACTGACCATCTGCTTATTCTGTTCTGATCTTAATAAAACAGTGTAATTATTCGTCCAAACCCACTACTGCTCTACGCGTATTGTACTTTTGTGCATAATTATAGTTCAGCCAAAAACTTTCTAAGCATGACTTAAGACTATTTTACCTTCCTTAATGGTAATCTAGACCATGTCAGAGAAAAGAGATCAGAATTAAGAGATCAGAAGTAGGGGTGGGAACCTAAGGGTACCTCACGATACGATACACAATACAAAGCTCACGATAACGATATTATCACGATAACGATAATATCACGATAACGATATTATCACGATAACGATATTATCACGATAACGATATTATCACGATAACGATATTATCACGATATGACGATTATCGATATATTGGTCAGAAATATACAATATGCCAATTTATGGCATAAATAAAAGAAAAAATACACTTTATTTCATGATAAATGGAATGGAGATGCGTAATGTAGCCATACATTAAGTATTGATGCCAATAAAAAAAAAAAAAATTGTAACAGATTTTTTTTTCTTTTTTTTCAAAATCGATATTGATACTTGGCAAATGCATATCAATAATCGAATCGCGGGAGAAAGTATCACGATATATTGAAAAATCGATATATCGAAAAATCGATATATCGTCACACCCCTAATCAGAAGCATATTAATTCGAGTTATTCTCCAAATTTTTATAGCTATTCATCTTCTTTGGGTGCTCCTGAACAGTTCTATAATGTGCTTGGCAGTAATGAAATGTACCCACTCTGGGACAAATAAATGTGAATAAAAAGTTCAGTCAGACTAGGTATATTGCCCCATGTGACCCCTGACCTTTGAGACCACAGTTGATGTGGTATTTTTATATTCATGTTTTTGTCATGACTATTCATCAACAAAATAAAGTTAAATAAAACATACATTCAAATAATAAAAAAAATATATATATATCATTATGAATATTCGAGTACTGGTAACTGGTAATGATTAGTGCTGCATGTGAGTACTTTCATCTTTCATTTACTGATTGCCAGGTTGAAGAGAATACATAAATACTAAATAAAGTATATTCATCTTGTCTTCTTAGTAGAATTAAAAGTATTGGGTTCTTCTATACCAGACAATATACTGTACCTCTGAGGAAGACGGAAGTATCCGTGGAAACATGTAATGGTAATAACATCACAAAACCTTATTTTCTGGTATAGAAGAACCCAATACTTTTAATACATAAAGTGTTGGATTTAATTTATGAAGTTAAGAAACCTTCTCCACATAACTCTGTTGGGTTTGTATTAAAATAATGAAGTCAATTAAATATTGTGTTTAATCAATTAAAGATGCAGTCATTGATTTTTTCTAGACGCATTTTTTTAAATATTGTGGGAAAAGGTCCCTAAACCCAAAAAGCAGTCAAGTAATCATGTGTTTTCAAATAGTGTTGGAATTGACCAGATGCCTAGTCAAATCTTCCAGTTTCTCGCGAGTGCACCTGAGTTATCGGATTTTCTAAAACGTAAAAGGGCTGAACAGAAAATGCCAATTTCCCGTTTGCCACCCACTCTCCCTGTTGTGACAAAGAAAAGAAAATTCTGGATGTTTGGTTTGGTGGAGAGGCGAGGGGAGGGGGGAGTAGTTTCGAGTTGGGGCTACGGCTAAGCTAACAAAATCGCTTTTCAAAATTAGTAAATGAGCAGAATACGACTTTCTTTCCACAAATGGAGGAATTTTGGTTTAATAATATTTAAAATGTTTAAATTAGGTAACGTTTATTCAATATTCTTCTTTACAGCGAACAGTGAGACAGGAGTGGGCGTGAAACAATTGGAAAAATATGTAGAATGTATAAAGGACATGGAGAAAACCTCAAGGTTGAAACACAAGTATACAGTCTACATATCAAGGTATAGATTTTCTTTTTATGTCTTTTTAAAATAATAGAATAATAATTTACCTTGTGATGCTTTGGTACAATTGAGCAGATGTAGCTCCTGTTTGAGGCGAATAATCTCCTCTCTTTGGATGTTGCTTTGTGCAATCTGCTGCTGCAGTTGCTCTGAAACAATAACAGTTAGATTATTATTCTGGCTTTCACTTTGCAAAAATCCATAATGTTACCTTTGAATTGAGTAATGGAACATCTAGCTTCAGCGCAATCATGTATTTTTTCCTGCAATTCTATTTGGAGTGTGCTTTCTTTAGTGTAACTTTCTTTTAAGGATTTCTCCATGTCCTCAAGTTGGTCTGTCAGCTCCAGAAGTCGAGTGGATGTTTCAATCACATCTTTTTCCTGATGACAATTATTATTATTATATAAAGCAGCAGTAACATTGTTAGAAAAATATGTCAAAACATTACTTGATGTACCTTGAGTTTCAGCATCGAGCTCAATTCTTCCTCTCTGACTTGTAGAGCGCCAATTTGTGTGGAGAGAGCAGTCACCGAGGCATTAAGACTTTCGTTCTGCTCCTGTCAAATAAAATAATATTTTATTATGAACAGTGCATGTTTGAACCCTGCGGCCTATCTAATGTTGCAGCCAATTTAGGCCTTTTTATTTTATTCGAGCGTCTCCTGGGTTTTGTTTTTTGTCTTAATCTTTTTAGTATTATAGGGATGGGAAGCACATTTATTCTCAAAACAGATTTACCAAAGTGCTTTCATCACCACTAGTAAACAGTTCTTTCACAGTGTTTTAAAACATCATGTCCTAAAATCATGCTTCGTCCAGTTAAAATAGTTGTCTATCAGATTTGTTTTGCTCCATCAGCTGTTAGTTAAGTCTTAAATTACAACATGAAAACCTGTGGCTTATAAGTGGCCAAAAACATATTTCTTGAGTTGCTCCAAAAAATGAATGAAAAATTGCATCACCATCAAAATCACAATGAAAAGTAAATGGGGAAACACTTTTCTTTAGTCTATCGTACCAGATTGGCATAACAAGGTACCTCAAAGTCTTTGTTTTTCTTGCTCAGATGGACTTCCTCATGTGAAAGTTCCTTGAGCTGCTGTTGGGTTTTCCTCAGTTGCTCCTGCATTTCCTCTTCTCTAGTTTCCATAACTATAACGTGTTTAGTAAGGATTCGAATCACGTCATTACGCTTCATTAGCTCATCTGTAAAACATGAGAAGTTACATACACAAATAAGATAAATGAGATAAACAGAAATTTATAAGCAATCTGTAAGAAGCATTTTTGCATATTTCTCTCACCTTCCAAGCAAGCACATTTACGCTCCAGTTTTAGTAATTTCTGCCGTGTTTTTTCCCAGGACTGGACTTCCTGACGATGTTCAGCTGCCATGGTGTTTAGTTCCTTGTCCCTGTCCTTAAGCTCTGTCACCAGCAGCTGGAGCTCTTTTTTTAATTTTTGGATTGTTGATGTGGCATTTCTTGGATTGAAACGTAACTTCACAATAATAACATCCAGTTAAACCCTATTTAGATTATAACACCATGGGTTAAAATCATAGACTGTATATAAAATTAGGGCGGAGGTCGACCAAATAAATTCTTGATCGACAAAACACAAGCCCAGTTGATCAATAGGTTGACTAAAAAGGAGTTGTGGCAAATGTTATAAAAAGTTTTTTTAATTTCTTATAATATATAAAATATTATAAACCGTGTGAATTGGGCATTTTCCTTGGGTAATATATAAAAGTAAATATCTTCATCCATTTGCTCCATGACTTTTAATTTCTGCAATTTTCACATCGCATTGAAATTCCTATGATTGAAATAAAATAACTAGTCAGTCAAGATATTGGCACAGAAATGTAAGAAACATTTACAGCGACTTATCTATGTATATTGTGTGTGCTCCTTATGTGCTCTTACTACTGTACTGTATGTTTGCTGCAACACCGAAATTTCCTTATTACAGAATTGAATTATGTTCCAATACCCTAATCACATACCATTTCTTGTAATAGACATTTATATATTTACTTTCAAGGGCACACATACTAGACCTAATGAATCATAGTTACTGACCTGTGAGTCCTGCAATAGTTGCGTACCATCAGGCTCAGATGAAAGATGTCGACATTTCTCATGTCTTGAATCTGAAGAAAGAACTTGGTATCCTCCTTCTTGCACAATTCCATTACTCTAGACGCAAAAGATGCAAAGATGACTTATGATATGTAAAATATATATATATATATAGAGATAAAAAATATACTCTAACAACACCTTGTACTTCTTACCTTTCTGGGAGTGCTGTGTCGTGGTTTTTCATGGTCTTGGGTTGAGAGTTCGTGATGTATAATGCAATGTAAATAAGCATACAATAATTTATCTAAACATTAAAAGGACGTGTAATTCTTACCTGATAAACATAAGTAGTTTGATTCTTCTCTCGTAATAATTGTTGTAGTTCTTTGGTCCATCCCAAAACACATGGCAAAATAACAGTTTACTATATGTCCTAATTATAAATACACTGCATTATGAGAAATGCAAACCCGTTTTCGTACAAACTTATTACAATGTTTTAGTAGATAACATTCAAAAGTTAGCAGGACTAGCGGAAGTTGGATAAATGATTTTAAACATTGTAGGAGTCTTCTGCTCCGTGCCACTAGGGGCGGTATGACGCGTGTGCTCAGGCCTGTGATAAACTCACAGAAGAGTGTAATATAAGGCGTGCTCAAAGTGGCGATAACTTCAACCTGCTCAGACTAACTGCACATGGGATTTTGTATTGGCTAAAACCATAATAATGCGAGAAACTCCACTCCGCTTTCAACTGTTTTAGATCGGAGGTTTTGGGGTATGTGGTCATTCATTTGTACAGATAGTCATGTCCATGTGCTAACGCTAGCCCCAGAGCTAACGCCACTGTGTGTGCTGAAAAGACTGACAGCTGACGATAACCTGTCATTTATCTGCACAAAAGAGTTAATCAAATCTGATTTTATAGTGGGAAGGATTGAGGTGTTTTTAATAGAATACACTTGATTATCTCCTTGTTTAAGAGACCGTTGTAACATGTCTACTAGCTGTCTAGACTTGCTCATTTGCTAGCAGTCTAATGTTCATTAAAACTGACTTAACTTTAAGTGATCTCCTTAGAAAGCTGAATGAGTGTATATTTACTCATCGTTTTCTCTGATATTGTTCCGGTGTTCGCTTTAGGAGGATTTATATTTCCCTTAAATGCCATGTCACTGAATGACAGTCATGCTATAATACAGTGTACGAACCTGTACTTATTTTTGTGTATTTTATTTGGATGTGTTTTTATTTGCTATACTAATTTTCAATATCTATTGTCTGTTATTAGGTATTAAGTCATGGCTTCTACTGAGATGGAATCTGGTTATTCAGATAATAAATCTGAGCAAGGATCATCAGACCCAGATTCAAAGCACCCCCTTAAAGTGCTTTACTGTGGAGGTACATCATATTGTAAATTACAATCATTATTTATGTACATTAAACAATTTATATTGTTTTAATCTGTGCTTTCATATTTTTACAGTGTGCTCATTGCCTACAGAGGTAAGCCTTTTCATATTTTTTTGCACCTAAAGGGTCCCACCTATAGTCTTTGGTTAGGCCATAAGATAGTAGTATTTGCAGTTGTAGTATTTTACTTCATTCAGGATTTTATTCCTTCTACTTTGCAGTACTGCGAGTATATGCCTGAGCCTGCCAAATGTAGACAGTGGCTTGAAAAAAACTTTCCAGATGTTTTTGCCAGGATGACAGTTGGTAAGTGGAGTTCCTGCTTGCATTTTGTTTTTTGTTTTTTATGAATGCATATGTGATGTTATTGTCTTAAAATATAAAAAAATGAATTGAATGGTTTTATAAATTTATTTTGTTTATTGGCCCTAAAGGCTCAGCAGCCAATACCCCCAAGCTGGAAACTGGCACTGGAGAGCCAACCCCAGTTGCAGAGGAAGAAGAAAAAAAGAAACAAAAAAGAGGTAGTTTTTACTTTGTGTAACCGAAGACTTTCAGAAAGTATGTACATAAACGCTTCACAATTACTGTATGCTCTGTTTTAACTTTTCACTAGGTGGACGAGGACAGATTAAACAAAAAAAGAAAACCGTACCTCAGAAAGTTACAATAGCTAGGATTCCTAGAGCTAAAAAGAAATATGTCACACGAGTCTGTGGATTGGCAACATTTGGTAAGTACACATTTTATGTCTCTGCCTATTTTCTGTCATGTAGGTTACAAAATTACCCTATCCTGTATATTCCTCAGACATCGAGCTAAAAGAGGCACAGCGGTTCTTTGCCCAGAAATTTTCTTGTGGTGCCTCAGTGACAGCAGAGGATGAAATTATTATTCAGGGAGATTTTACTGATGACATCATTGATGTAATTCAGGAGAAGTGGCCTGAGGTAAGCGTTCCATACGAAAAATTCAATAATGTTATCTATGTTGCCCTCATGTTTTATTGCACTATTTCCAATTCAAATGACCCCCATAACAATATTTGCATCATGCATGTCATTGTAGGTGGATGACGATAGCATTGATGATCTTGGTGAAGTTAAAAAGTGAAGACCAAATATGCACTTTCTGTGAAATGGGTGTGACCTGAAAACGGCGACAACATGGCCAAATGTGCACATCAAATATTTTTTAAAGTTTTATTACTAAACATAAAACACAAGGACATGGATACTCACCAGTTCATGACGGCTTTCTCTAATTTGCCAAAGTTGCGGTATGATGTGAACCCCTTTCAATTGTTCTTCACCTAAAACTCTAGGTTAATAAATTTCAGTTCCCCTTACCCCACTGCATGCTGTTTTGGGTCGTTATTTAATTAGTTCATTTGTTGCATTTTAACCTACTCATGCGTGCGTAGGTTGTTTCTAGACATGAGTTTTTATACTCATGGGTGAACTTCTCCTTTCCCGTAATAATTTTAATTATGGTGCAGTATAATTTACATGTTATCTTGTTTTTCTGCTGCACCTTTGGGTCAAAGTTTCTTCCCCATGGGCCGCACTCCAATTATGATTTGGTGTGTTTGTCTAAAATGGTTTGCATGTGATATCACTGGATCCACCCTAAAGAGCTCACCTGATTCTGCATCTGTTGACATTGTGTAAAAGCATCATTTGTTGTACTTTGGTGCTCTTGACCTGAACAGACGTACAGAGATGAATCAATCGGAGTCAGTAACGTGCTGTGCTTTTGAAGCCCCTATTTTGGATCATGTCCTTCCTCCGATACTAATATTGGAGTTTATGTTTGGTCTTCTTGGAAATGTTGTTGCTTTGTGGATGTTCATCTTTCACATTGACACCTGGAGGCCCAACTCTGTGTACCTGACTCATCTGGCTGTGGCTGACTCGATTGTCCTTTTCTGCCTGCCTTTTCGAGCTGACTACTACAGACGAGGAAAGCACTGGCTCTATGGTGACGCTCCGTGCCGTATTCTACTTTTTTTGTTGGCTGCAAATCGAGCAGCAGGAATTTTCTTCCTCACAGCTGTGGCTGTCGACCGTTACTTCAAAATTGTCCACCCACTGCATCCAATCAACAAAATGGGTTTGGGCTATGCCTTATGGGTTTCCCTTGGTTTGTGGGGACTTATATTTCTTGCTACTGGATACCTTCTTGCGGATGATCACTTCTACTACAATGGCAATCGCACACAATGTGAAAGTTTCAACATTTGCATGGGTTTTAGTCCCCTTTCCACCTGGCACAATGCGTTTTATGTCATCCAGTTTTTCTTGCCAACTGCCATTGTTGCCTTCTGTACAATTAGGATAACATGGCAACTAAGAAACAGGACTGTTGACAAAAAGGGAAAAATCAAACGGGCCGTCCAGTTTGTCATGGCTGTGGCTCTTATTTTTATAACTTGTTTCTTTCCCAGCACAATATCACGAATTGCTGTATGGGTGCTGAAAATGTGGTATGATGAGTGTGTGTATTTCAAAGAAGCAAATTTGGCATTTTATACATCTGTGTGTTTCACCTATTTCAATAGTGTTCTCAACCCTGTTGTGTACTACTTATCTACCCCAGCCTTTAGTGGTACTTTCAAAAAGGTTTTATACAAAATTCTTGGAAGGAAAGAAAACAATGAAGTCAACTCAGTGGATGTTAATGTCTCTACTATTGAGGGAAGGAGGGTGTGACAGGGCAAGCTGTAATATTGATTTCAAACACATCCTAAACCAATATACGACAATATCAGTGTGGAAGCTAGAGACGGTACATTGTAAGATGTGTTAAATATAAAACATGATTGTAACCATTGTAATAGTTCAGTCCTTATGGTTTCTTTGAGTGAATGTGAACAATTTAAGAAAATGAAATGTAAACATTAGTACTGGCATAGTTGCAGTTTACTTTGTTAATAAAGACTTATTTATCCGTGTGGAACACAGTGAATTTTCCAGTGTATGATCATTTGATCAGTGACTAAAGTGCCACTCTACAAATCAATAGTTAAAGGTATGCAATTATTCAGGAAAGAACCGCCCTCTCCACTTTTTTGAACAAATCTCTTTGGTCTTATTTGACCCATATCACCGAATGATTGACAATTAGGAGGACCAATAGTCTTGGTGATCCACCCAGAAGTAGAAATCCTCCTACATACCGTTAATGCTCAGAAAAACACAATTTTCAGAGGTTCTTGAAGGCATCATCAACTCTAAAGATGACGTCACTGGGCTGGGCTGATAAACATGAAACTGACGGACCAATATCTGCCTCAACATCCTCCGTCTGTGATTGATTTAACCAAAACACGAGAAGTAAGCGTCCAGTTTCTTTACTACAGCATTTATAGTTGAATACTGTGTAATGTCAGGATAATTTGAGCCTCAGTCTGTGGTCACGATAATGTCCCGCTAATCCGCGGCTAGTTAATGTTAGCTTTGAAAATAGCACATTCCTACATTTTAACAAGATTGACCCAGTTTTTAGACATGCATGTGTTATAAGTGCACATTTTAGCTATATAAATAGGTTATTATGTCGTTATTCCATGCTTTGTCTGAAAATCCCGCCCCTATTCAGTGACTGAATAGGGGCAAAACAAAACTGACTATTTGTATTTCTGCAAACCATTACCGTTAGTTGTTCATCAATCAGATTTAGCTTGAAGGAAAAATGGAATATGTAAGAATAACAATTTATCATGACCAGAAAAAGAGACATGGGGAAGATTAACCAACTTTCCCACGTAGAGGATTGGTTAATCAAGGAGAAGAAAATTATAACCTGCGTCCATAGGTTACCATGAAATAATAATGTAACAGCTTGTGCCATGTTGATTTACTGCTTTTCCCCAGCCTATATTACACACCCAGGGTTGTGAGGATGGTGGATGGGCCTCTTCACCAGGTCTGACCCTTATAACATGGACAAACAGGAAGGAACAACTGCCAGTGCAAAACCCAGTGGCATCAAACCCCCAAGTAAAATAGCACGTCCGTCTGGGGGAGCAACGAAGACATCCCCATCCTCTGGTTAGAATCACTTTGCTCTCATACAGTTTATTAAATCTAAAACTTCATCTGTTCAAAACTCTCCTCAGGTGCACCAAAGCCAGTTCTCTCTGAGAAGTCCCCTGGAGTAACTTCTCCGTCTCAAGATGCCACAGTGGATTTTCAGGTTGGGGAGAGAGTGTGGGTCAATGGTAACAAACCAGGTGTTGTAAGATTTATTGGAGGGGCACAGTTTGCCCCTGGTCAGTGGGCTGGTATTGAGTTGGATGAACCAATTGGGAAGAACAACGGTTCTGTGGCAGAGGTTGTGTATTTTAAATGTGAGGATGGACGGGGGATATTTACTCGTCCGTCAAAGTTATCGAGGACTGCGGTCTCAGAGAAGGTGACCAATGGAGGTGAGGCCAGCCCCGCCGCTGGCTCTGCACAAAATGAACCTGCTCCGTCTGGTGCTACCTCTACCGGTAAAAGCCACAAAATAGAGAGCTACACAATCAGTACATGCAGCTGGTCTTGTGACACATATCGCCTTTCAGCACAGGGATCTGGCATCAGGACAAGCAGCGCACTGGCTCGGAAGCTTGTTTCCAGTGAGTCTGTGTCCAACATTTCAGATTCAGATTCCATAAAGAAGAACAAAAGAGAGTTGAGACTCGGATACCGTGTTCTGGTAAAACATAGTTAAAATGTTCTGATGTTTTCGTTTGAATGACAATAATTAACAGTTTTCTGATCATCCTTTCTATGTTGAGGTCGGTGGATCAAAGGCTGGTGTAGTGAGGTTTCTTGGTGAAACAGACTTTGCCAAAGGAGACTGGTGTGGAGTGGAACTTGATGAACCTCTTGGCAAAAATGACGGAGCTGTGGCAGGGGCCAGGTATTTTAAGGTTTGCTTTGTATTTAAAGGTTATATTTTCTACCAATGACTTATTATCATTTCAGGTATTTCCAGTGCATGCCGAGGTATGGCCTGTTTGCTCCAGTCCACAAAGTAACACGTATTGGATTTCCCTGTACAACACCCACAAAGACAAAGAACTCACGGCGCAGGTCGGGTCTCATGAGGAGCCCCAGTGCCTCCTCCATCAGTTCACTCAGTTCTGCCACTTCTTCAATCAGTGGAAAGCCGAGCAGAGCAGGGTTGGTAGGTATACACGCTCTCTATATTGACATTTGTATAAAACTTTACTGTAATACACCAACCAGTCAAAATGTGCAGTTGACAGAGACATCAGCACGATATGCACGCAAAATATCTGGCACCACAGCATTGCAGGAAGCTCTCAAAGAGAAACAACAGCACATCGAGCAGCTTTTAGTTGAGCGAGATCTGGAAAGATGTGAAATTGCAAAAGCCACAAGCCAGGCTGGAGAGGTGCAGCAGGAACTGGTTCTGCTGAGGAAATGTCGAGACCAGGTTTGTCATGGTCCTCACAATGATTCTTCACAGTTTATGTACATGTAAATATTGGGACATCAACACAATTCCCACATTTGTACACCACCACAATGAATTTTATATTACACTATCTAGATTTGGTTTAGTGTTAGCTTTCATTTGAGAGCTTTTACATCCAAATCTGGTGAACAATGTCAGATTCACTTCACTTTTTAAGGACACAAAAGTAATGAGACAATTGGCTGTCCAGCTGTTTGGCCAGTGCTTTATTTCCTTCATATTCCCCTGGGGTATGAGCAGAAAAAGGGTCTAGAGAACATTTCAAGGGTGTTTCAGTTGCTGTTAATTTTCTATATTTGATCCAAAGACAAGTTATCATTAGGCTGAGAATCATAACAAACTCACCAGAGATGTTTTAATAATCTTAAAATGATTCAGCTCATCAACACTAAATGACTTGGAAAAGAAAGGAAATAACAACTGTGATGGGTGGTAGAACGATTCTCTCCTTGGCAAAGAAAACTCCTCCACAGCATCTGGGCAGTTGGAGAACACTCTGCAGGAGGCGAGAATGAATACAGACGGTATACGGCACAAGTTGCAAACTACTGATGAGATGCAATAACAGAAAGACTAAACCACATTTAAAAAAAGCTTAAGTTCCGAAACATGATCCTATGAACGGGTGAGACAAAGAACAGAGTAAGAGTGAAGCTAAACAAGTCTGGAGAAGAAAACAGGGACATAAACTAATTAGTGGAGCTTGGTGGTGGTATTCTCTTGTATTCATTACCTCCTCTAGGGGGGTAAGGTTATCACAGTTTCAGTATCAAGTTTTGTTTGTTTGCCTGTTAGTTAGCAACAGGACTCAAAGTTATGGGTGGAATTTTACAAGATTTTCAGTAAAGTTTGAAAATGGGAAGTGTATGGAGACACAAAAGTGAGAATTGTGTTGATGTCCCCATATTCATGTTTTTTTTATATGACTGTATTTGTGCTGTAGAAGTATTGTTTTAATGAGTAACTACTGTTTTGTTTATTTTAGTATGCTGTAGATATGGAGGCAAAATTAGATCAGCTGCGTTCACTTGTGGAAGCAGCAGATCGAGAGAAAGTGGAGCTGTCAAATCAACTTGAAGAAGAGAAAAGGTGTGTTTGTCATGGAAAGTTTCAATTGGCTCCCAGAGGGGCCATTTTGTTGTTATTCTGTGTCATGTATAGTTTCTGCCTTCTTTCTACTTATTCTAATGATATTATTCAGTCAAGTCTGTCTTTGATAAAACAGATGATTAAAACATCTCTTCAACTTTTTAACAGGAAAGTTGAAGATTTGCAGTTTCGTGTGGAGGAGGAATGTATTACCAAAGGGGACCTGGAGGTAAATATAATGATACTGTTAATCAAAATGTCCTTTTCAAAGAGAAAATACATTGGCTATGTTTCACATGCTGTTAACAATTTGCGTGTCCAACCTGTTCCCCTCCATCCCCATCTATCCAATTTTTTCACAATTACATATTAGTCACATGACATGGCTGTAGATGGGTACAATTTGGATTTGGTTTTACTTCATACACAAGTACATAAACTACATATAAACCTTGATTTTGAGATATGTATCAATTCTAAATTTGGGGAACTGTCATGAAGGGGTGAAGAACTCCAGGTTGTGGGGTCTCTGATTGGCACAGGGGACATCTTACATCACGGGACATTTTGATATTAACAGTATTGTTTATTTGTTTGTTGGTTTGCTTCTACTTGTATACATGAGTTTCAGCTTACCAAATAATGCACCTTCAAAATGCATTTTATTCTTGCAACATAGTTGGACATTTCCTAGTTCCAACAGCCCCTTTGACCACCAATACTTGCATTTTTAGACACATTTACAATCCGGTTCCTCTTTACGAATATAGTGACACTGTGGCTGAGTGGTTAGCGCTTTTGCTAACTGGTCTCCAGCTGGGACTACTGCTCCTGACAAAGACCCCAGTACCCGATGGATAAAAATGGCCCTTCTGGGATAAATAAAAGTGTGCCTTAAAGAGCGACTAAACACCTGTGCCCAGCCTTACTCCGCCCACATGAAGATTTGAAAATTTTCTCTAAAAAGGGCGTTGCCTGGAGGACCAAGAGACAAGAAGGGGGGCTTAGAGTTGGGCGTGGTCTGGGCTGTGATTGACAGCTCACTTGTCACACAAAAAAACAGACAGTTGTCATTGCTGCTTAAAGCAATAGTTTACAGACCAGAAAGTCTCATTCCACCCTCATTTACACACTGAGATAATTGTAAAGCTACACACCTGAACCTAATCACACTCAATAATCTCAGAATGACTCATGTAATTTAATTTTAATCCACTAGATGGCGCCAGAATACTCCAAACTGCAGCTGGGGCGTGTGTGAGAGTTGGATGGGTTCACATCACTGGCTCTGACAGACTGACGTCACACAAAACAACTGATGTCATAGAGAACTTCAGAGTCAATGGAGAGGCCAGAACCAAATTAAAATGTAGTACCACCAAAAAGGTTGAGAGGGCACCACACAGACGTTTTTTGGCTCAAAAGTGATATTTTATCTAATTTGAACTAAATTGTCAAAAAAATGACCAGGATATGTAGAGAGCACTACAATAAACATATTTATGGAGTTTATGATTTGAAAAAAGTTGATTTGACGTTTAGTCGCTCTTTAACCTTAAAAATCTCACCAAGATACGATGCAAAATTGCTCCCTCTGTCCCTCATTTATCTCCATTCTGAAACCCATGTATACCCTCACAATCTATTTTGAGAGGAATCAACCTTATTTATTGATTGACTAATTTGTCTTTAACAATTTGCAAACTGTTTGATCTCTGGCTTGTGTGTTGCTTTTTGTACCTTGGTTACTTGATAACAGTGAATTGCCAGCATGCTTTTTCAAATAACTTGTGTGTCCCTTCTCTGTTGCATTGGTGGCTGTTCTCCTTTCTTCCTGCTCTTTTCACTAACAGACGCAGACGAGGCTGGAGCATGCCCACATAAAGGAGCTAGAACAGAGCCTGCTTTTTGAAAAGACCAAAGCAGAAAAACTCCAGAGGGATTTAGAGGACGCTAGGGTAATGCAAGACCATATCACAACAACAATATGTTTCTCCACCATGTTAGAAATGCATCTACTGAATATGTATTCATATGTATGAAAGTAATTATTTAATGTTCTGAGGGAGGCAGTTACTAAAGAAGTAAGAAGGGAAATATTGAAACACATTTTCACTAAATTGTTGCTGTGAAGATTGTAGCAGAAGAGTAACATTCAAGTAAAAAATAATTATTGCAATAAGCACCTTTAGGGCTGGTGTAGACCAAAGTAATTATTGGTTGACTAAACAATCACCATGTCGATTGATTCATTTTTTTGACTAAAAATGGGCGTGTCAATTGTAAAAACTTGTTTGAAAGAAAAATAATGAATATCAGATAAATAAGTAAGTAGATTAAATTGGTATAGCGCCAATCAACCCCCAGTTTGGACCTGGAAACTTCCTTTGTGGAGTTTGCATGTTTCTCCACGTTTCTGGGTGGGTTTCCTCCTGGTGCTCCGGTTTCCCATCACCCAAAATAGGCATCAATATGAAGCGAATGGATAGTGACTTCAGTGTAGTGCTTTTAAGAGACTTGGAAGTGCTCGACGTAGTTTTATTATAAATCAATATAAACATTTAAGTCAAAATCTGTAATCTTATTCCCTGATAAAGATGCTGAAATCTCAGTGGGACTCTCCTGGTTAAGTAAAGGTCAATAAAAATTATTACCGCACTTACTTGCACTAATAATAAAGCTTAAAGCGCACATAATGAACACCAGTACATGTTGGATTAACACGTTTCTAACCGTTTGTCTTTTTCTTTCTAACCCCGAAGGTGGCCACGGTGTCTGAGCGGTCGCGCATCATGGAGCTGGAGCGAGAAATGGCCGATCTCCAGCTCCGGCTCAGAGCGGTTCAACAACAGGAAGACGCTGTGTCCCTCTCTCAGCAACAGATCAGCAGCCTCAAAACACAGGCGCAGTCCCAGGAGAAAAAGGTCTATTTCCAAACTAACAGCGCTGCTTTTGGCAAAACGTCTTCAGTACATGCTGGACTATAAGCCGCTTTTGTCAAGGTTTTTAAATTGCAGCCGATATTGCAACACGCCCTGGGGTGTAGAAAGGGGATCTTCAGAGCTGTTTACGTTGCACACATTCCTGCTTTAGTGTGTTTATGTGAACTGCAGAAAAATTACTTTACCTTAAACTTTAGCTGGCGCGGTTTTGATACAGGTTAATCGTCCAGCAAGTACTGTAATTACAATTTTCAATATTAACATTGCAATGCAGTTTAAGCAAGAGTCAAGATATCCGCCAACAAGTTTTTTGAGGTTTTAACTTCAGTGCAACCAGCTATTGGTAATTGATATACATTGTAAAAAATGTTAGTCAATTGAAATATTCTTATTTTTTTTCTTATTTGCGATAACATTTGCCAATAGAAGTTGGAGCAAGCAACTGCCTGTAACACAAGCACAAATAATTGTTCCATTGGAAAAACTTCAAAATACACCAAGATTAAAATTGTGTTCATTCATTCATTATTTGACATTGTTTGTGATATTTTTTTTGGAAGAGTTACCAAGAAAGTGTTTGAGAATTGTGTAATTTTTCTACATGTAAACCCATCGTCAGTTGAAAGATTTTAATAAGGCCAGGTAATTGGTGTGTAACCCAATCCTTTACCAAATAACAAGTATGGTTCAATAAATAAATATTTATTGGCAATGTGCAAATTCTCTTCTGTTTGCTGTGGTCGTATATAGCTTCTGGGATAGCACATTTATAGTTCTGACCTGGTCTGTTTGTTTTGTTGGTGTCCACAGATCAGTGAGCTGAGTGTAGATCTGGAGAGCAAACAGAAGGAGCTTCAATCCGCCCTGGAATATAGGACATCACTCGAGCAGCAACTGACCGCAGCGGTAAGGTCAAATCACACAACCTAATGAACCGTGAAAAACATGATACCTTTAAAACCATTGGGATTTTAATTGTACGTAATCCCAACATTTACCTGCAGCAAAAAGCATTCCCCATATATGGTCTTGAGACGGGAATTGAGAGACTATCTGTTATGTTCTTCGGTCTGTTTTATATAGATGCCTTGCGTGTTTTGTAGATCCAGTCATTAATTGCTGCTGAGGTAAAAGAATGTTTAGCTTCACGCTCCGCAGTCACACAGATGTTTGACTGTTTCAGAGAAAAGAGGCTGAACTGCAAGCAGAAGAACATAGGAAAACAATGCAAGGTAAATCCGCTTCTTGTTGCTAAGGAATAAAGGTATTTATTTTATTTACATGTGTTTGATGTTTTGTTTTGTGTAGAACTAGAGCACAACGTTAATCAAACAAATAAAGCACATCAATCCCTGAAAGAGGAGAGTCGCCAAAGAGAGAAAGCACAAGAGGCCCAGCTGACTCAGGTATGTTCAAGATTATGTATGTTTAGATTTCTGTTTTATGCAAAATTTTAAAGACCTTTAAGGACCATTTTCCTGTTAATATTAAAATAGTTAATCACAGTCTGTAGCAACAGTCCCTTTAGAGGTTTGTATTTATGTTGTAATCTAACACTAGAATACATACCTAATAAGTGAACTGTTCGAAATGATACAGCAGCATGGGTTTTCCCAGGCTAGTATTTAATTACAACTATTTTTTTCCCCATGTTTTTTTTAAGGAAAATGAGGAAAGAGAAAAAAATGTCCTTTCTGTAAAGGAGCTCACCACTGAGAATAAGGAGCTGCAAACTCAGGTAAGATGTTTGTTTAATCTCCTTTCCCCTTTACCCAGTATTACAGTGGTTTGCAAAAGTTTATGTACTAGTCTTAAAGCCAGAGCACTCAACTTTTTGGAGGTGATTGAATGTCTCTGTAGAAATAACAAGAGATTTTTCAGAAGATTACAGCCAAAGAAACAGTAGGAGGCCCTTCTCCTGCCAAACATGGGACATAAGTATAGACTTTAAGTAAAAAACCTACCTAACCAAGCATTTTTACTCAAAGAACAGGTCATTTATAATAATTTATGTCATTTATGTAATTCTACAATTTAAAAAAAATTCTAGGACTTAGCGGAGTAGAGACTCAGGTTTTCCTACGTTCAAAGTAGTAGTTTAAAGTAAAGCAGTCCTGTTTGATATTGTATTGTCTTCATTTATTTGGCATGCGGCATGGTGATAGAGCTCTATAAAAAAGATTACTTGTTAAACAGCATACTGTAACTGATAGTAAATAGTATGTTCTGAAATGCAGTAGAGTTTCCCGCCCGGGAGTCTTGTATACTTTGAAGCATTTTCATGTCACTGTATTTATGCAGGAAACACTGCAGCAGGTGCTTTTAGAAATGGAACAAACCTCGGGCCAAAGTTAGGATTTTAGATTTTTCAATACAACAAACGTTTGTTAAGGCATAGGCGAAAAAGAGACTTGCAAATATATTTATAAGATCAGTTAGGTGTTTAGGTTTAGGTAAGGAGACAGTGGTGGCTATTTAAAAAGACATTCATGTTGTGCCTCTTTAATTGTGGAGAAGATGTCTTCTCCACTTCTTATTGCAAGATGCTGTGATGCTTTTTATTCTATTGTATTCAAGAATGTATTTTAAGCATCTTTTTGTGTTATCACTGCTACTTGAACATCTGTGATATATCTTCTTCACCCATCAGCCCCGTTTTGTTCCCATTTAGTCAAAAAGCTGCTGGTTGCATTTAAAAATCATCATTGTTTTCGTCTCAGAACCTGTTTTTATACCTTTATTGTGCGTGCCAATGGACAATGATAGCTTTAATTCTTATTCCTGATATGAATCTGTGGAATATACTTATGCTATGTATATTGAATGGGCCTGTCCTTTAGTGATTGTGGTGAAATATAGCGTCTGAGTCCAGTGAGCGCATTAAGGCCACAGCACATGCAGCAGGAGGATGCTCTGCATCTGCTGCGCCTGCGGCTCCAGAGCTGTGATGTAATCCTGCACATGTCTGACTGTGCTGCAGCTGCCTGGCTGCACAGACTTTTTATTCACACACTAAACACACACATATCTGCCAAGACTATGACACGTCTAAATTAAAATTAAAAGAAAGAAAAAAGTGCTAAACAGAGATGTCAGACCATTACATCATCACAGCAGCCTAAACATGTGTCTTTGATTGGAGTGTTTGTTTCTTTAAACAGGCTGTAACTGCTCTATATGTCATATTCAGTCTTGGTTGGAATGAGAATCAGAATTATTTTTATTGCCATTGCAAGTCTCAGGAAGTCACAATCTAGGCTCAAGGTGCAAACAAATTATAAAAGTAAAAATAGATGTAAAGTTATGCATACAAACAGACTGTTGTAATTTTCTTTGTAATATGATGTCAGCTGTGTGGTTAGACTATAATATTAATTATGCACTAATAAATAAATACTAAAATGTTAGATAAGTATGTTGAATTACTGTTTTTTGTTGTGATTTAACTTTTAATGATAAATACATGAAGGTGTCCTGCAGATTATTCTGCTGTGTTGGAATTGGGTCAGTCAGTGGTTTCAATGGCATCATTTATTATTGTATATTTATCTGAAACAAAACGAGGCCCATCAACTGTAAGAGTGACTTACCGAGTGTGACGAAGTCTAGGAGGAGCTTTGGTCACTTACATAATGGCAGTGACTTTAGCATAAGCAGTGAGAGAGGTGGAGAGCCGTTCTCACTTTCCCTCTCGCAGCTCGGCGTGGCGGGGGGAGGTGGGCTCATGCTTTATTGATGTCGAGCTTGTGTTCCCATGTTCTTCATTTGACATTAGTGCAACACTCTGCAACATCAGAGGCTCTGACTGCAGACAATCAGGGGTGAGCTTTAGGGGCATGGATGTAGCTCTTCACCAGGGTTACACCTCCACTTATTCGCCTCATTACCAGGTAGGACTCTTCAATGTCGCCTTTTTCTGTGCTATTGACTCAATTAAGGCTTCTCAACCCACTATACCACCCTGCTACCACTCCATACAATACGAGGTTGTGTTGTCAAGATTGTCCCGAGGGAATTATCTTTGTCATTGTACATCAATGGTGTAAAAACTTTAAATTTCCGTCTTGGCTTTTGTATAAACTTCTGTACGTCCAAAGAACTGAAGAACTTGTCACATACAAACTGAGTGTTAAAGATTAAACAGTGTGAGTGGTCAGAGATTAGGCTGTGTAGTGTTGATTTCATGGATTGCCATCACAGTTGCATGTCCTTAATTATTGAGTGTGTCTATTTTAATTCGGTTGAGCTTGACCACCACAGCGTTTTGGTTGGACACAGGTTACTTTGAGCTGACAGGAAATGCATTATATATATTTTTCTTCTCTGACCCGGCTCTTGTTTTTTAACATAAAAGCAAAACCTTCTGTTCTTTGTTTTGTTATTGTTAGCTATAAAATAACATGCACCAGTGAAAACAAAGTCTTCGTATGTGTTTTGCAGCTTGAGGCTTTGAAGCAGCAAAATGTTAAATACAAGGAGGAATTTTCTCTGTCAAGGGAGCGGAGCAACTCTGAAACTAACCCCGTCGCATCTCGCAAGGAAATGTAAGATCTCAGCCTGAATAATGTGTTTTTTCCTTGTGTGACCCGTGAGCAGGATGTGCCGTGTTTTTACTCTTAAGTTGTTTCAAAACTGTTCTTGTTCATTATGTTGTGTTGAACAAAATGCGTTTTCCATATGGGTGTGAACTTATACCTGTTTATTACGGCCACTAGCTATTGTTATTTAACATGTAAGGCAAGGCAAGTTTATTTGTATAGCACAATTCATACACAAGACAACTCAAAGTGCTGAACAGAACAAGGTCACACAAGGCATTCAAATCATAAATAATCACATAATCACATGTGAAGCACTCTATTTAAGTCTGTTCAACACAAGAAGGCAGACAAAAAAGCCGATTTGATGTTTGAAGTTTGATTAGGCTGTTTTTGGGTTGTGCTTTCTCAGTGTGGCTATTAATAGCTCTGTGTGCTGCTGTGATTGAGTGTGCATAATATAGAAATTCTGTCCTCGTCACTCCCTGAGTCACCAAATGGAATTTTAGTGTTTTGTGTTGCCTCACATTATCTCTCCAAACATTGAGAAAGATGCTAAATGCTCTTTCTCTGCTCTAACCGTCTTGGCCACTTGCAGCTGCATCTTTGAGCAAACACCACTGTTACGTAATTGAAGGTCCGCACCTCCTTATACCGCCTGCCTCCAACATGGCTGCTGCCTGCACAGTGACATCACAGTGTGCGCTGCTCTTTGAGGATTGTGACCAGGGTTAGAGCAGCTTTGTTTGAATCAATGGAGCTTTTGTGAATTGTGAAAGATCTCACATGAAATGCCACCACAGTTCAAATGGGCCCATACATTTTATTCTATATTTTTGTCTCTATGGTTTTTGCTCTGATATCACCAAATAAACAGGATCCACCCTGATATTGATCCCGGACTCTTAACCCTAATCCAATTACCCCTGATTGGTTTGGCTTTTACTCTGATCCTGGGCACACAAATGGATGACATTGATCTAGGGCTAATTACTCGGTGATATCAGATCAGTTATGGTTTTCTGTTATCATTACACTTTTCTCATAAGATTATCAATATAATTAGAAATGAGTGAGCTATTGGCACAGTATCTTAATGTTGTGTGTAGAGTTTGTTATTTGCTGCAGTTTCATGACACAGATCTGAACCAATTTTTCTGTTTCCAGTGAAGAGCTGAGTGTGGATTCCCAAAGTCAGGTAATAAAATTCAGTGTATTTGAAATAACTGTTCTAATTCAAAAGTTGTAAATATATTTGTTTATGTTTGTGTTTTTTTCATTAGCGTCATGGAGGGCCGAGCAGGTAGAACTCTTCGTTACATTTCTACACAAAAAAATTCAAGAATTTTGTTTTGATCTTGTATTTTTCTTTGATAGAGAAACAAATAAAGACTCTGAACTGGAATCCTTGAAAAATGAGGTAAAAATCAACCTTGTATCTGCCCATTTAAAATCATTGAAACTGAGGTGACTCCTAATACTTTGAATCTCTTTGAAGGTTGCCGTGCTGCGGGGTCAGAGCGCGGGGGCAAAGACGCTGCACTTGGCGGTGGAGACATTAGAGAAGGAAAAGGCCGAGCTCCAGAGCAGAGTCCAGAGTTTAGAGGAGAGGCTCATGGGAAAACCGGCCCCAGGGGGAGAGGCTCAGGATGTCCATGCAGGTCTGAAGAACCCGCTTTACACTCCAGCGCTTTTCATAAACATGTGCACTGTATTTACCAAATGTCACTATTCTGTTTGTTCAGGCGATACAGCTTTTCAGCAGCTGAGAGAGGAGAAGGAGTTTGCTGAGGGACAGGTAAATTAAAACACCTTTGAAATAAAACTGTTCTTCTTCATCTAACGTGTCTCTACTTTGGTCAGATCAACTTCCTAAACAGCGTCATCGTTGACCTTCAGAGGAAAAACGAGGAGCTGAAGATCAAGCTGAAGAAGCTGGCTTTATCAGAATTCAACGGAAACGACATGACGGAGGGGTGCGTACGCTTCGGTTTCATCTCGTCTTTCAAACATGTTCTGAAGTCCATATTTTGGTGTTCTCTCAAATGTTATTATGATGCTTTGTGTTTTATTTGTAATTTAAATGCCACACATAGACCATATCAACACACACATACTTTCTTATTTGCTGTGTCATTGTCTAAAAATGTGTTTGGAAAATTATTGTTTTCCTCACACAGTCATTTATTCTGTCAAATAATTATCGGCTGAAGTGAATTGCCAGTGGGCACTTTGTGATACTATGTTGCACATTCTTTCTACAATCTTGAATATATACTATTACTCCAGGTGAATGACATTTACAGGGTCAGCAGTGTTTATTGCACAGTCTGACAGCAGCAGGAAGGAGAGACCTGGAAAACCTCTCCTTCACACACTGAGGGGGGACCCATAGACTGTACATTAGGAGTGGACTGAGCGAGTGCTGATGTTACCATCGTGTTTCTGCGGAATGCGTGAGAATACGATTTTTAATGCTAGTTTGAGCCGATTTCCGAATAGGGGCATTTGTTCCGACAGCATTCGCCTTGCGCCGTAACAAGGGCTGACGTGTTGCAAGGACAATTGCTGAAGCAAGCTTGAGTGGCCCCCCGTGAATGAATGCCTCTGATTGGTCAATCCTTATATGGCTCATGTCTGGATTTACAAAGACAATAACCAAATATAAACACCAGGATTATAGAGAGCTCAAAACCACAGATTTTTTTTAAGGCAAAAATGGTAACTGATCAAGAGGACTTTACTTTTCAATGTAAATCCATAGGAGCCAGTGAGTTGGAGCAAAGCTTTGGTCATGAGCACTTCCCTATTGGGTTTTATTGAGCAAGGGGGTCTGTCCACAGGCCTGAGTGTCCTGCAAGGGGCGACAGTCACAGCCCAGGACAGAGCGGGACAGACCTGATGACCTTTTCCTGCGTCTTTCTGTCCCTTTCTGTGATGCTTCTGCTCCTTGATTTAGTTTTTTTTCTGAAAAACTTAACTATTGCCAACAGAATCATGAAGTGCCCTTTAAATGTACCACAGCACCATAAATGGAACGACTGAAATCAAATGAACAATCTTAGACATATGTGACATCTCTGTTGTAGACTGAGTGGTGTGTCCAAGCGTGAGAAGAAGTCGACCCCGCGTCTGTTCTGTGATATCTGCGACTGCTTCGACCTCCACGACACTGAGGACTGTCCCACTCAGGCCCAGAGCCCGGACTCTGTGCCTCACACCACGTACCACGGGAACCCGGCGGCGGAGAGGCCCTACTGCGACATCTGTGAGGCTTTTGGACACGCCACCGAGTCCTGCAACGACGACCAAACGTTCTGATCACCTTGAAGAGATCCCATATGTATTTTTTTAAGGTATTTATGCATATCACTGTCCTCCTACTTCTGTCTAACCCCTGACTGCCAAACTACTGCTTTTTGTCTTTAATGCAGAAAGCTTGTCCTCAAAGTGAATTTGTGCAATATTTATCATTGAAAACATTCCATACTCTGCATTTTCCATTATTTTGTTTTACGACTTATATGGTTCCTATTTATTTTGTTTTGGGTTTATTTTTATGGAGAAAAGGTTATGCACATTTCAAGTAGAAGGGAAATGTAACTTATGGCAAATCTGTGTACAATAGGATGAAATAACTTTATCGAAGATAGTTTTCTACAATTTTAGTTACCAGTTGAACGTGACCACTGAACAGTTCTTTCATGTTTTTACACAGATAATTTAAAAAGCATAAGCACATTTAATGTTTCCTTTTTATTTATTTGTTCCTAACAGCCAGTAAAAGAGGAATAAGCTACAGCGTGAGTTGATCTACTAAAGCCTTGAACTTTATATTGCACTGCCCACTTTAACAATCATTTCTTTTAGAAACACTCAGCGCTTTAATCGATCCTGGATTTTAACTACACTTTGTATCTGCAAACTGTGCACATTCTGCTTTTGTTTTATTGACTAATGACTTTTTTCCTAAGCACAACATTGAATCCTTCCATGTATAACTCTGAACTAACCTAACATGTAAATGCATATTTATGTACTTTGACACAGTGCCATATGAAGAAACTGCTCTTTGTTCTAATGTTGTACTAAGAGTCAACCTTGTTTAAATAATGTTTTATATGTAGTCATCTGTAAACGTTTTCTAAAATGTGTAAACCATTTTGATAGTGTTTTAAATGTCATTGTTTTGTATCTTATCCTAAATTGTCCAATAAAGAAAACATGACTCAATTTCACAGTATACAGTCAGTGTAAATATAAATAGATCGTCACGTCTGTTAAGCTTACAAAAAAATTAACAAAGTTCCTTTTGTAAATTTTATTAAGAAAACATACAATCAGACATGATAAAAAACAAGCACTATTGATGGAATAAATAAGTCAAACCAAACCATGAATCTGTACAAGAAACTGAGACGAAATGGTCCCAAGAAAACAAAAGATTTCATATCTCACAGCTCTGGACGCACATTTGAGCAAACTAGCTATTGGCTCAATCAGGTGAAGGCTACAACTTAAGTGAGATTCTTTTAAACTGAGTGTACGTAATGCTGTCTGTTACCGTTGTCAATACATAGCATTTAAGTGCCAGCACTGCTGGACTGAGAATGAGGTATATGCTAGTCCATCCCCTAAACCAACCAAACCAAACTTTTAGTTCTTTTCTCTCCATCCATGTCAATGCTGATTTCAGAGTCCATCAAGAGGTTGTTTTCCTTACAAACTTCAAGTAATTTGCCTTTTAATGTCAATGACGACTCCACAAACAAGATTCACACATGAATAGATTCAGTCAGTAGACAGCACCGTAAGGAGGATGATTTCTGAAGTTTGACCTAAGAGACTGGATGCTCAAGTGAACAACAGGCAGGTTTGGTCACTTGGAGGTAAGTTGTGCTACACTTTCAGTGACCCATGTGATCTCAGGTGGACTGGTCATGATACACAGCAACAGTTTCAGGTCAGTTTCTACTTCAAGAGTAAAAATGCTGTAGAAAATCATGATTTTAGAGTACAGGAAAGTGAATTCTTATGACTAGTGTTAACTGTTCAAAGGTTCAAGAATATATATATAAATATAAAAAACAAGTGTATTTGTATCATAAGCATTGTGTACAATTACATAAGTCAGATTATAAGGCAAAAGCATGGCACCAAAATGTAATGTATCATCCTGTTTGACCTAAGATGTATATTTCTTCTGAGCAACTCAAGGCACAACTTTAGGACCTAGTCTATATGCCCGACTACCACTTTTCCAATATGTATTAACCAGTGCCGTCAGTCTTCCTACGAACCACTAAGTCATTAAACGTGAGTGAGGAAATATTCCATGGATAGAGAAAAAAGACATTTACAACAGCAGCAAAATCTATCTGATCAATTGCGACTTACCATAACAGTGCATTAACCCTCCCGCAGAAACGAAAAAGAACTATCTTATAAATAGACATTGGATTTTAGGCCAACAGGAGGCAATTTGAGAGATTTTTTGGAGTCGCATCGTCTTACGTTCAGGAGTTACCCACCAAAACAGATCTGAGACCAGGCCAGGCATGTGAATATCCTGAGCTAAGCCATTAGCATCAAAAACAGTACCAGGGCAGAGGTCCAAGTCAGACTTCTCCTAATGCCATTGATGCAGTCAGCCGTGTGGGATCCTCAGTGAAAAATTCTTTATTTGCAGGTGCAGGTTTGTGTGGGTCTGTGTGGCCTGGGCTTCTCTTGGCATTGGTGAATAGTAGGGAGGAGGACTATTGGAGCACAGAGAGGAACGGCAAGAAGAGGTAATATCCATTCTCCCTCTGCAGCTGAGGAGTGTCAAACCATAAACTCAATGAGAGATGCTCCACCTCAGATTTGTGGTGAAAGGGGAAAACGAAAAGGACCGGGAGGAGAGCCGTAGTGTCATTAGCCCTAAATTACCTTGGGTTAATGGAAGGAGGTACAGAAGAGGAACAAGACCTTCCCAACATTTAACTATCTTCATAGTTTAGGGATGAGGAATCCAGCTTGGTTTTCTTGCTGGGTGGGTTCTCGTCATCTAGGTCCTTAATTACAGAAAAGAACAAACATGAACATGCAATACATATAACAGGACTTCAGTCTATATTTTACCCATTTAACTGTTAAAATAAAACAAGTATGGACAATCTAGCGTATGCCGTGAACGGTACCTGAGTGGCTTTGCTGTCGGAGGAGTCTTTTCCTCCTAAAGACAAACTGTCTCTCTTCACACTCTGTGCTCTGTCTGAAGTGTCTGAGTTGGTCTTACCTGAAAAAAAACAGACAGCAGCGTTATTGAGGAAAACTATATTCAAACCAGGTCTGTGTCTTTACTGACCCTATGTGGTATGTTGAAGTAGTGCATGTGTGGCAAAAGTACATTTTAGAAAAGTTACAATTAGAAAAACCAACTAAGGCAGAAATAACCTTGTGTGTGTCACCAATTCAGCACAAAGAAAAATTCACTTTTAAAGATACAAAATTTCCTTTTGAAGCGACATTACTTTACAACGTATTTGACCTCTAATGCTACATATATATTGGGCTATAAACACATGTCAAATCTATCAGATGTGCGTTGTATGGACTGACCCCTCTTGTCTGGGTTCTGGTCATTTTTAATGTCCCCGTTGTCTCGATGAGACATGCTGTTGGACTCAGGGGCAGGGCTGGTGCTACAACTGTTTTCCTGCTTCACTGGGGATGAGTCAGCAATCGAGCTCTGGTTGCTGTTATCATCTAAAACAAAAATCACAGAATTATATAATTTTTTTAGGACACAACTTTAGGTAACCACAGTGTAAGTATACCCACCATGCATGTCCATCATGCCAGGAGATGAGCTGTTCTCTGGAGTTGTCAACTCTGAGCCATACTTTTCATCTTTACCTTTTTTCTTATTTTTATTTTTCTGAAAACAGAGCATCAAGATTTGAGGCATGTTCTCTTCAACTAAAATAAATTACATTTAAAGCAACACTTACATCGTCTGATTTGGGCTCCGTCACTGGTACCCACTTGTAGATGCGAAGTGATGTGTCTCCTACTGTCACCCATTTCTTTTCCCTTGAGAAAACAATATAATGTAGTTATTGGAATGTTTAAAATGTCATGGTAAAATAACTTATCTTCTGAACAGAGTGAGTGAGAGAGCCAGACCAGATCATTAGACACCATTTAATATATATCATGAATTACTCCTTCGGGATCAATAAAGTATCTATCTATTGGCACAACATAGTAAAATATTTATAAATTGCTTGATCAAGAATGTCTCACTAAACGAACCAGGCCCCAATTTTTTTTTACAACTAAAAATGTTTTCAGGTTGAACGAGAGTATTTATTGTAACCAACTGTAAAACTTGCATTTGTTTTACTTTGACCTCATTTTTCACACAAACACACCACAAAGTTAACAAAGTTCAACAGCTTTATTCTTTCACATTCCCACATCTGGCACCAGCATCACATGTCAAAACACCGGGAAGAGTTTTAAGCGTTAAATGAGAGACAAGTCATACGTGTTCAGCCATGCACTACAGCGCTCACTTCCCTCTTCTCCCAACCCCCACCTCATTCTGCAGAACTACAGCCAAAGCACGGGTCCAAGCGCTTCATTTGAAACTCTCACGGACCAGTCTCCTCTCTCTCCATGCGCCCACATCCAGAAATGTTTCAAAGTCGAGAGTTATCGGACGTGAGAGCGCGTCCCCGGGCTCCCTCCAGCCGCTGTCTATGAGCAGAACAGCGCGCAGCAATGGCTTCATGTGACTGCAACGAAATGGCTTCTGGGTTCAACCCTGTCCGCAATAATGTACGAGGAGCCCCTGTGTGAGAACCGGGGCTTTTTGGCTTCAGACTCTCCCGGTGCGCGCCTTGCACCTGAGCCTCACATCTGCCGTAAAATGCATTCACAAATGTCCTTTCTTTAAATTCATCGCTCTCCTTCACGCTCCTTCCCTCTCCTCCCCCAACAAGCAAAACCCTCTTGTGTTAGATAAGCCTTGTTTTTCCCAGTTTCCTTACCATTTTCGTACTTTCTCGATAGCTGCCATAACCCTCTTGATGTCATCCTTGGCCCTGCTCCGGGTCTCGGCTCGCACTGACCTGCCCGACATTGCCGCGGTGGGTATTATATTTTTAAAGCTCACCGGCAGTTCAGACACAATGCAAACAGTAGAGCGCACAGAACCGTCAGTGCGCATGTGCAGACCGAGGCGCCTTCATGAGGGGAGGGGGAGCGGAGGGGAGGGGAGGGGAGGGGAGGGGAGGGTGGGGAGGGGAGGGGAGGGGAGGGTGGGGGGGGTCCTCCTGCTGCGCGCGCTGCTGTGGACCGGGAGAACAAAGACCTGCACTAGTTACACTGTACTTTATTGTTCTTTCCATCGACACAGTCTGCTTCTACTTGAAACTCTCGGACCTCTGTCAGGGTCTAACGTGTCCTCAGATTGGAAACTTACAATAAAACATGTCCTATATCTGAAATGTGCCTTGGTGTATTCACTCTTGAATATGGGTGTTATGGGGCATAATTATGTTGTTTTTCTTAACCATGCTGCATTAGATTTAATTGTGTTTAAAATTGTTTTTGGACGAGTGGAATCAGTTCAAGCCTGTTTAATTTACACATAACATAAACTCCAAAGTATTTGGAGAGATCCACTCCACATCTCCTTCACGGTGATTCACCTAGAGGTCTCTTTTTTGGGGGGAAGATTTTTTTTTCTTGCTTAAGAAGGACGGTCTAAGAATGGATAGTTCTAGGAAGGTCTAGTTTAGCCTGTTTTAATAGTTTGATTTTCTAATTAGGATTCCTGATCCAAGGTCAGTGGGACAGCCTATACCAAAGTGCCTTTACTTCTACTCACCTGTCGCCCAGGCTGGTGAACCAAGTCTGTTTTGACCAATTTGAGACAACAGATTTTTCTAGAACCTTCAACAGCATCCTGGCTCCTGGTTCCATGGAACAAACTGGAAAGTTCTGGTGTGGACTAACCTGACATAGTGGATCCTGGATAACCTCACAGACCGACCATCTTGTGAGTCCAGGGACTGTTTGTTGCAGTCTGGGGTTCCCCAGGGCACCATCCTTGCACCATTCCTCTTCACCCTCTTCTCTATGACTAATCATTCAGGACGATGATTCAAAGTACAGGGCTAATGCAGGACTTGAATCAAGATCAAAGAGAAGATTGTGGATTTCTGCTGATGCCACTCTGCAGCTCCAGTGAACGGAAAGATTCAGATGGAGAGATCCTTTATTCATCCCACAGTGGAGGAAATGTCAGCCTGGATTATGACTTCTTACCCTATGTAAGGGTCTTGTGGAGAGCAACCTTTAAAGACAGGTGCATGTACAGAGTGGAATCTCCTTCAGACAGCAAAAATGGTCAGGCTGTAATGATAAATACTGTAGTAATGGGAATATTGTGTTTTATAATAGGCCTGTCCACACAAAAAATCTCTTGATGGGTCACTGACAAGGAGTTTTTTATTACTGTTGCCTGCAGATACATATTTACTATTTGTTACTCTTTGCTATTTTCTATTACAAAGAGTAGTCTGCACCTCCTATGGCTAATCTTGAATAATACACTAGTAGGGCACTTCCATTTTGTACTTCAGCCACTATTATTGTGAGCTCTTAAATTTTCGCTGTACTGAACTGTGCATTTTAACCACACAGAAACTGTGTGTACAGTGGGGCAATTAAAAAGTAGTAATCATACTAATAGTGGGCTATATAATAGATAGAGATTGATTTATTCAATTGATTGATTTATTCAATATTCATATTGTAAAGTATATTTTATGTGAGAATGTGGTGATAAACTGCCATCTAGTGGAAATAATCAGAATTGCACTGTTTAACTTCTAGTTCTTCTGTTTAGATGCTATGTACGATCATTATATGTAACTATTTAAAAAGCAACAGCAGCAAATGTGTTCTGCCATGATTTTATTCCAAATGAGGCCAAGAAAAAAAAGCCAATATTAAAAGCCTTTCGTCGCAATTGTATGACGTAACCTATTACGTCATCAGTGTCCGACGTACATCATCACCAGAGGAAAACATTTCGTTAAAACTTGTGAGTTTGTATTACACCTGGATCTGGTCCAACAGTGTATTGTATGTATGTGATCTGGAGTAATGATTATCTGTGTCTAAATCGTTTGTTTCCCACTTTTAGCTGAATAAAAACATCTCAACTCTAGTCACATTTCCAAACCTTTTACAAAAGGCATCACACCTTTAAAATGACTGAACAGGGTGAGTGGACGAGTTCATTTTCTCCAGTGTCAATTTCACCGCTACATATTTATAGGCCCACTTGTATTCACAAGATAAAGCAGGCTACTCAATTATAAGTACAAGTTCAGTTACTAAAATATTACTACATTAAAACTGTTACTCAAAAAATTATACTTACAATGTAACCTTATGTACTTTCTGTCTTTGTATGTGTGCGTGTCCATGCAGAGTTAGTGGATTACTTTAAAGCACAAATGCTGAAAGACCCAGATATGGCTTCAGCTGTAGCTGCCATTCGGACTCTGCTAGAGTTTCTGAAGCGAGATCAAGGTTTGTATATTATTAAATAAAACTATTTACATACACGTAATAGTACGGAGAATAGCAAGAACCGTACACGGTCATTTTAAATGTTAAACTATGATTTCTCCAGGTGAAACGATCCTGGGTCTGAGGGAGAGCTTGACAGCTGCCACAGACTGCCTGACAGGAGTAGACTCGTCTGTGGCTGTGTCGTCTGGAGGAGAGCTCTTTCTGCGCTTTATAAGTCTTACTTCTCTGGAGCATCAGGTTAGACTATGACAAAATACTTTAATGCTCACAAATGTATGGAACCTCTAGTTATACGCAAGAACTGCCTCAAACAAAGGTAAACTTTACATTGTTTTCAGGATCTCTCAAGATGTAAAAAAGTTATGGAAGAGAGAGGGGAACTTTTTTTAGAGAAGATCTCGATGTCCAGAGCTAAAGTTGCCAAGCTCTGTCACACATTCATCAAAGACGGTGCAGTACGTAATCTCTATAGTGTAGTTTTTATCGTTTGTTATCCTATTGGAGCCTCAAACTTTTTATCCATATCTTCTTTGGCAGAAAATTCTCACTCACTCCTACTCCAGAGTAGTGCTTAGAGTATTAGAGAAAGCTGCAGCTGAGAAGAAACGATTTACTGTCTATGTCACTGAATCGCAGCCTGATGCAGCTGGGTAAGTGAATGATAGCTGTGATGCTGTATTTGCTGAAATGTTTACATTGTCTATTCATAGTTTGCAGATGGCAGAGGAACTAAGGAAGCTTGATGTCCCAGTTACAGTGGTCCTGGACGCTGCTGTGGGGTAGGCTCTTTACTGAACTACAGAAACTGCAAACGTTCACAACTTGCAACCTGTGTCTTGTTTTGGGGTCAACAGATATGTTCTGGAGAAAGTAGATCTCGTCATTGTAGGTGCAGAAGGTGTAGTTGAAAGTGGAGGAATAATCAATAAGGTACAGCTCGATAAATTAACTTAATTCATACAAAGAATGACATGTTTATGCCACTCTTTTAGATTGGCACTTACCAGATGGCGTTGTGTTCTAAAGCTCACAACAAGCCCTTCTATGTTGTGGCGGAAAGTTTTAAATTTGTTCGCCTTTATCCACTGAATCAGCAGGATGTGCCAGATAAATTCAAGGTACTGAATAACAGAAATGTGACTGGTTTGAATTGTTTTATTGCCGTATTCATTTACTTTGCAACAGTACAAAGCAGATACGCTGAAGTCTGTACAGAATCTGTCTGAGGAGCATCCAAGGATTGACTACACCCCTCCTTCCCTCATTACTCTTCTATTCACCGACCTTGGAGTGCTCACGCCATCTGCCGTCAGTGATGAACTAATCAAGCTCTATTTATAACAATGTCACTGAGTTCTCGAATAAAATCATGAGTCTATGCTGGTTTGGTGTTTTAGTCGTCTTCCCCTGAGCTGCCACAGGTTTTTGATCGCGAGCCACCAGTTATCTGTTTCTCAAAGTCGTCTTCAGAGATTTTTTTCTTCTTCAGTTTTTTCAAGAGACGCGTGTCATTTAAAAGTTCATTCATTTCTTCTTGATCAACATCAGAGTCCTTCAAAAAACAAGTGAAAAGTATTAGTTTACAGTTTTAATGTCACATCAACATTTCAAGATAACATGTTAAAATCACCTCATGCTTCCTTTTGGCAGCTTTAATTTTCTTGCGCACCTTCTTATCCTTCTGTTTTGACCAGGCTTGTTGTCTGACATACCCTTTTCTGGCTGTCCTTATTTCATTTTTTTGCTCTTCCAGCATCTTCCGTCTCTGTTTTTCTCTGTTCTTATCTTTGTACTTGATGGTGTCTATGTCAACATTTGTTGGAATAAAGTCTGGAAAGACTTTGCCTCGCAACTCTGGCATCTTGGGCAAACAAAGAAGTCCAAAACCACGAGCCGAAGATCCAAAGTCTAGATCTAGAGGAAAAGCATTTAGTAAACACCTGATCAATTCACATTTAAAGTGCAACTTTACCTTTTATTCTGAAGATCAGACTGCATTCATGTTTGGAATAGGCCTGAACATATGAGACAAAGGCCCTCATGCCCCTTTCAAACATTGCGCGATCTGCTAAAGCCATGGCTTTTACTTTTGGAAGCACGTCAACAACATCACTTATGGGAGACATCTTTTGCAACGGACACTACGGAAGACAGTTACATGTAGTGTTAGGATTGAATCAGTGTTTTAATGTGAGCTCATGCCTCAAAATATTGGGCAAATGGCCCGTCTTACTTTTTGGTTTATCGATAGGAAATTGATATAGGACTCCTCCATCGGTAGGAGAAAGACTAACGCGTTGCCATGGTTACCAATCCGTGCTGTACGTCCACAGCGATGTACAAAAGCACTGGAACATACAAATAAGTACTTTAAAATTCAAAAGGTGGAGCCACTAACTTAGAGCAGTCCTAATGCAATACCTGGCACAGCTGGGCGGGTCATACTGAATTACCCAGTTCACTTCTGGGATGTCAATTCCCCGGGCCATGACGTCTGTACAGACCAGGATCCCACTGATCGACATCAAGTCATCATCAGTTTCAGGTTTTAACAGTTATATCAAACAATATCAATATATTATGCACTCACCTTTTCAACTTTCGAAAGTTGGCAAAGATTTTATTACGTTTGTTTTTCATTTTCCCATGAATGCATTGTACGTCGACCTTTTTTATAAGGGTCTCTAATGCACGACTGTAGTAATCCACACAAGCACAAGTGCTGAGGAAAGAATTACAATGAGGCAAACATAACATATACATAACATAACATAAAGAAAGTTACCTAAAGAATACTAGATTTTTTTCATGTTTGTGTTGCCTGAGGAAAGCCACCAGCTTATTGAATTTATCTTCTGGCCTACAGACCTGAAAAGGATTGAAGAACGTGGATTCCAACAATACTCCTAATATCAAAAATCATGATCTTACAGTGTAAAAGTTGGCAAGTCTTGAGGGAGTTTTCTGTGTACACGTGTCTGCTACACCCTTCTCCTTAACAGTGATGCGAACAGGGTTCCTGAGACCTGCTCTCACCAGCTTTTCCAGCTCCTGAGTCTGAGTGGCTGAAAATAAGCCAGTGCGCCGCTGTTTGGGTAAGTAGCTGAGGATAGTGTTCAGACTGCCAAACACAAAACCATGCAAAATAAGTTAAAAGAAAGAAAGCAACAGGAATTAGACTACATAGTTACACCGGATTAAATACAGGTTGACATGCTCATACATACATATAAAAATATTTGTTTTACCTAGTCTCAAATCCCATGTCGAGCAGCCGATCAGCCTCATCCAGGACAAGCACATCAAGACTTTTGACGTAGCTTGCCAAGTCAAGTCCTTCACTTTTCCTTCTGAACATGTCTTCCAGACGCCCCGGAGTTGCAACCACAATGTTTGCCCTAAAATGTTTTTGTTAGTGCGTTATCAATCTATGTTATGTTATGTAATGTTCAAATTAATAGGTTCTACACTAGCAGAACCTATGCCCAAAAAGCAGTCTTACATCCAATGCATGTTTTATATATCTCTATAGTTACAGCATCCAGGCAAGCTAATTATGACATATTAACATAAGAATATGACTTAAATTTAAAGAAAAAAGTGCTTTTGATGTATAGCTGCTTTTCCTACTTTAAAAACAATGCAAGCCTACCCTTGTGCTTTAAATTTCTCAATATCTTCTATAGGATTGGTACCACCAATGAGCAAAATCTGCCTGTAACACAAGACACATTAAAATACAGCCCTTTAATAAAATATGCTATTTGACACTTACGTAAACTGAGAAAACCTCTTGAGGAATGTCTCCAACACTTCACTGATCTGTAGAGCCAATTCTCTTGTAGGGGTAATCACAAGAGCACCAACCTGATGACAAATGTTGTATGACACAATTGTAGTTAATGAGTACAATCAATCTATCATGTCTTGTTGGAAAGTCTTCTCACATGTTGAATGATCAAGTCACACTAAATGAAACAAGTTTTAAGCTATAGTGACACAAAAACACGCACTTGCATCTTCTTGAGTTTTTCTTCACGCTTAAGCAATAGTTCTATCACGGGGATGACAAAAGCAAGCGTTTTCCCACTTCCAGTCACCTAAAAGTAACATTGATCACATGTTACTCTGATAAATATTAATAGACATCCATAAAAAAAGATACTAACCGCTTCAGCTGCTACATCTTTGTTTTTCAAGAACAAGGGGATGCAGGCAGACTACAAGAAAGAAAAGACCCTCAGTGAGGTCATTTCAGTTTGATGAAAACACATATACACATCAAGGCCTCAAGGCATGCAGGGTACATTACTTCCGCGCTCCTTATAGGCAAAGTGGGTAAAGGTAAACAAACGTGTACATATTTTAGCTGAGAATCCTTCGCCATACTGCAGGATTGTGAAGTACCTACCTGTACAGGAGTCATGTGAGTGAACCCGAGTTCCTCAAGTGTCTGTAAAATGTTGTCATTGAGTTTTACAGGTAAACTAGTCCATGTTCCGTCTGTAACGTTTGCCATTATTAGATGTTCATGAACATTCAGATTTATCACCACGCTGTTTTCTTCCAGTGTGTGCTGGTGTTTACGCTCCGATGGAAAAACCGGAAGCATGATGGTTCCGAGTGGTGTAGTTCCGAGAAGATCTCAACCGAAGTGCCTGTACTGGAACAACTGGATTTGACTCTTATGTTTTTTGAAGACAATATATACAATATAGCCATAAAGATAAGATATTCTGGGATGAACCTGCCCCAGTTTGAACTCCAACTCATTAATACAACAATTTAGATAATACAAGATTGTACATGGGTTCCGCCTGGATCTTTTTTCTTTACAAGGCCTCCAAATCTCAACTCCAGCGACAATTTACTCAGCTGTGAAATGGGAATTGTTAAAATCACAAAATGTGGTAATTTTTAGTCAAATAAATCCTACAAGATATAACATTTATATTTATGAAAATGTGGACTTGTATCTCTCTAGCCAGAATTTGTTCCCACTTATAATTACAGTAAATAAAGAGGCCAAAACCAGGACTCCAAACGGCTCTTAAGGCAGATTCTATTTGCATTTAACACTTTTGATGCAGTGAGGGTTTACATTTTTTTCAACTTTTAAAATCTTTAAAGAATCAATGATTGCATTCATTATTTGGGGAAAAAATATGCAAGATACACCAACTATATAATATTGTCTTTATTATGAAACATGGGGCATATTCCACAACCATTTGTCATTTATACAGATCAGTTTTTGGACAGTTGTCGTCACAAAGATTCTGTGACCTGAGCAGGTAGCCAACTCAAGCTCAACATTGTTCATACAAAACTGGAGCATATTTAAGGACATGTTACTGAGGGGGGAAAATCAACAATGACTTTGAGAATGTCAAACACAAAAATAATGTCAGTAAACATACTCCAGAAATAAACAATTTAAAACGTGTACAACAATTTAAAATTCCCATCCCCAACTAAATTACTCCAATATAAGCAACTAAAGCACACAGCAGTCATTAGGGAGTCCCCCCCAACCCGAAACAATCAACATGTAACATTTCAGCACTGCTCCACTTTCTAAAAACCCTTCATTTCAATCCAGTGCAGGTTCTCGTGTTTGAAGCCTGTTCGAAAGTAGGCAGGATAGTATTTGTCAGGACGCTCAATTCATTTCTGGACCAATTGTTTTCCTTCCAAAAAAGGTTTCTATAGCTAAGGAAATAAATTGTAAAGCTAAAAAGAAGTAAAGAAAAGCTGTACAAATTACTTGTACTCGAAAACATTTACCAGGAGTGCAGTCAAGTCGTTGATGTGCAGGTTGAACAGTGCAACTCATACACTATTGCAATCTGTAGTTGAGAATCAAGAAAATAAACCTGACTTTGAATAATGGGTTTAAAACTATGGAAACATGTTATATATGCACCCAAATGAATAAGATTACAAACTGAACTGTTAAAGAAACTGAAAACACAATTTTGGCTCTGTTTAACTGAAGGAACAAAAAAAATATTGTGATCTCAAAATGTCAAAAGTTTTAAATGAACATTTCACCAAGACCAGTCTTGCTTTGCAGAATGTAAATAACAATCTTGATGTTGAGACAGTGAGGAAAAGAGGCAACTTCCAGGTCATTACACTACTCGTCGCACTTCAAAAAATCTCTTCAGATAGTAAATCTGTCCAAGTGTCATTGCCACTAGAACAAGTGCTTCAAAGAAGGACCACAGCACCACTCTGCTGTTTGTGTTGTCATTGACTAAGAGAAAAAAAGAAAACATGAAAATGGAATCAAGTCAAATGCAAACTTCAATTATCACATCACTACTTACTTGCTCTGTGTATCCTCTCTCTGACCTCCATGTACTCCTGCTCATGCTTTACAGCGGTCATCGCAACTGCCAATTCATTTATCATCTCCTCCAGCTTGTTTTGATGATCTGAAAAGAAAGGCATAGAGTAAATGTCTAGTGGAAAGAAAAAAATGAAGTAAAAGACATGCATACAAAATATACGACTGCAAGCAGGGCTCTAGACTAACTTTTGGGACGTCCCTAATAGTCCCAAAAAGACCTTCTGTCCCCATACATAGCTGTTATATAATATTATGTATATTTCTGTAATATATTATAAAATACAATATATTACATACAATAATAGCTAAACTACTAAATCTACATATTATACAAGAATTGACTCATCATCTTTGATATAGTTATTTTTAAGCAGCCTTTACCAGCGTTTACTAAATAACATGAACAAGATCAGAGAGGGCAAAGCAGTGCCACAGAATTTTTCAATGAGCTGAGCCCACAGCAGCAAGGAGTTCCACACATCCCCTGCTCTGTGCTCTGGGAGACAGATGCACACAAGGGAACGCACAGGGAGAAGCGACTGACGCATTTAAGCAAAATTAAATGAATAAACTAGTGATAATGATACATTGTATTACAACTGAAGCTGCCTGTATTTCACGCTCTGTGATCAACTGTATCTGAGGGGCCAGGGCTGTACCAACCCGACATACTCGGACAAACTTTGATCATCCCAGCCACTATTGTTTGGGTCCTGGGACGAGGGGACTACATTAGTCTCGAGCCCTGGCTGCAAGAATAGATGTGTGGACAGCATAATCAGGTGCAATACAAGTGCAGTTCAATGTAATCAAACCAGTGCATCGTAGTCATGTTAAATCCATAGACTGTATGTAGGAATGGACAGTGCTACCCCGTAACCTGAAGTAGCCTAAAAGGAAAGTGCTTAAACATGTGTGATTTACCACTCTACTTGATCCTGATGTTTTTGTTTTGTGCATCTCTTTGTCAATCCAACTATGACCCCTAATAACTGACAAATCAGGTGCCTTTTATCACAGTATTTTGCTTTGACTAGATAATAGTACAAGTAGCTTTTTGGTTGCCTATATGCACTGGCTATCTGAGAATAAGGCTCCAGATTACTGCCCATGGAGTCCGTTTGAGTTAGCTCTAATCTGCTTCTTCAAGGGAAAAGCAAACGCTATGGCTGATGTCAGCACTCCTCCTACAGTCTATGGTTAAATCAAATTTCAATATTGTTAGACCAAGAAAGCAATACGGGTTAAATAAAACAACAGTCCATTACAAGTTCTGAAATCTGTCATAACAACAGGCTGAGAACCCCTACCATCCCAGCTGTCACCTCCTAAAAGGAATAAGAGCACCCATAGGAAAGTCAAGAAAGTGAAATATGAAAGAATGGGGTACAATTTTCTTAAAGACTGATTCCTACCCTCAGATTCCATATCCTGGTTTTTAGGAGCTTCTCCAATATCAATGGTGAACATGACAATCTTAGGAGTCATGGTGGACATCTTGTTGCTAAAGCAGAACTTATAGGTGCCATCCATATGTGCTGCCACAGAATATTTCCCACTTGACTCTCTGTCCCCTTTATAGATCTGCTTGCCATCTGGCCCCGTTATCTGAAACAAAGAGGAAGTATAATGTACAAATGTGCAAAGTTAAATTTAGACATGCAAAAACACATTTTTTGAAAAATATAAGACTATTTATGGGACTATTTAGTAGTTTTGTGAGGACCTACCAACATATGTTGGCCTTTAAAGATATATATAAAACACTTAAAAACATTTGCTGGGTCAAATGTCAAAAGTTCACAATGGAAACATACTCAATTAATAATAATGAATCAAACTACCTAATCTATATGAAAGAAATTAACCAACATAAGGTAACCCACACCTGTCACTTCCTGTATCTGAGAAGGCTTGGCTAAAAGAAGAAATGTTTATAGTTGCAAAACAATGTATCAAGCATTATAATACGTGCAATTCAAGTACTTTTAGCACAACATGAACTATCGTTAGTAGTCAACGACGCTAATTGATGCGCAGACCAATGTTTGGTGGCTAAGCTAATATTAGGTAAGGCCTAAGGAAACACCGGTTAACATACATAGTATATACATGCCAAATAAATGCATAATGCCTTCAAAACGCTTACCTCAACATCGATATCTAGAAACCCTCCTTCAGCCACTTCAAACATGAGGCCCATCTTTGTTCCGGAGTTCACCCGCTCGTAGAAACACTCTTCGGCATGGGCGTCTATGCTAACGAAGTAGCCCGACGCAGTGGCACACAGGACGGTCAGTAAAATGCACACTTCTGACATAGTAAACATGTTTAATGCGTGGCAAGGTACTTTACAATGTAAAAGTAGTTCTAAAAGTCTATGTGTCGCGGCAACACCTGCGAACTCAAGGCTGTTGGTCAAAGTAAATGCAGAGAGCAGCCTCTGATCCGTGCTGCTCTGTGGCTATGCCACGTACAGGGTGGACGGCAGCCTGGGAGGGACAAAACACAAACTCTCACTCCGAGCTCATATGCTGAATACAGCTGCTTTACTATTTCTCTTCTCAGTTTACAATAAAACACTCCAATATATTAACTCTCACTATAGTATGTTTTTGTCGAGAGTAGATGATATTGTAATTGTTGAGGAGAAAATATCTCTGAGAGGAATTCGAACATTTCAGATGTGGTTTCAGTGTCATCGTTTAGCATTTACTTCAGTTCTATGTTTTACGAATGCAGAAAATATACACTAGAGAACACAATTATGCCAATTAAAAAGGAAAAACTGCTCAAATAAAAGCACTTGGGAAAACAATGGAAATGGGTCTTTTTAAACCATATTCTTTGGTTTGCCGCAAGTTAACTCCTTCGACTACAGAGGGACAAGAGCCTTTTTTTCTTCTTTGGGGGGGCAGATGTCTATGGGGCAGATGTCTATGGGGCAGATGTCTATGGGGCAGATGTCTATGGGGCAGATGTCTATGGGGCAGATGTCTATGGGGCAGATGTCTATGGGGCAGATGTCTATGGGGCAGATGTCTATGGGGCAGATGTCTATGGGGCAGATAACCACATCTCCACCGTGTGTTTTGTCGCATGTTTGGTGACGTCCAATAATCGACTCGCTCTGAAGTCTCCGAGGCTGAGGCCTTGAGACTTTTTGCAGCGTATGCTATTAGCGTGTATTCTGTCGATGAGCTCGTTTGGACCCGTTTAGCTCGGGTGAGAACTAATGAAGCACTTTAAACTGTGATCCAAAGTGAAGCGGTGGATTTAGCACACAGCTAACCAAGCTAGCCGAGCCCCATAGTGAAGACAGCGAGGAAGTGAGCAGCAAAATGACATCTCGAAGGTAAGTATGAGCATCTAGAGAGTAAATAAATGCTGAAAATTAGCTTGTTAAGGCGATTAATGATCTCATCTGCATGAATTCAAATTTCCATTCGAGCACAACCGAACAAAACAAAAGCTTTGTAAAGTGCCTTCGAAGAAACAGAGAAGTGTGTGTTTGTAGAAACAGTGGAGTTTGTTTATGGAAGAGCAGCTGAGTGTCACACATTTATTTAGTCTCTAAACTACGTCAAAGCTGTCTATGTTTATTCAAGCCTTTTAGAAAGTCTATCACCTCAAGTATAAACGTTGTCTTTCCAAATGACTAAAGTGGATTGTAAATGTTGTTGTGATCTGGCGTTTAACATTGTATTTAACATAAGGTTTCCCTGTGTTAGGTGGTTTCACCCAAACATCACAGGTGTAGAGGCTGAGAACCTCCTTCTGACGAGAGGGGTTGATGGGAGCTTTTTAGCCAGACCGAGTAAAAGTAACCCAGGTGATTTCACTCTCTCTGTAAGGTAGGTGTTATCCTGAAATCATAATTCATCATTCATCACTACAATTCTCACTGTAATGATAATTATTGGATTTGGATTTAACCTTACATTTTTTTCAGGCGAAATGGGGCCGTCACACATATTAAAATTCAGAATACTGGGGATTATTATGACCTTTATGGTGGTGAGAAATTTGCTACATTGGCTGAGCTTGTTCAATACTATATGGAACACCATGGTCAACTAAAAGAAAAAAACGGCGACGTTATTGAACTCAAATATCCACTTAATTGCGCTGATCCAACATCTGAAAGGTGAGTAATGATTTGTCCATCATCAATCAGGATTGGATAATTGGATAATATTGTTGTGCCCTTTTCTGTCAGACATTTTCACACTGTTATGTTGACAATGAGGAGTATTTTTATTTGGATTCTGCCAGGTGGTTCCATGGACATCTCTCTGGCCGAGAGGCTGAAAAGCTTCTTACTGAGAAGGGAAAGAATGGAAGCTTTCTGGTGCGGGAGAGTCAAAGCCATCCGGGAGACTTTGTCTTGTCAGTGCGAACTGGAGATGACAAGACGGACACCAGTGACAGCAGCAAACCCAAAGTCACTCATGTCATGATCCGCTGCCAGGTGAGAACGGCCGTCTAACAGACCAAACTGTTTTTATATTTGATTATATATTCTGCTCACAATGTGTCTTTTGGCTTCTTTTAGCAAGACCTAAAGTATGATGTTGGAGGAGGTGAGAAGTTTGATTCTCTTACAGACCTGGTAGAGCACTACAAGAAGAACCCCATGGTGGAAACTTTGGGCACAGTGTTGCAACTTAAACAGGTACTGTACATAATTGTACAAAGGAAAAGGTTGTCACTTAACAACTAAATTGTGCAACCACTGTCCTCTATTTTCAGCCTCTAAACACAACCCGTATTAATGCAGCAGAAATTGAAAGTCGTGTTAAAGAGCTCAGCAAATTAGCAGAGGCGACTGACAAAGTTAAACAAGGCTTTTGGGAAGAATTTGAGGTGAAGTGTATAAAACTGGCACACAAAAGTGCATTGTCTTTATGTCTTGCTGATAAGATTCTGTTTTCATTTTTCTTTTAGACTTTGCAACAGCAGGAGTGCAAACTGCTTTACAGTCGGAAAGAGGGTCAGAGACCAGAAAATAAAAACAAGAATAGATACAAGAACATTCTGCCTTGTGAGTGCACGAATCACACATCCCCAAGCTGAGTAAAGACTCATCCAACATTTTTTTTAATTTATAGTTGACCACACACGGGTGGTACTTAATGATGGAGACTCGAATGAGCCAGGCTCCGACTACATCAATGCCAATATTATTATGGTAGGTGTAAGTATGTTTCAGAACAAGTAGCAAGATTTACTCTAAGTACAATGTGCACAGACTTATTATGCAAGTGACCAACTTGTCACAAATACTGTGGATAAAACTCACACCCTGCTTTTACTGACAGAATAGATGGTTTAATTTGGATAATTTTGGCTGATTGGACTGTTATTGACAAAAACCATATCCCTAAACAGGAAACTTGCATAATAAGCCGTTACCCACTATATAAACCATAAGTCCATCAAGCTCTCATGAGTAATCTGTTTCTTTACATGTGTCCACAGCCAGAGCTGGATGCAAAGAGTACCACCACTAAAATGAAAAAGTGCTACATTGCCACGCAGGGCTGCTTGCAAAACACCATTAGTGACTTTTGGAGAATGGTGTTTCAAGAAAACTCTCGTGTTATTGTTATGACCACAAAAGAAGTAGAACGAGGAAAAGTGAGTCTCTTAAATAGTGTAAAGTGTTGTACTTAAAGATACAGGAATTTTATTTTTATGTCTGTCATTACCAACAGAGTAAATGTGTGAAATACTGGCCCGAAATGTCTGCTCTGAAGGAATACGGCGCCATGCGCGTTCGTAACGTTAGAGAAACCGCGGCACATGACTACATTTTGAGAGAACTCAAACTCTCCAAAGTTGGACAGGTACCAAGGACCAGTTTGTCTGGGTTCTTGAATCATATTGAGTTGTGTTTCTCTTTCAGGGCAACACGGAGCGGACCGTTTGGCAGTATCACTTCAGGGCCTGGCCTGATCATGGAGTCCCCACTGACCCTGGTGGTGTTTTGGACTTCCTGGAGGAGGTTAACCTGAAACAGGAGAGCATCATGGATGCTGGTCCTATAGCTGTGCACTGCAGGTATATGCATATTGCACACACAGATAACAGAAATCATATGTCAAGGGACTGCTAATTACAGATGTGTTTTATATGGTCTAGTGCAGGGATTGGGAGAACGGGGACATTTATTGTGATCGACATACTTATAGATGTCATCAGAGAAAAGGGTACGTTCTCTAGATTTTTACTCCAGATTTATTATCTTGAGTAAAGAATGTTGTTGAAATGTGTAACATTTTCTATATGAAATATTGTGTTATAGGTGTAGATTGTGATATTGATGTTCCAAAAACCATCCAAATGGTTCGCTCACAGCGTTCAGGGATGGTCCAGACTGAAGCTCAATACAGGTTCATTTATATGGCTGTACAACACTACATAGAAACACTGCAGAGACGCATAGAGGAAGAACAGGTCTGTCTTTCACACTATCTTTCACACAGTATTGTTATTCAATGCTTTGTTATGTATTTTATTGATATTTCTTTTTACAGAAAAGTAAGATTAAAGGGCGAGAGTACACAAACATTAAGTACTCTTTGTCTGATCTCTCTGGGGGAGAACAGAGCCCTTTACCGCCTTGCACTCCTATCCCAACACCCACTTGCACAGAGTAAGTTGTCATGATATAACATTCATATTGAGTATAATGATTCAGTAGCAAATGTTTATTTTCCTCACAGAATGAGAGAGGAAAGTTCCAGAGTGTATGAAAATGTTGGCTTGATGCAGCAGCAAAAAAGTTATAGATGAGATTTACATTTTAAGTGGACGCTCTTTTAATTCCAGGTATAGTAGCCAGTTTTTTGTCTTCTCTTGTAGCCACCGCTGCCCTTAGGCAGGCAGCCACCTCCCTTTGCCACCATCCTTATTTCACTCACTAAACTTACACTAAGACACATGTTTCTGGTGATAGCAAAACCAGAGCATTGTGGTCACAAGCTGATCTCTATTTTTGATCACATATAAACAAATGTTTTCGTTCTGATTCTGACATCCAAAGATGAGCTTGAAAGATGCCGCCATGGAGAGTGCTCTATGGGAATACAGCTGTATTCCTAAAGATTCTTAGTGCTAAAAGTTGCTCCTAGTGGCCAAATTCTAAGAATATTCTTAGAATATTGATGTACTCTTAGAATTTGCCCTAAAAGTGAAGAGCAGATCCAAGTGAAGAAAAAAGCTATTACTAAAGAATCCTAGCTCTTAAGAGAGCTCCTAAGGTGAGATCTCTTAAAAGTAGAAGGACTTTTAGCGACTTGAGTTCCCTAAGAGGAAAAAATGGCGAGATAGGAGAGATATTCTACAAACACTGGATGACAGTGGGGCCAAATTTACCTCTCAAAACTCTTTTATGGCCATTGACTAATTGAGCCAGAAGCAAACACTTTAGTCCACTTTAGTCTGTCCAGTTCGGTTTCCTCTTTCTTTTATTCTCTTGCTGTTCATTTGTTTGTGGTATATTTGAGAGTCAACCAACACAGCTTCTTATAGGCTGGTCAGCAATCACAGCTGTGCCATTTTACCCTTGTTAAACCAAAGTGAGTAGAAATGGTAAAAGTTGAAAAATTAAAAATGACCAGCATGGCAATTAGGATAAGCAAATAAATATAACCCTGTGTGAATACTGTGCTAGTGGGCCTAAGTTTTCACACATTCTGTTTGATTTAAAAGTATAACTTGATATTCACAACATTCTTTTTACTTTGACATATCTTTTATACGGAATATTATTAACAATGACACAGTCTTCCTAAGGTTAGATTCCATGATTAAGTTTGTCCTTTTGAGGGTTCTTATTTTTCCCATCATCACCAAAAGTGTGTTTTCTCTAACTTTTAGGATCAACTAATCACAGCGTCTGAAATTATTACTCATATCTAGCAACGGGGTCGGCCACGCCTCCTCACTAAGATAGGCGTTTTTGCCCATTTTTTGCTCGGAGTTCTCTGAGAATGTTTTTGAATAACTTCTAAGCTAAGAGTTTAAGGTAGGAGTTTTTAGGTTAAGTTAGTCCTCTCTGAGAGGACTCTCAGAATCTTTAGGTATGCAGCCCCAGATTATAAAAGATAGAACTAACAATTATTCCAGTTGTCATTATTATAGCAGAAGTATTTTCTCTAAGAAACATGATGTACTGTACAAAGAGAATGTTTGCTTAGTGTGAAATTACAATTGCTGAATTCTCTGTGACTATCTTTTCTTTAGGATCCTGATTGCAGTTTTTGCCAGCCAACCTTGAAGACATAGACTTGACCATAAAGACATATTGTATAGACAACCTGAGGAGGACAACAGACAAGGATTTTGTCTGTCATTCCACATTAACCCTTACATTGACTAAAAGACTGACCACAACACAAGCCACTGAAAATCACTATTTACTATTTGCAGTAGATTCCCCTGAACTACAGTCTGTGGCCATCTTTAAAACAGCAAAGGGCTGCATCCAGGGTCTACTCAGTTCAGGCTTGTTTTTTTTGGATTTGTATTATTAACCAAAGGAGAACTACATAGATTGTTCATAGACTGAAGTGCAAACTTTCTTAAGCCCCGTTCACACCGTACCAGGTTTACATGCAAAGTCTATGTAGGGGCGGGTCTTGGAATCACACCAATGCGGCCTAATGCCAGAGTTGAACGAAGCTGAACTTCTGGCTGCCAGTTTCACTTGATTTCACTGTCTGATTTAAAATGGTCAAAAGACAGGTCAAAGGATATGGTTGGCAGTTGGCGGTGTGAACGCAGCTTAAGAGGCCTGTGCCAAAACATATATTATGTACCCATAAATCACCGTTTAGCATTGGTCCTCATTAATATTTTTTTATATACTGTATCAAACTTAATTGTCGAGTTGAATTATATGATACAAAATTACGTATTTGGATTGTTTTACTGGTGATCTGTTATATGTTATGTACTCCTCCCATTACATTTTTGCACAATTACATTTTCAAAAAGACATGAGACTGTTTGCCATGTGAATTTGCATCAGAATTTGGGTTTTAATAAGTGATGTGGCTTTCATCGGCATAAACCCTGTTAGTGAATCATTCCTGAGCTGTAGCCGAGTCTCTTTACCGCTGCCGACTACGTGCTGCAGCATTAGTACCAAGCGTGGATTTAACTCTAGTCTGGGTCAAAATCCAGAAGTGTTTTAATGTTACTGCTGTTGTGTCTATTAACACGGCTGCCAAACACATTTTAAGTGCATAATTCAATAGCTTATATTTTTTGTTATAAGATACGCTTATTATGCCTGTATTAACATGTTGTCATCTCATCCTAAACTTTGTAGATTAGCATAATATGGGCCATGGGCTTGACATGCGCAGCACTATTCATGGATGACTGACTTCCTTCAGCATTAGAAGCAGTATTTTGAGAGGAGTTGTATATTCATGTTGCCTGAATATGATTTATTTTCTTCAGCCTTCACTTTGGATAATTTGTTATGTGTATGCCTTAAAAACGTGCAGTTTTGCATCGTCGATCAGATCTCTCAACGTGAAGAATAAAGCCATTCTCATCTGCCTTGAAGGTGTGGGACGCTCAAAATGTCCAGGACACTAAATGCAGCCGCCATTGATATTGGGTTGGAGAACATTTATTAATTATTAAATCAGTATTTTTCTGACCTGTGTTCTTTTTTTGCTGAGTGGTTTTCCCTCTCAATGCTCAACTGTAGTAGAAAGATTCACACTTGTCAGTGGAAGGTCTCCTGTCTTGTATCATTTGTCTTTGAGAGATAGTGGTCATCTCTTTGTCACTAACAATTAATACTGCCTATTTATCACATGACCAGTGCATACTGTAGGTGTATGTAACTGCTCTATAAGAACCTACAACCATGTATCGTGTAATGTTTCATCACTATGAAAGGACAAATGGTTATTAAAGCATACAGTCTATTTTAAATTTGTGCATTGTACCTGAGCAGATGAGAAGCTATCCACTTGCCATTCTATTGTATGTCTATTGCTACAGCTCTCTGACTCAGAGAATGCCTCTTACAGGGTTTTCAAGCTTATCTTTGCTGTTAACTATGTTAACCTAACACAATAAATGCCTAGAATAGATCCTGCCTAAATCATCAATATGATCTATTTTAATTTACTCTAAATATGACTAGTTATTAGCATTGAGTAGAGAATAAAAGTTATCTTATGTACAAGGAAAAATATATGTAATTTTTATTTTTTCTACAGGTAATTAGAAGATCAATATAAAAAAAAATACTGTTCACTATTCAAAAGATCAGCAATAAGGGTTTTAACCCACGTTGTTCTATAATGATAAGACTAATTTACAGAGCGCTTTGCACTTTGTCTAACTCAAGTTATAAATAATCAATGTTTTTTTTTAAATAAATAAGTAGGCACACACTGAGTTACTTCAAAAATGAAGACGCTGCACCTGCAGCAGGACTGAGCTCCTCATGATCTTGTCCAGCTTCTGTCTGTGACACTGCTGCAGCTGCTCTGTATGACCAGCAGAGGGCAGCGGCGGGTATGTTGACCCCATAGACTGTAGTTGACCCTCATAAATAGGGTGCTGGACAAGACAAGATTGATACAATAATTACCCAAAACATAAAATAAAAAAGTAATGATTATTATACATATTTTTCGAATGACTAATATCTGAATTTAAGGCAATTGATACAATAAAACCATCAAACTAATGCAAATATGAAAGAGAAAAATTTGGATTAGTGGCTCAGGACTCTCGCTTCTCAGCAAGAAGGTCCAAGGTTTCTGAGTGGAGTTTGCATGTTCTCCCTGTGTCTGTGTATGTTTCCTCCAGGTGCTCCAGTTTCCCCTATCTAAAAAAACATGTACAATAGCCGAAAACTCTTCAGCTCTGGGGTTGACCCACCCGAGTATCGATATCTGGAGTTGGGTCCAGAGAGCGGCCATTCTGGCAATGAAGAATGGGTCATATGCAAAGGACAAATTTCCCCGGGGACAATAAAGAATAACTTAACTTAAATTTGTATTCAGTTTTGAGGTGTTTTAGAGAATATTAGCGGGGTCAACTAAAGGGTTGAAGATGATCCAGTGATTATATACTATATCAATAGTATATAATCACTGGATCAGATGCTGCACATGAGTCTTTGTACTTCGTACTTTGTCCACAGTGATGAGTCATCAGAGAACCTATGACAGACACAGGAGTGTGGTGTGTCTGAAGTCTGCAGTGCAGAGGGTGAAGAGGACCAGTGCAAGGACAACCCCGGGCAGTCCCTATGCTGCAGCTCAGGAGGGCCACACTTCATGGCTCTCAAAGGCTATACGATAATTGTGTTTATTTAGCCATGAAAAAACATGAAAGCATTTATATGCATCACTGAAAATATGTTTGGAAGTGTGCTTCTAACTTTCTACTTAAACATGTAGCGACAAGGTCAGAATGTAATATATTGCCAATGTATATATAATGTGTATGTATATGAATAAAATAATGTATGTCAAAAAAGATCATTTTCAACCAATGGATATTATGTCCACTGAAATGTTTTTGAATATCCATAAATCTACATTTCTTGTTCATTAGGTTAAATTTTGCACTCTCTCCTTGTTGTTGACTGCATAACTCACACTGAGACAGAGCCCTGAGGAGCACATGTGGTCAGAAGCTATACATTTATTCAACAACACATGCAGATGCTCAGATCTAGCTCATTATAGCCTAGTTAAAATACTCACTCCTCTCTTATATCATTCTCTAAAAGTTCAATATGTTCTTTCACTCAGCCTCAATTGTCTCTCATTTTCTGGGATTTTGTTTTCATTATGTATGTCACTTTCATTTGAATTAAGATGTTTGTAACCATGAGAAAGGTTTTGGTTTTTTTAATGAAAAATCTGTCTGTTTTCTGTTTCTGAGAGGTATTAGTAGCCCTGGTGTCAATCCCGTGTTTTTTCTTGTAATACATGGTATTTATCTATATTGCAGTATGAGTCTGGTTGTCCGTCAGATCGACCTGAATGTTTGGATATGCATGGTAGGATGACACTTTGCGGACACAACAGAGCTTAGAATGAGTTAACTCAAACGGGCTCCATGAGTGGGAAGCTTTAGAGAAATGTGGTGGTAGCAATGACCTATCAACCAAAGAGACAATTGGGAGTGTCATTGGCTTCTTCTCTCTGGTAATAGCCGTCTTAACAGACAAAGCTGCATTTGTGATATATATTTTTTATGACCATATAATTATATTTTTCTCCTTTTTTTGTTTTTATCATTGTTTTATTGTCCAAATAATGCATACACACACGTGATCTCAAAAGCCTATAATACATTTGTTGGTGGTGTTATAAATACATAGAGGTATATCTTATTATTAAATTCAAATAATAAAAAAACATGGCAAAACCAAACGAGCCAAGCCCAGGGTTTGATGTAACATGTTTCTGTTTCGTCATCTGACAATACACATAAATAGTTATTTTTCTTTGTGCTTGAATCTATCTGACACCTTGACCTTTGTGGTCTGACCACAGACCGGACTTCCCTGACATATTTACACTTCAGTGATCATGAATTTCAAAACTGCCATCGTGATAATGGCAAATCAGGACGTATCCGACAACCGGAACTTGTATAAAAACGTTGAGAGAATGTGTATATCGCTGATGGTCGCATGGTGGCGCTAGAAAGCGTAATTTACTGAGAACCGTATTACGCGTCCACGGAAAATAACAGGAGAAAAAAAGTGTGTTTCTGGATCTAGACACACTGCGTTTTCGCTCGTTAATGGGTGTATATGACTGCAAACAACTCTCTGATATTCTGCTCGTGTTTTACGATTGTGTGGATTACAAATTACATAAGAAAAAGGAATCTATTGTATTATACATAATAGACCTAAGTGCAGCTGTTTAGCTCAAGGCTGCAAACCTTGACCAGAAATAGAGTTACATGAAAGAGTCCTATGTGGCTGAATGCAAATACAAAGTAATGTAGTCCGCAGAGGCAGAGTTAATGGAGCAGCGAAGCACGCCTTGCGAAATCAAAGCCCGCACTATGCATTCATTGAATACAAAAGCAGCACAAAGAGAGTTAAACACAGTATATTCGCCTGCAGTTGTGGCACCACCATTTCTCCTGTGTTGACGAGATGCGCGCGGACAGAGAATGGGTGGGGGCCGGGGGGGCGTGGGGGCGGGGCGAGGGGAGGTTGCGCTCCTCTAGGAGGAGAGCTCCAGAATGCTGAAGCCACAGCATCCACATCTA